ACAAGATTCTGGTTAATCGTGCTTAATACATTTTCGTGTTTGCGTCAAAAAGTTATACTAAGAAGTTAGAGAGAGCTTACAATACTTTAAATATTTGGTCATACAGAAATATTCTATAAGTATCTATCGTAAACTAACTTTCTAAAATTTGTGATTCAAACTGTATTTAATTGATTTTTAACTTCCTCTTTCTACTAATTAGGTAGGAAAGAAATAAATTTTAATTAAGCAGTAGAAAGATTCCCTCATTGAGATGTTCTACTATTGAGAGAAGTGAAAGAATTGTTGCAATTATTTCCACTATGTAATATAGTCGCAGCTAAATTGAAGTGTGATGAAACCAATTATCCCTATAGCAATATATTCCTAATAGCTCAATACTAATTTCGGTCTCAGTTGATCTACAAGATCTATTTTATGCAGATCTTTACGATGCATCCTGTCTCTTTCGTTGATGTAACTGAGGGATATCTAAGAATACAGTCATCATTACACATTTTGCGGATCACATATAGTTTCATGAATATGCTGCGGCAAAACAAGATTGAGAAATTCTTTGATGAATGAAGATATCAAGCTTATTTACTCTATGTATTATCATTGACGATCATACCATAAACATATTATATGCTCAAACAGGAAACCAGAAGTTAAAATCTTTTAAAGATGAAAAAAATTCGTTAAAAAATGTACTGCATTGTACCGCACTGCAATATCTCATAATTACAGAGCGGTTTGAAGTCTCAAGATCCTAAAATTACAGAAAATGTCACGATCAGTTTTACGAGTGATCTTTATCTTAGATGCCTTTAATATCAGCATCCAATAATCTCCGTTTTACCGCTCTGCAAATATCACTCACACCTTTTTGCTATTCTTAGGTAGCATACACTGTCAAACTTCGTGGCGCATTTTACAATTTCTAACATTATAAACGGAGATTAAAAAAATTTTTAAAAGAAATAAAAATGCCATACTAATAAATTATTAATTTGGTAAAGAATGACGCATTCTGAAGGTTAAGTTTTATCTTACAATTCAGATTAAAACTTCGCATCTTTCGTGTGTCACGAATTATATCATTGAAGAGTAGCCCTCAGAAAGAAGTGGAATCTATAGACATTAAGATCTTTGAAAAGGATTTGAACACTTTCTCCAACTAATAACTACAACAAATACAACCATTTTGCTAAAGATAAAAACTAGGTTGTTCAATGAGGATTATGGAACTGAGAACTACTGGAATGGAAATGTCAAAAAGAATTATGTGGTAGCGGTTAAAATTTTAAACATGTGACATAGAAACAGAGATTAGATGCTTAAAATGACGTCGTAATTTTGCAACAGAAATATCGCATTCTTTGAAGAAGTTGCTCCTACTTCAACCAACAACAAATATTACAATAACAATTATCATGGTACCCTTCATCGTTGATTACTTTACTAATTTGGATTACAGAAAACAAAGGCAAAGTTTCATTGAAAATTTGGACTTTACAAAATTCAAATTTTCAGCTAAACTCAAATCTCATTGAATGTTTAATTAACATTAAACATTTGCAACTCTGAATTTTGGAATTTGCGAAAATTTGCTTGCTTGATTATCTGATGACCTTGAACGATAAGCTACATACGATATACACATGTGTTTACCAGTAAATTTATTAATCAAATCTTACGGTGCTCATTAATTCTTTATTATTTCTTCTTTACCACGGTACGTTTGGTTGATAATTCCGAGATTTGGAAATAGGATGACTTCTTAACGCAATAAATTTTTGTTATTCTTTCTCATCTATTCTCTCATTCTGCAAAATATGATTTATTTCTTATTGTAATATATATACATGTTTATTCGAATTAAAAAAATTTTCATGTTTAGATTTGTGCGGCGCTATAATTAGAAGTTCTTTCATATATAAATAATAATAATAATAAATATTATCTTAATTATTTGGTGCGATGAACAGTTAACTATTCCAACGATTGTTGCAGTATCTAAGAAATTACAGTGAAGAAGTGGCCCTGATTTGCGTGTTTACTTTTAAGATTCAACTTTGCCTGATATGATTCCTTATGAAAATTCTCAGGGAAGTATTCTCAGGGAAGAAGGGAATGACAAATTATAAGCCGATAACAACAAAGTAAAGTAAATTGCTATTTACAAATTAAACTACTATTTTTGAAAATACAGCATTACAAAAAACATCTTCAATAGCATATTGAACTATGACTTCTTACTTCTTAGTATCTCACCTTATTAATACTTATCTTTATTACCTTATTAATTCTAATAATCCTTGTATTTGATATAAAGTGTATCGATTAAAGTAAAGAAATCATAGGATGACTAGCGTTTTATGCCAGTTCATCGTGGAAACTTTATTTAACCTAAGTAATATCACACCTTTTGCAATAACATTACAAATTGAGAATTCGTCTTACAGTATTGTAAACAGCGGCTGCATCAACAACATACCTTGAAGAAATCGTTCAATGGTGAATATAAATGAGAATGAATTTCTATTTATCTAAATCAACTTGTATTTATTCCCATAAGCTGAGCACATTTTGCCAATCTTAATGTGTTAATCTATAAAACTTCGCCTTCCGATTACCTAACTGGTTTAGTAGAAAATTTAATTTATGCTCAAGAATTTCGAACCAGTTCTTCAAGTCATTCTATTCAACGGATTTTTTATTAACGAAATTGTAACACGAATGGAGGAAAAAACGAACGAAGAAATGCAACATTCGATAGTTCTAAATGGGCACCATAAAAGTTGAAAATAAATCATTGCATTTACGACACTATCTCATCACTACAGCCATATTGTGCTAGAGATATGGTGAAATTTTATATTCTTACTATCCCTGAAACAATCTTTCGTTATCTTTTCTATTTCTCGAAATTAACAGAACCAGTATACTTCATACATTCAGAAATTCAATACAGTTTTTTTTTCGTGTTCTACATTTTCGTATCTTTGCAAAATTTTTGACTTAATTCAAATTCAATTTTTTCAAGATAATAAATAACGGGTGATGATAAAGGAGAAATAGAGAAATGGATCAGAATATGAAGACATTATTTGAATGTTTTCAATATGGAAAATAGCGTACGTGAACTTGAATGATTTTGCTGGTATTATAAGACGAATATTCAAGGAAAAGAAAGAATACTTTGAAAAATTAAATAAAGCTAAATTTAAATGAAAACTATTTCTAAGGAACTAATGTCAGCAAAGTATTCCACTCAAAATGAATCCATTAAGAAATCCATTAAATGATCATCACTTAAATTAGTGGATAAATCACAACAAAAACCACTCGAAATACCACAGCTATTTAATTTAACTATAAATAGGAAAAAAGAAGTTATGAAAGAATAATGAATTCAGGTCAATAATCGCAATATCAGTCTTGTAGCAATAAGATTAAATGAGGGGAAACTAAAAATCGATCAACTTAAAAAGCATTGTGTTTTAATAGTGTTTGAAATTCTTTGTGAGTTTGTTATGAATTTATGATTAGATTGTGAAATACACCGTATTTCGCTTTAATTTTTATCAGCCCGATCTTACTAGAGCAGGAGAGAAATTAGTCGGAAGTTCTAACAATTGCATCTAACATTAGCTGATCGATTCTACAGTCTAATTCTCTTCACTGTTAATTATTAAATTTAATTTAATAATAAAAACAATGAATTCAACCTCTTTAATTAATCTCTATATGTTATTGGTAGCATCAAAATAAATGCAATAGAAAATAAACAAATTATTACTAAAATAAGTTTATCGAACGTTGCAACAAGCATATCAATTTTCCGTTCAAAAATTCCCGAAAGTGATTATTTTCCAAGGACATTTGGTTTGCCGACATATATGTGCACTACTGAAATGACAGTAATTTGAAAAAGTCAAAACTTCAATTATCCCATTAAAGTACAATAAAACATTTCTCAAATCATCACAGAAATATTTATCATTAACCAAATTCGGCATGCATACCGTACCCGTCGACTTTGTTGTCTGTTCTTGCCTTGACGAAGAGATGATACGTACCTACTACCTAGGTCATCCTATCAATCTTGATTCATGATCATGACAACAGCGCGTGGCCTTTTCTTTCATCTAGCCGATAAATAACTACGCATAGACACATGGAATCGACGGAGGGATAATAGAAAGAGGGCGCCGTACAGGTAAGGACGTACAAAATTTAACGATAAGATAGATTACAAATCAGCATCTGATTGAGATTTATTATAGCCTCAAAATGTTTCGAGCATGCCAAGTAGAATGTTGCCAATTTTGCACTCAACAATTTTCGAAAAAATGTGAATTGTAGTTATTTCAGTGGATGAAATATTTTTAAATCATCAAGAAGTACCATCAAGATAAATCTATCAAATTTTATCTGTTTCACCTACTTTAATACTTATGATGCATTACTCCAAAATCTTTCTAACTTCATATAATTTAAATCCAATTTAAGTATCGATAATTTAAATCCAATTTAAGTATCGAAGCATCAATCCTATATATGATGGAAAGCCAACGACTACCGATATTGGTGTACTTGTGGAAATTGCATGTTAATATAAATATACATAGGAGTTTGTTGAGAACAGTCTACTTTCCAGATCGAGGTGGAGTTGATGGATCACAGGGCGATCTTAGATGATATTGGGACGACTTCCCATTTTATAACTATTTCTCTCTGAAACCTGTCTTTTCCTTTACTTTGTTCTTAGATTTCAATACTTTGGGCGCGGGATAGAAGTCATTCAAACTAATCTTATATTTTTGTGATATCGTTTTTCCCTAAATAATAACAAAGGACGATCATATTGTCCATCCTAGTGATTGATTTTAATTTATAGTAAGTCTTGGAATATCTATGCTTTCATTAAAATTGCTCAGTTTTTTCGAAATCGGCTATAAATTACGAAAAATGATATTACATGAAATAAGTACAATGCTTTAAATTTATTGTAGATGAGTACTCCTGTCGGTTTCAACACTTCCCAGTCGCAACAGCACACTTCACAGCAACAGTCACAAATAGTAAGACCTATGGGGCACAGTCTTCAGGGCGCTCCACAGAGCCATCCTCTATTTTCACGTCTCGAAACACTCATCCAGACAATTGGTGATGCCGGCCAAAGAGATGATCTCAAGTTGAAAGCTTTACAGGTAATTGATTTGACACAATACACGAATTACTGCATCTGTTTCACCCCAAATTATCTTGAGTTATTTTATCGAAAATAAAACAATTTATACATTCCAGAGTAAAATCTACTAAAATCTGCAATATATGAGCACTGGTTTTGAAACCTTTGATTAAGAAAAGTAAGAAAGGACAGTATTGTCCAGTAAATTTTCTGAGTAAAATTCTAGAATTCACGTTTGATTGCTTGGCTAGCAGAAGTAATGTATGGTATCGAAGTAAATATGTTTTGGTAGGAACAGTAATAGCATAGATTAGTTCCTTCATGATCAGTTTTTTATCATTCGAGGCACAAGTACTGTTAAGTGATGTTCACTTTTAATATCTGAATTAACGATTTTTCAATATTTGAATCCTTGAAGTACAATTCACCGAGCATCTGATTACTGTGGACATGAAATTTCTCCCATGTATATTTTTTCTTTTTGTTTATTAAATCACATACTTTTCAGGAAATAAGCAATAGTTTTGAAGAAATGGCAACTACACCAGCTTTCCAAATAGTGCAGGAAAACCTGTTGCGCACATTTTTGAAAATTTTTCAAGATACTGTACCTCAATTTATTGGAGAAAATAACACACAGGTACAATCATTATGGAATGAATCATTACCAATCATAGGAATGGATTTTGCGACATATTCAAAATAGTACAGAATTATGGAGCAATCTTTAAAAGAAACAATGAAAAATTGTATCAAGATATCTGACTCGTTATAATGAAAATTATGTAATCAAAACTGCTTCACTTACCTTGTCAGAATTGTCCAGATTTAAAAAGCATAACATGAAATATTTCAGCAGTTACGGAAGTTGATACTTGAATTAATACTTCGGATGAACTGCAATGAAATCGTTAAACAGTACGCAAAACTTATCCTTACTCAACTTACAAAAGTAATTCAAGTTGAGAATGAAGAAAATGCTGTTATTGCTATCAAAATTATCAGTGAGCATCAACGTGCATTTAGGGCTGTCTTCACACCCGAGGTTTTTACTCACTAAAATTTGAATTTTATTTTTCATTCTTACATGTCATTCACTCACTTACAAGGTTACTTTAATTTCTTAAATGTCGAAAAATTTTATTTATCCACCATGTCATGCATACCATATTAAATTACTGCAGTGCATTAATTTTTATTTGAGATCCCGGCAATTATCAACCATTTTAAAGCATTGTATCGTGATATGCCGCAGCACATCACTAGTGGACGCATGTTTGAGCAGCGAAATCTTCGACATTGCGGAATGGAAGATAGTGTAATTGAATCCGTAAGTTATTGATTGGATTCTAATAGCATAATGGATTCTTTTGTAAACTGCACATTTCCCTGTAGTTGAAAAAAAATTTTTTGCTGAAAAAGCACTGCAGAAATTTGCATGTGAATAAAGCATTTGATATCGTTAATATATTACCATCAACAAACAGCTGTTTCACAGTTACGGCTAAATGCACTATCAAAGGTAGTGAAGTATGAATGCGATTTCTTCGAAAACATATTTCAGTCACTTCAAAACTGTTATATGCCCACAATTGTCTACCTTCCCGAAGCTTCGGGAGATGGTACTCAGCGTGACAGTGGTTACTCTTTGATCCCACGCGCTTCGCAGAGTGTAAAGGTTTTGTCAGAAGTGCCCATGTTCTGTATTATATTGTTTCAAATTCATCGTCATCATATTCAGAATGAGGTTTGTTTTAGGGCTCATATTTAAGGAAATTAATAAAACCTCTAATCTTCTTTGTTCCTAAAGTGTTAAGTTGGAAAATCCCCCCCCCCCCTATGATAGTAATGTTATAATAATTAGTTGTCTCTATATTTCATGTCAGCATCAATAATAATGTATGATTCCGATTCAGTGCTAAACTTTGGGTAATTGGTTGAGAACATTGTTAAGCTGACTGAGATTTTTTTTTAGAATGGAGATCTTTTTTTAATCATTCAATTAAGTACTTAGGAAAGGGAAAGCAATTATTTCAACTTTTCCAGTTCCATAAAAGATAAAGTTTGCAGTTGATAGAAATAATTTCGCTTATGGTGCAATACTGTACACTCTCAATACCTCACGATCAGCAAAGTAGTACTTCATTCAGCACAGTACTGGCTGATGAATTTTATAGTTCGCAAGTGCGAGCACTGACATTTTTGGGGTTCATCTCGTCACGTTCCGCTGTGGTTAGCGTTTTTTTCAGTACTGTTAAGTTACATAAAAATTTTCTCATTATTTTATGGTTGACACTGATTATTCGTAATTGTCAATTCCAAATATTTATCATAAGTACTAGATGGCCGTTTTCATGTTGGTTGGTCATTGTAATTTAAATTTAATTTATAAATTGTTCATATAACTGACACTTAAAATGATATCCTCCGGAATTAGTTTTCTAATCGAGCTAATTTACTATTCAGTATTGTATTTCGTAATTAAAAAACCTTAGATATCTTAAGAAATTCATTTTCAATATAATGTTATCAGATTAAAATCAGATGTGCTTTATTTCATGAACAGATCTTAAAGACTTTTGCTTGATATTCGATCTCATTGGAATAAAATCGAACTTGCTATATTCCTTACTGCTTATTATCTTTCCTATAAACTTTACTAAGCTATTCGTTCATTTTTAGTTCAACGTGAGCGAAGCGGTAAATAATCATGGAACACAAATAGTCCAATCGATAATGCAAATGTTGGAGCGTTGTCCACATGAAAACTACTCAATGAGACGCGAACTAATTGGGACAGTGAAAAATATTTTTGTCACCGACCTTCAAACTAAATTTATTCCAGTTATCCCGAAACTCTTTAATGAGAATCTGATGTTAGGTAACGGATTCAGTTCGATGGATTTTCTAAGGTTTGCTGTATCTTAAAATCATTGATTTATGAAGGAAGCTTACTGTGTCACATTTTTATGTCTGTCATCCCTCTTTATTTGTTTTCGATTTTTTGATCTAAATTCTAGCTCAGATGAACACTTGGAAAGAATGTTTAACTGCTCTGAATGACTTTGAAATTGCCCTAACTGTCCTCGCTCTTAAAGCATTTTCAAATTTTTTTAGATTTTCAGACAATTTTATATGATGTGATCTTGCAGGCCAACGATGTATACAATGCTAGCAGATCTTGTGCATCATGTACGCGGTCATCTCTCTTACAATCTGCTCTGCTGGTCGGTAGTTCCATTATTTTTGGGAATGTTCACCGTATTTTTCAATTTCTTATTATATTTAAAGCAATTCTTTCCAAAACTAAAAATCACTTTTTCAGCTCAGTTTATGCATTTACAAAAAGTATGTTTGACCCAGCAATACAACCTACAGTGCAGTCGATGTGCATCAAGTTAATGATGAATCTTATTGAATCATTTGTTATTACCGAGAAAAATCATCCCGATCAACCAGTAAGTTTGCACTATTAACGAATTTCCATTTCAAATTTCTATCATGACACAGCATTACTCGAAATAGATAATACGCATGGAGAATTTTTGACATTATTTTCAACTTATATAAAATTTAATTCATTTTCAACAATACGTGTGAGAAAAATAAATGATAGAACGTGTTTGTTTAATTTTATTTTAGTGCCGTGATATATTGTTTTGTTTGCTGGAAAATTATGTACGGAAGCTTAAATGGTTGGCACGATACCAAGTACCGATAATATTAGAAAAAAATGCAAGTAATATCATGAATACACCTTTACTCTATCCTGATAGAAGTGTTAGGTATTATTTCTTTTATTTATACAATTTTTGAAAAACAGACTTACTACCGAGATCGAAAATGCACTATTTTCAATGCATAACAGTCAACTTAGCATGAATTTCTTGTAAATAAAAAATTCTAAGTTTCTCGTTTTTGATAGATAAATTTTTTTCTTGGTAGATGTTTCATACTAAAAAGGCTCATTTTTCACATTTTTTTTTGAAGTGGTTCAAAATTTATTAGAATTTCAGTGCAAGATTTATATTAACTAATATTTTGAAGCGTATCTATATTTGCAATATAAAATACTTGAATTATGAAACTAACAATATTTTGTATTCATTTTTCAATTTATTATATTACACACTGAAATTTTTAGCACTTCCCAGTCATCACGCAGTGATTTTTCCTTTGCAAATGGTAAAAGCAAAATGGATGAGGTTAATTTTGACTTTTTTCACAAATTTTTCAGTTTTTTACATTCTTCCAGTGATACTTGAAGCTAAACCGCGAGGGCATAATCTGTCGAATGTTAGCAACTTCCGTTGAATAATACATTTATATTAAAAAATTTATGAAAAAAAAATATTAGCAAAAATTTTTTAAAATTTTCAAAATTATTAATGTGGTATATCTTAGGCAGTCATGCATAACAAGGTGATTAAAGAAGATCCAACATCACCACTTTCCTCCGAAAGTGACTTCGATTTCAATACCTGGGATAATGAAAACGAAAAAAATCACACTTCATCATCTTTCTCTCTTCCAGTATCAACAAAGACAGGGAAGGTGAGGTCCTTATTATGAAAATCAGACAAGATTATTTTTTCTAATAAAATTCACAAAGATTTATTTCTGCATGCATGGATATAAAATAATTTTGTCCTGTTACTATAATCTCTCCCAACAGCATAGTATGAAAAACCGAATGGTTTGCAGATGTTGTGAAAAACTTATTGATATTTACTTTTTCCTTATTGAATTTGTAGACATTCAGCCATATGCCTGTATTTTATCATCTATTATTTACAGACATCAACACCTGAAGAGATATTAAGCCAGTACTGGGTTACTGGTATTCCATCTTATACTCTGCTTGAATGCAGGAACATGATCCGAGTGCTTGTTCAAGCCTGCAAACATGCCGTACACGCTTTGAAGGATACTCATGCTACAAATCGTTAGATTTTCTTTCTCACTAACAGCCAACTTAAATTGCAACTTATTTACGTTTGTAATTTAATATGAATTTGTCTATCCAATTTTTATCATTGAGTGGTATGCATAAAGACCATATTTTTTGCAAATTTTGAATTTTTTAGTCAAAATTAGATAAAACAATATTTAACACCTGTCATCATAAATTGCTAAACTAACGTATATCAAGCCAATATTCTTGGTCATGGTGGTTCATACCTTTCATCGTGCAACATATAGTTGTCTTACCTTATTTCATAATTATTTATTACATACAGTTGTAAGTGATTATTCTTCAGACTTAGAAATGATTTATTTTTTACTGAATTTATTAATACTTCATTGAAAATTAAACATTCAGATGCAATACCGCCAGATTATGAAGCAAAGATAATTGAGCAGCTTTTCCGTTATGGTTTACGATGCCTCGATATATATGTTATTTGCCCAATGTCAAATCAGGTTCCATCAACACAGCAAAGGTTAGTCTTTTCCTTTTTTGACCTTCTTAAATTCAAAAGATGAAAAGGAAATGTGCATCTGAGGGAGAATTTGTAATACCATTAAAAATGAAAATAAGCGGAATGAAAAATGTCATCAAACTGAATTAAGGTTTTCAAACGGTGTACGCACAAAAGAGGAGAAGGAAGTTTTAGAGCTTTTTGGTTCCATTTTTACATTACTGAATCCATCAATTTTCAAAGAAATCATATCAAAACGAATTGATGTAAGTCTTAAAACTTTATGCAAACCATTTCTTTTACCATTTTTTTTTCATCTTATCATTATTTATTCACAAAATTTCATTTTTCAGTATTTCATCGAAAGATTGGCTTCAAATTATGGACTTCAAATTATATGTAGTTCATTGCTTGTCAATTCTCTAACGTCAGCCAATTTTGGCGATATTTTAATCCGATTCCTTATGAAGAAATTACCAGATTTAGCTGGTAAGTTCTTGTTTACTCCATTCTTCCTGTTAGCAGTGTTTCTACTGTTTTGGAATAGTTCAATGTAATATGCAAAATATTTAATCCAGATTTCGGTAATAATGGTATGCAATTCAGGAGATTTTTTCCGTATCATCAACCGCGAAAAACTGGTTAGCACAGAAAATTAGAAGGATATTACCTATGTCGAAAATGTGTTTGATAGTATGACTGTAGAGATTAGAGTTTCATAACATATCCCAGTGATATGTTATGAAACAATGCTGTGAAAAATAATATATTGAAGAGTAATACTTCGTATGGGATGAAATTTCAGAGTGTTCGGAAAGGTCTTTCCTCTGGTTAAAACTGTTCAAAATTGTATTCTCCTCAGTTGGTTCACAACCTTCAGGATGCGCAGAAAATGAACGAATGCTTCGAGTAGAACTTCCAGTTTTTTTCGTGATGTCCCAGAACTTCAATAATATGAAATATTGCTTCCTCCTTTGATCAGAGACTTGCTATTTTTTTTGCAGTAACATAAGCAATTTGCATTTTTTCATTTATTTAAAATTCTGATCACAGAAATATCTGAAGCTTCATTAAATTCTTTTTGCAGCCATATCTACATGATTTGGTGTTGCATTCGATGAAACTGGCTCTGCGAGCACGAGAACCAATTAATTACTTCCTTCTGCTTAGAGCGCTTTTCCGGTAATTTCTCTATTTTTTTCCTCAATGGAGTATTTGAATTAGTAGTAATTTTTCTCTCAATGAAGTATATGGTAATGATTTTTTCCTCAATGAAGTATTCGAAATAGTTTTGTGCATTGTTTGGTTTGTTGTCAAATGTCCTATGAGTAATACATTTATTTCTTTTTTCGTGTCTACTGTTTCGAAATTTCCGATTGGCTTTAGTTGGATAAAGCATCGACTGAGAATTGCTTATAGTAAGTAGGTTACAGAATTACTGGTCATCAACTTTGGATCTGCATAATGCAGAAGATTTTCAGCAGATTATCGGTCATATTTTATTGAATGTGGATATTAACTATTCCTTTTGAATTATACCTAATAGATTTGCATTTGCAGTGTTAAACGTATATATATATATATATATATATATATATAAAAACTTTAACGAATGTCAATTTTAATAAATACATAGAGTCCTTTGAGAACTGTATGAACATCTATAATTTCTTAATCATTTCAGTTCAATTGGCGGAGGAAGCTACGATTTGCTTTACCAAACATTTCTGCCTCTTCTGCCGACACTTCTGCACCAGTTAAATCGTCTTCAGTCAAGTACTCATCGGGCACAAATGCGTGAATTGTTTATTGAATTGTGCTTAACAGTACCTGTAAGGTAATAAAATCAGCTTTGCTGAAAATCTTTTTTAAAGATCTCTGATTTTATTCGTCATTGTCTTCCAAGTAATATAGTAAGACTTCGAAAATATTTCTTTTTATTCAGGTTGTCATCACTGCTGCCTTACCTGCCCTTACTGATGGACCCATTGGTATGCGCTCTGAATGGAAGTAGTAGTCTCATTCAGCAGGTTCATGATTTTTTTCATTATATAGATATTTCATTTTGTGAAATCTGTCAAAAATTTTACAAATCCAGCTCATGCATAATTGTAGATAGGTAGATAGGCTACTTATTAGTAATATTTCTATAGATTTTTTAGTTATATTTTCATTTGATCACAACAAATTTGGCTTAGCAAACTGATATAATGCGAGACAAGGATGGAAATAAATAATGCATCAATATAGTACATCCATGACAGAAGTCCAAATCTTACCAGCTGTGAAATATTGCAGGGTTTGCGTACTTTAGAATTATGTGTTGATAATTTACAACCTGATTATCTTTACGAACATATGGCGCCAGTTCGAGCTGAACTTATACGTGGTTTATGGCAGTGCATGTCAAGTCAGGAAAAAAACGCACCACAGATTGCATTTAGGTCTTACTGATTTCGACTTTTTTATTGTCTCACTTTAATCATAATGGAGATTGTGAATACGGATTTCATGTGTGTGTAAGCGGTCTGAAATTAATATTTTGGTGAAAATAGAATAGGATTTGTAATAAGGACTGAGAAATAAAGAGAAATCAAGAGATCATTGATCTTTCATGCTTTAAAAATCGAGAACAAGTAAGGAATAAATATTACATCCAGAATTTTGGGAAAATTTGGTGCATCGAATCGGAAAATGTTAACGGATCCTCAAAACTTGGTATTTAAAGATGAGCACTCGTTCGAATCAGCAGCATTTCAGTTGGTTTTTGAACGGCCTTCAGCACACGTTGCATTTAATGAAACATTATCGGATGGGGCCCAGGTTTTCATTTTCTTATACTTATAAGTACTGAAACTGGTTCAAATGAAATATGAAGGACAATTTTACTCGGTAATGCGAGTTGATTTCTACTTTAATTGCTTTTCCGCCTTCCAATAAAGTCTTTCTACTTAAAATAGGCTCCTGTTTTCAGCATAGTAGGAGCAATCCTCATTACTTCTGTGAATTAAATATTTCGGAAGTTGTGAAAGAATCGGTGAAACATTTGCGTTCACCATTTGTGGTTGATGCATCCTTTATTATGGCAACTTCACAAACAATTCCGGGAGGAATACGGATTTCATCTCTGACTATGCGACGCCATGCATTTCGAATAGTTAGAGGAGTGATTTTGAGCGCTTTGGCACCTACCAAACGCGGAATTTTAAACAATCCGTTCTTCAAAAAGCATCTTACCGGCAAACTTTTGGTAATTTTGTTTTTGCTAGTGTAATCAACAACATCATTGAAAATAACTGTAAAGACAGTAGTTTACAGAGACGAAATGGGTGCAAAGGGATACGTAATAATTCGAGAAATTTCAGGAACTGCGTACAAAAGACGCGAGTAGTTTTCAATTAGATTACCAGTGCAGCAATCGATATTCACGAACTCTTTACCTTGATGCTTTACTTGGGCTGTTTTGTAAGTTCGAGTTTTTTTACAAGCAGTTTATATTATAGACGGCAAACAAAATTTATGCCACTCTGGAAAATATCAGCATTGTCGAATGAAAAACCATTTAACTGAATTAGTTTGAAATTAAAAAAGTCTGAAGGTTATGAAGTTCAGAAATTACTATTTGTAAGGCTTTATTCTATCGTCATAAGCATTCTTTTTTTTTTCAGACGCAACAGCTGCAGTATTACAAGAAGCAACCAGTAATGTTATGGACTTCTTTTGCATGGTTATGCGGCATTTAACAATTCAGATTATTTTTGAACAGTGCCGAGGTAGATTTTTTTTTAATTTTAAAGATATCTAGCCATCGAATCTGCTCTCCATTTCTTAGTGTTTGGAAATTACATTTTTGAAGTCTCCGCTGTTTCTTCGATCTAAAGAACATGCTCTTTTAGTCTTAAACTTTCTCGCTGTACTTGATTGTATGTGACTAGCTGTGTTGTGACTTTTTCAAAAACATTTAAATGACTGATTTTAGTTATTAGAGTCTTACTCTTTTATCTTCTGTTGGCATTGGTTTTAAAAAACTTACTTCTCTTATAGAAAAAAGCGATATGATTGCGGATCGCGATCCGAACTCCATGGATTATACTGTCCTGATTGATAGCGTATTGCTTGCTTTAACTGATCCATGTAAAGAAGTATGCCAGACTGGCCTTATGGCACTGAAATTGATCTGCGAGACAACAGTAGCTCTACTCGGTAGTATCAGCAAAGTAATTTACTTATCAAAAACTTTTAAAAAGCCGTTTCTAAAATAATCATCAGTAAACGATTATGACTAGTATGCATAACTGCAACTCTGTGGATGCTAAATGAGGGTTTGTATAAAAAGGTGGCAGTAAGGTAAACAGGAAAATTAATGCCAAAAACATGGAGATCTAAATCCTGCTTTGAGGCATTGACATCTAAATATGTCCCATCGACGCCTGCATTGTCATGGGACGTAAATTTGTTCCATGTGAGTAGAGCAGGTTATTACTATTGATATTTTGGACCGTACTGCGGATTTTTATATTGATACTGTTGTAACCCCAACAATTTTCTGTTGCTGTGCATATCTCTTACTGAAATTTCAGGCAGCCAACACTATATTTTTTCAACAAATTTTGGAACGAGCAACTAATCTTTGTTATAACGAGCCATGGTGCATTCGTCTTGGTGGATGCTTAAGCATCAAATTTATCTTGATGAACTTTCCGCTAGCTTTCGTTATCAGTAATATTGATACCATCCTTTGCGCTTTATTTGAGGTGCTTTCTTGAACATTTTAATGGTTATGTGGAATTTTGAACCGGGTAGTTTTAATGTTGGACATTGATTTCTTTATGGATTTTCCTTAATGCCAAGAATTACATAATTTATCATCAAATTTAGATTTATCTTTCTTTAAATTTAAAGAAATACTTTTATGAAGTACTGAGTCATGATTTTATAGGTTATTGTTGGACTTGTGGAGGATGTTTCCAGTTCAGCTGTCGATGTTGCAGTTGCCACATTGGATTTGTTATTGAAAGTATTTAATTTTATGGTTCAATCGAAAAAATGGAAGTCTAAATATTTAAGGATTTTATAATGTTTGTTCATCGAACTATTCCGTTCCTCTTTTAATTCCAGGTCTGTTTCGGACAATCACCAGTTCATGAGAAAAGGAAAGAAGCCATTAAATGTGTAGTTGGGCGAATTATTGAGAACCTTTTGAGCCCTTCACAAGTTCTTAACAAACAGGTTGATTTTCTTTCTTATTTATTAAATATTCATGATGTGACATTTCACAGACTCAAATTTTTTTAGTGTCAGAAAATGCTTACGATGTTGGCAGACTATACCGAACTTTCACAGTGCGAATTGCTTGCATTACAAAATGAGTTACTAAGAGAGTTCTTAAAAAATGGTATGATAGATCACAAAAGAATGTCTCTTGATCAACAAATTATCTTCGAGGTTTGTGAATCTCACCTGTTTACTTTAATTTATTTAAATATTGGAAAATCGATATAGTCGCAATTATACATTAAAGTCTTTCAAAAAAAAAAAAAAACGTTTAATGAGCAGCGGTAAATACGGACACTGTCTGAATAAACTTTTACTTTCTGGCTTGGAAGAATAAATCACACAATTTTGACTATGTAGATTTAGTTCTGAAAAGAATGAATGTGAGTGCTTGAAGATCAATCTATTTCAGGATGCTTTTGTTTTCATTTTTTCCGTTCGACCAGTACCGCAGGAATTTATATTGGAAAAATTTCCGGAAAACGATTATGTTTCTCGGCTTTTATCTATTTGCAATGCTACCGGAAAAGAAATAAGGAACAGACCAAATTATAAACCATCAATGCGATTCCTTGCCGTCATGCATCATTCGCAACTCAATTCACGCGTCATCGCTTTACGACAATCAACTATAAGTTAGTATTTCTTTTTTTGTTTTTTTCATTTCATGATGAAGTTATGATCCATTCTATAACTTGAATATTGTTGATTTTTATACCCTGAATATTCCTGAATGTTGCTGATTTTTCAAGATTTTACAACAGATATTCATTGTAGTCAAAATCAACATAAATTGGAGAAGGAAGTTTTGCAAAATTTAGGAGCATTGGTAGCATGTTGTATTGCATCTTGTGGAGAATTAAAACAAGCAATGGATCATGACCCACTGTTTCCACATCACAAGCAAATATTCGAAGCAATTTTAAAATGTCTTACGGAAGAAAATGAGGAGATTCAGGATGCTGCATTCAGCGCATTAAAAGAAGTTGTTTCTTATTTGAGTTTATCGTTTATCAGCTTAGCATTTTCTCTGCTGTGTGGGATAATATTTCTTTTCATGCTGTATAAAACTATTCACATTTCGCATTTTCTGTTTTATTTGTGAATTTCATAAATTTTGTTTTAGGCGTTGAGTTTAGATCGATTGCGAGCACATTTACTTAAACTGGATCTCGGGTCAATGATTACCGCATTGTCTCAGTCAGACACTCGCTTACAGAAACACGTCGTTCTGCGTTTGCTGTACCTCCTACGATTATTTCCAGATGTCTTCTCAGAAACATTTTGCAATGATATGCTAGTATCTTTTATTAAATTTCCGATTTTCTCGTTAGGACGTTTAAGATGTATAACAACTGTTCGTAACAATACGAGTGATATTAAAAAACAGATAAGTGATGGTTACAAAATTATGTTAATTTAGGATGCTTTTCGGAAATTTCCGGACCCTAGCCAAAATGATATTATGGTGAACGATGTTAAAGTAGGAAGGATATTACTCGAAATTCTGGCCGAATTTCATCTTGCTGATGCTAGTTTTGTGCATTTGATTATACCACATGTTTGCAAGTGGGAAGCAGCTGTTGCTTTTGAGGTAATATTTTTCGAAATAATGTTTTTTCAAATATTTTTAGCAGTAATCTTTAGTGGTCGAAATACCGTTGCGCATTTTAGAAATTCTGTATACTTGTTATTTTGACATTAAGTGTGTTGGTTTGCAGAATAAAGATATTTGATTTGCCAGAGATCGGACCAGTTAGACATTAACTGATTCTCGTAAATCATCATGAAGAATGCGGAATATTCTCTATTGATAGTCACCTTTAAGCTTTGTATTACATTTCATTATTACTTAAAATCTACATAATGCGCCTTAATTAGAGAAAAAAAATTGCGTTTACACCGTCAACAACGTAACCAAAAGATAACTAAATAATTAAAAGAATCTTTGTAACACAAATAAATAATCGGTGATTGAGACTTCGTTTCTTGTTGATGTATATTAATAATTTGTAATTTTACAGAGCAGCACAAGTTGGCGTTATCCGCTAATGAAATATTTAACGCGATTTCCACAAGAAACTCTGCATTTCTTTGTTACAGGCAACAACATTTGTGAGCAGAGGAATCGTGAACTATTTAAGGTCCTTACAGTTGTTTGTAATCATTGATATAAAATGCATGAGGCGTGATGATTACTAGTTGGAATAATATGAGAATTTTTCATTTTTCTATAAAACTATATGTTGCAAGAATTTATGATGTCAACTTAATTATTGACAGGAAATAAATAAGAAATATAAAAATATAGTTAAACCATAAGTTGATAGATTTCTTTTTCAATTTTTTTTATTTTTTAATCCAATTTTTTTACAGTATGTGGTGAAGCATGAAGAAGCAATAGCAATTCAGGAAAAATTAATGACAGACAATAATTTTTTACTTCGGTTGTTGCAAGGAGAAGCTATGGTTAATTAGTTTTAAACATTGTTTGTATTTGTATTATCAAATATTACTAAAAAAAATTGCACTATTTAGTGATTTGTTCTTGATGATTCGATTATAGGCTGGACATGATCGTGTATGGTCTTTCGTAAAAGGCTAATCATAATAAGAATAAAGCTCATCCTGGTTTTTTCTTATCAATTTAATATTGTAGGCTTGAGTAAATTGAATTTAAATTTCGTGCTTAACTAAATTATTCGCTCAAATTTTATGCTATGTACATTTATTCGGTATCGCAGGATGAAGCCGGCAATTGGACAAAATGTGATTTATCGATCTATGATATGGAAATGTTAACTATGAAACTGATTGTTAGTATCGGGAAACGTCATTCGAATTGGGCTGGGAACGGTGCTGGCGAAATTGTCGAAGTTATACAATCATTGTGGAATAATAAGGATTTCCGCGCTCGGTATACATGCAAGGTGAGAGATAAACACAGATTTTGTTTATGCTTTTGTCTCGATTGATCATTTAGGAAAGATAGGCTGCATAAGCAGATATAAACGCGCTGCACCAAAAATTCAAAAAAATGAAGTGAAATAAGGAAAAAAAAACATTCCTTAATTTCACCTTATCAGAAAACTAAACGTCAACTTTTCCAGGATTATTTGGAGGGGCCGCGTTATGACGTCCCTAAACTGGCAGCTCTGATCATGTTGCGTTATTTCAAGTAATTCTTGAAATTATTTCCACATTTTGTTAAATGAAACATTTCATGCTCTCTGTCGGTTAAATTTGTTACTCAAAATTGATAAAGTTTATCAATCTTTATTTTCATCGATCATCATTCAGGGCCAACATTGATCGCATTGATATTCTATTCGACCTTTGTCATGTGTTTACGAACAACTATATCGGTGATTTCACGTTTGTAAGATTATTTATCGAAAAGGAAATTATTCCGGTAATTTTATTTCAGTGCAATTTATTATTAAGTTTGAAATGTGAAATCTTGGTTCATTATAACATGCAAATTTCTCATAATTATAGAAATATCCTATTGAATGGCGGCAGAATGCACTAAAACGAATAGTTGCTATGTTTGAAAAAGATTCGACTACAGCTCATGATTTGAATGTTGTTAAAATGCTTCAGTATGTTGTCATACCTTCATTACATTATGCGTTCGAGCGTTACGATGTTGATGTGGTTAGTTGACGATAATTCATGTTTAATTATTGTTGCATCTCTTATTTTTCTGAAACTTTGATTGAATTTTTGCTTTCTGGAAATAGAAATTTCAGTTTCACTACTCCGATCAAAAAAACGTTCTTTTGATTAAACACTCTCTGATGTAACGAATCGATGTAGATAATGATGTTTTTGTTAAAGGATGAAAAATACCTTTAACTTTTCAAAGAAAATTTTTACCCTTGCAACACTAAATAATATAAGTGGTAAAAAACAAAAAGGATTATTTTTTTAGATAGTTGGTACACCAGCAAAACCAGATGACGTAGATGATAACAATTTAATTTCATTGGTCTGCCAAAAAGTACTCGATCGAAACAAATTTCATATAAGTGATGCAATGCTCATTCAGTTGTTCCATCTAGGATGCCTATTTGTCAGTAATTGTCCAACTCATATACATGACTTCTCACAAAAGTTTGTGTTTTACTCGGTTAATTGAATTGTCTGGAATTTTGGCATTGCAGGAAATTCTATTTTCTTTGGTTTATCGCCATTCTAGCAGAGGTAACAAGATAATGAAATTTTTGAAAAAAAGGTATTGTAAAGCTGTCTCAATCGTTTGTTGTTATGACAGAGACTGCAGGAAGCAGGGCAATCGTCTGCGCATTTTAATGCTTTTGGGTTGGCCATGTTTGTCTTCGACACCTCAGGATCAAACAATGAAATACATGGGTCATTTGCTGATTGCTAATATTATTAATCAGTTTAATATTAATCGAAAGATCGTTTTGCAGGTCTTTAATCATTTTTTTATATGTCTTTTTTTTTAAATAATTAGATCTATAATTATACTGGATGAAGAAAATGCCATTATTTTTCATGCTTCGTAACATGTCACAGAATGCACTCTCGCTTTGTATTGATATAGGATTTAAAATTGAGACAATTTTCGATGTCGCAGCGTGGCCAGGATAGTTTTTTTTTCAGGTTTTTTTAAGTCTGCTGAAAGCAACTATGAGTGATCCGAAAGATATTATCAAGCGTTCACTTGATATATTAACTCCATCTGTACCACTGCGTATGGATGATGGTCATAAACAATTGATGACCGTTGTTAAGAAAACCATTGTTGAAGAAGGCCATAATGTCTCACAAATTTATCATTGTTTGTAAGTTTTTTATATTTGAACTCATTGTTTAAGACTGAATTTAATTTCATATTTTTGGTGAAGAAGGAAAGTTTTTTTCTCATAGGTCAATGATAGTTCGTCATTACAAGATCTATTACAATGTGCGTCACCAAATGCTCCAAGTTATACTGAATGGAGTTCAGCGCTTGATGCTAGCACAGGGAACGTTGGAAAACCGACGGACTGCGATTGATGTGTGTGAAATGGTTATCAAATGGGAGCAGTGGCGACTAAAGCAAACAGAAGAATTGGTACAGTTCATTTTTATTTTTTGCTTCACTTACGAATGGATCAAAGTAGTTGTTACTGTTTTGTATGAAAAGTTTTGGAACAGTTTGGATTCAAGCGCTGTAGAGAATATAAGCTGATTCTGATTTGTCTAATTGAAGAAATCCTTGCATTCGTAGTTTTAAACTATATGCCATAGTGTTTTTAGAAATGCTGAAAGACGAGAATTAGAAATTTTCAATTTTCGAAACGTTATCCAGAAAATTTCAGGAAAAAGGATCAGAAACTAGTAAACAGTCACAGATTGAGACAACAGAAAATCCTTCAGGACACCAGCAGTCTTCGTCCTCATGTTTATCTCAAATGCAAAGCAAGAATGTAGAAAATGTATCCGTTATAAATTTGACTCTGTTTTCAGTACTGAAAGAACACAATAAAAAAAATATAAAGCTCTTTGTTTGGGTGTTTTGGACTTTTCTACTGTTGGATTGTAAAAAGTTGGATTTTACTTTTCACACGCTGATAATAATGAATAATACTGATGAATAAATATAGATTGATTTTAGATACACCGACCGATCGAGAAAGTTCACATGGACCATGTTGTTAATATGCTTGTAAAATTATCGTCTGCAGTACCTGACGCGGTCAGTTTTTATGTTCCTTGAACAAAGAGACTTTCGGAAAATATTTGATTTATTTACTTTGTAGAAATTTCAGAGGCTAGTTCAACTAGTCTAGTTATGCTGAAGTAAGAGGTATAAAAATTGCAGAATCTTACGCAAAATCCAACTCAGCATGCTGTAGCAGTGGAACAGTTATGCAAACGATGCCTAGGCCTGTTGCGAGCCTGCTTGAAAAGCAATCTTTGGGGACTTACCGCTACTCTCAGGCTCTCCTGGTAAATGGCAATATTTAAATTGGTTGCACAATTTCATGCATTTAAAATTTTGTTTCCTAGAAATGTCTGACGCTGAAGTTTATTAAAATATTGAGTATGATTCGATTGATATCTGACGGAAATCCGTTACATTTTAAAGTATGATATTGCATGCTTCGATCACTTCCATTAATAGATTTCTAAGATTTAAATAAGAGAACAGCAGTTTTGATGGAGAAGGGAAATTTTCAATACATTTATAGGTTGGAGAAACAGTTGACAGTCGCTGCAGAGGCTGTAACCCAGCAATTTCGGGAACAGACTACAGTTGCTCACCATTTCTCACAACTGCACACATCACTAGATATTATTACACATCTTGTCGTCATTTTAGTTAGTAAAAGCTCTTTTATTGAATGTTTTTGCGGATTTGGTATTTTTAAAGGACTATATATGAGTAGGCAGTTTTTCACGAATGGACTTCTGTTTCCATTTCTTGAAATTGCAAAATTTTGAGCTCTGTGTTTTGTGACATTGGAAAGGCCGCGCTGTTTTTGTTTCAAATTAATGCCGACATGCAAGCAATTTTAATATGAAAAAATTTAACTTCGAAATAACCAACCGAATATGCTACTACAGAAAAAAGGTTTTCAGCCACAAGAAGTTATTGTTACAAACGTGAAAATGTTGCAACGCGGGATCGTTGCTTGTTTAAGTTGCCAAGATAACGCTGTAAGTTTCATAACTTTGAAAAGTGTAATAGTTTCGAATTTTTCTTAAACGAATTGGCCATTTTTGTCTATTTTTCTATTGCATTCAACGATTTTTCTATTTATGAGAGAGTCTGGAAGCTAATTTAAACTTTTTTAAGGTAATGCGAAGTCTTTGCCAACTTATTTCTAAATTGTTCGAAAAAACAAAGTGCTCACCGGAAGGATTAGATGAATTGGAAACGATCAACCAATTTGTTACAAAATTCATTAACGACACATTCACCAATTATGAAAAGTACGTTTCGCAAATTAGACTTCTTAACTTTTCTGCACTTTTTTCCGTGAGTGGAAGGCATTCTGAAAGTCTGAAAAACCTCGACATAGATGTACTTTTGTGGTCTTTAGCTTAATTTTAGCTGATTAAATGCAGCGAATGTCGTTCTATATTTATTATGAATAAGAATGATAGGAAGTTCCTGTCAATGAAGAAATGCTGGAGGTAAATCCTATTTTAGAGGACAAAGTCAGCCAATGACTGGTGTGTTTGCGACAATTCATTTGTTACGCACTATATGCGTTGTTCAACCTGCCTACGTTGACACGATGTGTTTGAGTTCATTCACAAAAGCTGTCCAAAAACTTGTTCGCGAACACGTCTCTTCATGCACTGAAAATAAAGGTCTGTTTTTTTATTTTTGATTTAATCAAACAGTGGTGGTTTGATCCAATACTAATAAAATTATGACATTTAAATACTAAGTTTGATCACCTATTATATTTTTTTTCCAGAGTATATTTTCATCCATTGTGATCGAGGAAATAGTATATAAATTGAATTCCTGGAATATATTTCTATAATTTGGATCTACATTTTTTCCCAAAAGTCCTCTAATATTTAAACTTTTATCACGATGTTAAAATCAGTATGGTTTTCAGGACATGCGCTGACTGAATTAATTATTTTTTCACTAGAACTTCTTCGGCCTCGTATTCACGCAATACCACCCGAAGCACGACGCAATATCGGACAGTGCATTTTAACACCACTCATAGACAAAACGCCATTCGATCGTGTTCTTGACATTGTTATTCGTGTTGTTGACATTATGGTGCGTAATGGCGATGAGGTTCGTTCATCTTAATTTTTGGTCCATGGCGATTTAGGTTTATTTTTCTAGGGGCGATAATTTATTAAGTGGAATCTTCATTATTTCCAGCCTATTCTAATTTATTAGAAGGAAATACGGGACTTTGTTTTAAACGTAGTCTTCTAATAAAGTAACAATCGACTTTTTAAGATATTGTTGCAATTTGATTTGTTTTTAGCGGCAGCTCAATCAAGGTGTTCCCCTTTTAATAAGGCTGGTGCAAACAATGGAAGCGCATAAACGTCATGAAAAATCGGGAGATTTACTGAAGATACTACTTGAAACAGTTCTTTATGTTTATGAAACTGCCCATCTACGAACTAGCGAAACATTAGCAAAACTTAATAGTGCTTTTCATTGGGGACTTTGTGCTCAGGTGATCATTGATGAATTTTTTTAATTTACGAACTTTGGATGATTATGTTTGGATGATTCTTTTCTCCAACGATTTTCAGTTCCTCATCTTGAAATTTGACTGGTATTGTCAGATAATTATCAAACAATTTTTCAAATGAGATTCCTTATATATTTGCAAGTCTGAACCAGTTGATAACATAGAAGTTCTTTGCTGCACAGTTTTATTTCTGTTGTTCCTTAACCATGTTCTCAGTTTTAATTGCAGGATGAGTCATTGCGTTCTCGGTTTTTTAAGTTATTCGATGCGCAAATACCAAAGAACATTTGCGACCGATTATATCACATCATTACATCACAGAATTGGGCTGACATGCAGCAGTATTTTTGGATCAAGCATTGCATAAATGTGAGTTATTTCTAATGCATTTCTGGATCAGAATATTTATGATTTGGAATTTGTACTAGTATATATGGAAATTCATGTGGAGGAGATTATTGGGAATGTTGAATTTTTTATGTCTGTCAAAAATTCTTTGTTTAGCTTTTGCTATCATTAATAATGGACGAACACAAGGACAAGAATAGCACAAGAGTACAGAAAACAGTATTATTGAATTGCTGCACTTTATGGCATACATTTGAAAAAATGCTTGATTTGGAAACATTACATCGAGATCATCCGGAAGCATGTGATGATGATGTATCATGGGCAATGGATACAACTGAAAGCAAGCGAGACGATTTTATAGAGACTTCTGGAACTCAGACCCTAACAGGTTTTTATAATAATATATTTATTGCGATAAATTAGTTGTGACGTCTTTTAGTTTTCGGAAAAAGAGGTAACGGAAGTTGTTATTCTATTATCTCACAAACTCAGTATACTTTTTATCTTAAACGTATTCAAATGTTAACCTGTGAGTGATTTTGGAAATTTGTACATTTCAAAAAAATAATTGCTTTCTTGTCTTTTAGAAGTAAGCATACCGATTTGTAGTACAGCAAGCACACAGGATCTACAGACCACTTTAATTGTCGAGCAGCAGGTGCAGTTGTTTGAAATGGCTGCCAAATTTCAGATCACTGATATTCTTCCGAGTTATTTGGAACTCGTACATAGTAGTATGTTGACTTAATTTTTTTCCTGAACTGAAAAGCTTTGATTTTAAAATTTTAAAACTCTTCGGCACTACAATTCTTTAAAATATTTAAGTTTATTGCTGACGATGTAATATTATTCTTCATTATGAAGATTGCAAGATACAGTCAAGTTGTTTTCCCTACCATGTTTTGTATCGCTTTTTAAAACAATCATAGTTATGAGCAATAAATTAAGGAACTAAGTTTCCAAACCATGGATTGCAGATAATGACTTAGCGTCGAAGATCTGGATAAAATTATTCTCCTCATTATGGTCAAGCCTACAGGAATTCAAACAAGCTGCCCTTAGTGCCGAAATAGTACCATTTCTCTCATCTGGATGTCATCTCGTACAAAGAGATTTACCTCATTCAGCAGTTGCTACTTTTCTGGAAGCTATTTGTCGCTGTCGACCTCCTATTCCAATTCATTCAAGTGTACTTATGGTAAATTTATATAATATCGAATAATAAAAATCGATATTTGAGAAATCGAGCTTTTTTAGAACCATCAAAATTAGAGTCTGCTGTCATTTATGTTACCAGTAGAAATGACTAAAAGTTCAGATTTACTTTCAGATAGAGCAGAAAGATTTTTAAAATTAAATAAATGAATTTGCGCAGAATTTTTTGTGAGGGAAATTATCTTAATTATAATATGGTGCAGAATTTTTTATATTGATGTTTTATAGTATATTTCAATAAGGCATCATGCATGGCACCGTGGCTTGATGATACTTGAAGATGAGGCAGCGAAAATTCCTCCTTTCACGAATAACTCATTATTGCTTCAAATTTTGCAACCAGCACCCACTAACATGCAATTGGTATGTGGTGTAGAATATTGTCTTTTGTATTTTTGGTACTTCCAAATAATTCAAAGTTTTTCTGCAACTTGCTGTTTCATTTTTTTTGTTTAATTTAGATAACGTTGAATAACTTGATTCTATTATATTCCAAATTATCTGAATTTGACCAGTACCGAGCAATTTGGAAACGTCGTGCTTATTTTGAAGAAACTTCGAAAGCTATTGAATATTATAACGAAGGTTCGAATTTTTATACTGTTGATAATGTTTTCGAGTGTCGCATCGCCGGACGATTTACCCAAGAAGCAGGGTATTCAATTTTTGATCTCTGAAAACTATGAAAAATGTGTTCCCCATGTTTAAGCGCTATCAATTAGAGCGCTGTATGGTCTATACCACCATGTTCTGCCTGTGCTATAAACAACGTTCTGCGGTGATAATGGGACATTCTGATGATCATCTTAGCCCTTTCGCGATTATTAGCGCTTTAGTATGATAATTTTTAACAGAGAGTATCGAAAATATTTATAACGATTCATAACATTTTTTCATCTTTCACACTGATTAAATTTTTCAGGTGACTTTGTACGAGCAGAAAAAACTTTAAGAAAGTCGATTGAGGCTATCAATGATCGTGTAGTTGCTCCTTATGGTGCTAGCAGACAATTAGACGTAACTCCTGCGCTTGGATTTGAGCTGCGTGAATGGCACAAATTATGGGCCGAGTAAGATTTAAATTTTTTAAGACGCAAATTGACCAAGCGGTAAATTCTGTGGATACGCGCCTTGGTAGTCGTATAATCGATGCACAAAAAGTTTTAAATTTTAAATATATGATATTTAATGTTAACTAAGCATGTTTTGATTTTTCGAGTTGGCAATTCAATTGCTAATCAATCACTGAATGAAATTTAGGTAATTGATAAAACTTACTTATTGCTTGCTTTCATCAGAAACTTACATATGATTTGAAAAGGGGTTTTGCAAAAATATTTGACTTGTATCAAATTTGCGCATTAAGTGATCTTATTTACTGTTACAGTTGTTAGCTCGCGTTTCCCATGCGATTTCTCTAATTTTCAGTTAAAAATTTTTTACAAAATTAATTTCATGACTGTTGTTAAATGTGTAATTAGTCAATGAAATTATATCAAATTAGATGATAAGCATCACGGATGGTCGTTTGTTTATATCTTCCTGCATTTAAGCGCCATTATATAGTATTTCCTGCAGAACTGCAGATGCATGATCTTTCCTGATGAAGTTGTACTAATAGTATTGTTATCCATTATTTTACTTGTACCAAATTTGCCATTGTTTCTTAAATTTGTTAATGAGGTCTATAATTTTTTAGTTGTGAACGTGAACTTGGTGAATGGAACGCTTTATTACAGTTTGGTAATACACCTGCTGTATACGGTCTCAGTATTGTTGCAGATGCAGCCTGGCATCTTAATGACTGGAACTTGCTTCGAGTTACTCTTACTCAATTGGAAGGTTGCACGCAACCAGATTTGTACTACAAATATTATCTTTACAAAGCTATGCTAATGGTGAGTATACTTAATTCTATTCTACTCATACAAATTCGACAATTTCTGGATACCGATTGAATAATGACTTCCAATATATTATTATTTTCATTACTTGATTTTTTAAATACCTGTTTTTCAAAAATGTTATGATAGAAAAATACTGGTTACTTCTGTATTATTATTTATCCACTACAGTAATTTAGAAGAATTTTTCCAGCACTGTATTCATACCTAGCTGTTGGTAGATGAAGCTAATGCTAAATATTTTTCGTTGAACAGAAGTAGTATTGCACTGAATGTATAGAAAATTATTACGTTCAGATAAAATGAGTCATGCGAGCTGAGGAATCGTTTCAGTTTATCAAGTTTCCATTAAGTTTTTTGAATACATGCTTAGTTCATATATTCACTGTTGATGCATCTATGTCAAAGCTTTTAGTGCCAGCCATACAGATTCGATACTCTTTATTACTTAGCATTTATTTTTGTTGTAGAATCATCATCCCACACAAGAAGATCGGGCTACGGAATTACTTCATGTTCGGATCAACAGAGAATTGGACGCGGCACGAGATGATTTAATTACGGAGTGGAAACGATTACCTGACGCTGTTTCTTTCAGTCATGTCAGCATACTTCAGGTAATTAACTTTATCCAAATCTTTACTGCATTGGTAGTCGGTTAAAAGAATGATTATAAAATGAATATACAGTTCCGATTTCAGTTCGGAATAAACAGGTTTTATTTGATTTTGCTTAATGTATGGTTACATATCAGTTGCATCGAGACCACGTTTATTTTTTTTGACCGATTCTAACAAGTTTAATGTTAATACAAATTTCAAAATATTTTTTATCTAAATTCTAGTGGTAATAGAAAGGAATCTGCTCTCATTTTTTAGGCTGCAAATCTCATTCAGGAAGTTCAGGAAGCCAGTGTACTCACTAATCATCCGGAAGTTAGTGGTCAAGTGTCATTACCGTCAAATCCAGTTGGTGATGTGAAATCGGTAGTAAAAGCATGGAGGTCAGTTGGTGTCTTTCATGGATATTATAAAAGCCAGATATTTGGTTTTCAATAATTAATAACCTCTTAATACAGTGTTAAAATCAATCTGTGAAAGTGATTCATGACCATTGGCTCAAGTGGAAGGAACTAGAAGTAACGAAGTATATGTTGAGGAAAAGGATGCTAAACTATGGCACTTCGCGATCATGTGGGACGTAGAATTTTCCTCCAAATGACTGGACTGACAGAAAATCCTCCCAGGGCAGGGCTGTTTGGCTTGGTTTTCTTCTGAATATCTCAGCATCACCGAATAAATTCAGGAAGTCCACAATTTATTATTAGTGATTACATTTAATATGTTAAAATAAACGCAGTAAAAATTGAATTTTTGTTGAGAAACATGAAACTTCCAGAAGTCGGTCCTATGCTTTATCAGATCCTTTATCATTTTGGGTTGATATTCATCAATGGCGTATTCACCATTACAATACAGCCATCAAACTTCTACAACAAATGGAAGGGGTTTGTTCATTACCTGCCGTTTTATTTTTTTTTTTTTGAGATTTCCGTGTGAATTGCAAATACACTTTTTCATATTTTCAGATATCAAGAAAAGGGCAAATTTTTATAGTAAGTTTCGGATGGACAAGAAACATATTACTTATAGAAGATAGGAATAGATAAATGTGAATAAAGAAAGTATTGAAAAGTAAGTGAAGTGACATGAATAACGTAAAATGGAATAAGAGGAAACAAGAAAATCGATGATGGTAATAATTATAAAAGCAACAATAGTTATAAGAGTATGTAAAGGGATAAAATTTTCCGCACATCATACACAGATTTTTTGATGAGATAGTTCAAAATTTTAATCTTGAGAAGTTTATTCCAGAACCAATCGAGTCAGTTTCAACAGGGTTTACTTCCTTTCTATTCAGCAGCAAATTCGCAAATAATGATAGCTCGTACCGCTCGGAAAGCTGGACTCATAGATATTGCTATTGATAAATTAAGCAGGTCTACAATTTGACATTTCGCTTCTATTTTAATATTCGAATTGGATATTAATCTACATATTTTCTTTGTTTGCTTCCTGGAATCCAGAAACCATCTGTGCAGCAACTTGCTACTTTCCTTTTTTACATTCATAAATTTAAAGTCCAAATGAAGTTAAGTTTTTAAATTATAATTTAAAATGAAAAAATTAAGGATACATACTCTACCAGCTTTACCAGCAATGGACGCATATTTTTCGGTGAGAGAGTTTTTGAAGTGTTTGATGCACCGGGCTTCCATGCCTAATTTGACAGAAGAACAAAGAGAAAATGCATTAATGGAAGCATTCTCGGTTGTTCAAAGAACGACCATTAATACTTTCACCAAAGAAAATATTGCCAAAATTTATTGCTTGCGTGGAAGGATCTTGACGAAACTCAAGAAGTAAGTTCTTTGCGAAGTTCTTATCGACGGATTTTTCCACATTTCCATTACTGGTATAATTCTGGATCAGAGGACACTGAGTTCATAAATCCAATGTATTTTTATTTGTCATTTGAATCTGTTCTCAAACAAGGCTTATTTATTTTCCGAATTTTAGATATGAAGACGCAAATCGTTCATATAAAACCGCAGCTTTACTGCACGAAAATGTTGCTGGTGGAAATTCTGTATGGTTGCACTGGGCTGACTTCCTTGAAAGCCGATTGGACGCTGAAAAGTGTTTTTTTGAATTTGATTTTTATTTTCTTTCCGTCATCTGTGAATTTTTTGCTTCAACTTTTCGAAGACAGTTAAGTAGAAAATTAGGGCAATTATTAGTGGTAGGAAAGAACAGCTGTAAAGTTCAAAAAGTATGACTTGTTGAATATCATAGTACTTTGTTGTCTCTTTCACAGCTCTTTAATTAGTCCTTAACACTTCATATTAATCGCAAGCATCTATTTAGCACGGAAGAAGCCGCACTGAATGTAGGAATGGAAGCGTTAGTTGGAATAATGGAAGGTGCTAGAATGGAAAATGAATTGAGAGCACGGAAATATGTTGCACGACTTTTGTGGCTTATGAAAGTCAGTTCTCGATTGGTTTTTCTTCCATTTACAAATTAAATGATTAGAAATAATTCTTTTTTATAATTATCAGTTATTTGATGTTAGGAAATGTCTATCGGCCAATAAAATTCGTTATAGTTGTCTTTGTTTAGAAATTATTGGTTTATGGGAGCGTAGTTGAAAAGGAAGTAGACGCAAAGTTGGAAAAGCATGGCACTGGTATATCGGCAAACAATTGGCTACCCTGGTAGTTCATCTCAAGAATTTTTAGCAATATCTTCTTTGTTTTTGACCCTGTCAACCATCCAGCTATATTGAAGGCTGCAGAATTCTGATTGGCAGTGTCGTTTTTCGCTTACTTGAAGTTACGAAAAATATGTTACTCAATGTACTCAAGCTTTATCATCATTACAGTATGATGTAGTAGTAGTATTACTGCTGGACATTTTTGAAAAATCCGATCATCAATTTAAGGTTACCGCAGTTGGTTGCTGAATTACAAGTACGTCCATCCTTAGCCATAGCGCGTATCATCTCACATGTTGGGGAGTCAAGCGAACAACAAGTTTTCTATGCTATTGCTGCTTCGCAGCCGCTTGACTTTATTCTCGAAAATGTTTCCACAGGTCATATTTGTTAATTTCCATAAGTTTGATCATAGTATTAGCATTTGTTTATCACTCTATAGAATTAGCATTACGGAATTTTGTTGATTATTATGAGCAGGACTCCTGATTGATCTCAAGTAACATGCTTAGGAGGAATGAAATATGCAGTCCTTTATGTCAGGGAAAAAAAATTCCATAATCTGTCTACCGACTTGACTCACCATTAGATTAAAAATCATATTAGATCTCAACACACAGTTAAAAAAAAATATTAAAAAACATATTGCATATTAGAATAGATATTTTGTATATTCCATATCTTTTATAGTGTGTTTTCAGCTCTTGACCCGTTGAAGAATGACCAAAGTAATCCTGTCACTTCGCAAGAATTGTTCCGTGATATAATTAGAAAGTTGTGTCAGAGTCGACCTGTCGAAATATCATCTCTTTGTCGCGTGTTGTTCGAACTAAATAGCGTGAAAGAGGATTGGTTGGAGCGCACATTGTATAAAGTGAACCAGCTAAAGGACCGATTGTTTGTGTAAGTTATTAGAATATGTCTAATTTTTCAGCACAGCAAAAAGATCCTTGGTTAAACGGGTTTTATTTGAATTCTAGTCAATATTAAAGTTTTTGGAATTTATTTGCTCAGCTAACTAACTAATTAATCTTGATTAAATATCTGTATATTTTGGTAAATTTTATTTGTATCTGATTTCTACTTTTATCTGATGTTAAATGCGGAAGAGTGAAGAGTGAAAATAGTAACAATAACTATGATTGTGATTTTTTAAAAAGACAATATGCGGAACTGCAGATTTGCTTATAAGAATCTCGATTCTTTAACATCTCTTTTGATCACCGAAGATTTTCTTATGGAAATCAAAAATTGGCGATGTTCGTTAAATGACTTCACTGGATTGAAAGAAATCAGTGAGGTATTTTTTAGAGTTTTCTCTTTGTAATGAATATTTAATGGCTGATTATTTTCATATTAGTCGAGTATATTTAAAGAAAATAAAGAGGAATTACTCAGTATGTATATTCGATATGAAGACGAAATGATGAGAATTCAGCTATCTTGGAAGTTACCCATTGTTATCTTTTGTTTTTCTTTCAGGACATAAAAAAATGTGCGCAAGACATCGAATCTGATTTTGATATCCAAAAAGGGAAAAATGATAAGATGACAGATTTATTAAAAATTGTTGTGAAATGGTCGTCATTGCTGGCTGCAAAATTCGATAAATTGCCGAGGTTACTTTGTTCCTAACATTAAAGTTGTTCTTCCTGTTTATCACTGCATTATGTGTGGTACAATTAGTGATCTGGATGAGAAGCAGATGTCGTTAGAGATATACAACTCCTATAATAATTTTTATTTTCCAGTAAAAAGTTGGTACGAAATGTCAGTCAAGTTTTGGCATCTTATTCATCTAAAGTTGCAAATATTGAAATTTTCAGTGGGCACTATGTGGCAAAGGTATTCTTGTTTTGAAAGCATTTTCTCAACCCATAAGTAAGGATGCTTGGGAATACACCAACTTTTTATTTTGATAAACTTTCTTTAAGAGATAAAAGAGTGAATATACGTTCGCGAGGATTTAAATCATTTAATTGTCTAACTATTATTTGTTTTTAATTCATTCATTTTTAGAGCAAAGAATTTTCTTCAATTATTTACCGCTTTATGCCCTATTATTTTGTAATACGAAGAGCTGATGTCATTACACGTCGCATTTCTGTCCGTGCACTTAGTGGAAGAGTATGGTTTCATTTTATATAAATTTTAAAACTAATATTCTAGGTAAATATTTTCGTGAGACCAGGAACAAAAAGTCTTCAATAAGAGCTAAGTTTCGATTTGAAGTAGGTAAGAAAAGTGGAACTGCAGTTGTTTTTATGTTAAGTTGTTTTTATGTTATATTTAAGAAGTAAAGTAACTAATGCAATGCTTTTCCAGGTCTTTTTTTTTCAGGTCTACTGCTATTATTTAACTAAACATCATGATGTAAGCAAGGATGTTTCTGGAATACATCAGCTTTTTGCTTTAATTAACCATTTTCTTACGAAGGAAAAGGTCAAAATTTTCAGAATTTAACCTAACGTTTATTGCCGTGCTTCTTTGTATAATTCATTCTCTTATTTCACTTACTGTACTTCGCTTATCTCATCACAATTTCATCTGTTTTAAAACTATCTTTTAACTCTCCAGACTGGTCAAAAAAGACTTCAGTACTAATCAATCATTTTATTTAATTATTTACTTTAATGAATAAAACGCAGATCAGTCATTGAAATGATTTTTCCAGGAAACATGTCGACGATTCCTACAAATAGCTGTACCTCATTTCGCATATATCGGTAGCGTGTCATTGTTAGAATGCAATAATAAAATGAATTCTCTTTACACATTTGAAGAAATTTTAAATGCGATTTTAAAAAATAAAACCGATGTATCTTCTTCTGCGAAACTTATCGAGAGGTAAGCCCTCTTCGCTGTTCAAAAATATTGCAGCTTAAGGTCATGAAATCCTTGAAGGAAATTTTTTTTTGAAAAGAGAGTTTGAAACCAACTCATGTTATATTGTAAAAAAAGAAGTATATAAATTCAAGTAAAAATTCAGTGGAAACAGAAATGTTTTGCCACAGTAATTTTTATCACTTAATAATAGTCCACACATCCTATCTATCGTTTTCCTCTATCAAAACGAATAACTTAATCCTAAATTCTGTTAGTAGCTATTTAGGCATTGATTTCCCTGCAAGAATAGAAACATTTTCAAATAAATTTTATTCATTGTCTAGATCGACAATTTTATATGAAAGAGATAACTGATAAGTGACCGATTTTAAAGCAGAAGTTTATGAAACTTGTTAAATAGATTCAGATTTTCAGATTTTATGACCGTATTGCAAAATCCGCTGATATAACTAACCAGCTGTTGCTTGATGAGTTTCATCATATGACTTCGGAAAATATATTACCTACTGATTCACTTTTGAAATGGATCATCCCTCGTTATGAGGACCCTACGCACTACTATACTCTTCGAAAACAGGTTTGGCTTGATACCGGGATATTTTGATGCGTTACGCTGAAATTGTATCATTGAAACACTTTTTAATATCCTTTTGTTATTAATCTCTTTCATATCCAAAACATTTTTGTAGTTGTTATTGAAGGAAACAAACATACACACATATAGTAAAATTCTATGGCTAATCTGAAATCTCTCTCTTGCTTACTGATCCTTAAAGCTCTAGATGTGATGATAATTTATTTCAGTAACATCATTTAATATTAACGATATCACTACTTTCATTGATTTATTGAAAAATTTGAACATAGGTCGCATTAAACATGTCCGTGCTTTCCATTTGTGAGTATATTCTTCATCTTAATTCGACAACAATGACTGGCCTTTGTTTGAATATGAGGACGGGACAAACAATGAATATTGATTATCTCTTTGGGTTAAAGCCTCAAACTTGTATGTTTTGCTTTAAAAACAATAATTTCATTTATACCTTTGCATGTGCTACATTGGATTGGTGAACGGAATTATTATGGGAATGAAGCTATGGTATAATTAATTTGTAAAACTTGCTTTTCTATAAGTTGTAACATTATTATTTCTTAATACTATATGTGAAATTTCAGTGGAACTTGAAGTTGATCGAGTAGTACCGTATCGAATGTCGCCAAATTTGCATAAGTTTCTGGGGTTCTCTGTCGAAGGTTCATATTAATATTTGTCGTAAAGAAAGAATTAACTATTAGATTAGTTACTTGTCAGCTAGATTAATTAAAAATACTTTCACAAGTCAGCTTCATATTTTGCGAAAAATTGGTCTTCAGAGTTAAATTTCATTGCTTTATATTATTATTTGCAATATTCAGGTCACTACAACTGTTCAATAGTCGCAACAATTCGATGTTTACACGCACGGAAGATTGTCACCTACGCTCAACTTTTTCTGTGGGATACACTCTCACGACAGAGAAAGCTACCTGTGGCGGAAATTTTCAAGTTAGCACGAAATGCTGGAAAATTATTAGAAAACAGATTGAATGGTTAGTTTCCTATTTATTTCACTGAAATTCATCTTGATTATTGTCATTCACTTCCATTGATCTGCACAATTTGTACACGCTTCATTTGAGTAAACTTTTCCTACCTCATTGCAGAAGTGTTGCCTGAAATAATTTGACTCTTTTTATGCATGAAATTTTTTAGTTCAACAGAACTTGTAAATAATGCCGAAAGCAAGAAAAATTGTTTTCCAGATATGTATAAAACAGAAAGCTTGGCTGAATATGTTTCTCAGCTAACGGAAATGGCTCGTAAAGACGAAAATTTAGCACGCTTGGATCCACGCTTGCATCCTTGGTTTTGAAAAGCGTTATAATTTCTGATTTTTTATATGCTTAATCTTCGTCTCATGGTGTCTTCAGGCATTTTGCTTTTGTTCCATTTATTGAGTTTTTGTATAATATGGAATGATTCTTTCAAATACTGGTAAATACTTTTGGTAATTTTTTTACTTCCCATTACTTTATGTATGATTTTTTTCAACCATTTCCTACGTATGTGATATAGTTTTAATCTTAAGATAATTATTTGGTGGATTGGATTTGGTATACTGCCCATTAACTTTTGCTGGACGAATAGATATATTGCTTCAATTCTGTTAAAACTTTAATTATGTTAGGAAGAAACAAATTTTTGAATCGTGGGTTTTATAGAAGCAAGGTGAAGGAAAACATTTGATTTATGTCACTGGACGTTTGCCATTCTTGTGATGAAATTTATTCTGTATATTTCATTCCTTATTACTTTTTCAGAAATTCTGTAATTATATTTGTAATTAAGTCTTTCTTTGATCTCACTTATGCATAGATAGGTTATTCGTTTGCATATGACGTCGGCATTCTTGTATATTAATTGTTGAGTTTTGTTTTCTAATTTGTTCGAAACCATCTAGATACTTGAACTCAGTTAATAATGTTTCATATTTAGCTTCTCTAAATCTTTCCCATTTTTGGATATGGTCTGATCTTTGACACATTTCAGCGATATCAAAGACATTGAAACTATTGATCTTGGCGTGTTTTTATTCTTCAGATTTTCCTTTATCTCCTGGTACATCCCACAGTTTTTGAAATATTATTAAAGGGAGAAATCTATTGATAGTTCCTATTTGTTCAAAAAAAATTCTCTTTATTCACTACTATTGTTATTCATTTTTGCTCGAAATAAAGTGTTTTAAAGTGATTACGAAGAATTAATCGCTGTTTACGTAAATATTGCTGTTGGAAAAAGATAATTAACTTTTGAATCAGAAAAGTCTGAATCCGTACATTTCCTCCCAATATGTACAAAAGAATGAATGTTTAATGGATTCGTCACTGAAGATGAAGATTAAAAATAAGTTTTGGAGCCATCTATGTTATCATTCTATCTTTTGCCTTAATATCAATATATGGAAAAACTGATGCAATTGTACGGGTCCGCGCCATGCATTATATCTATGAATCGTCGGATGCTCATCTGGGCTGGAAGGCGAGCACTAAGTTTGGGAATTTATATTTCCGGAAAATTGGATACCAATTTTATTGAGATAGAAGCATGAGATTCTTTCAGTCTCAAGTACAGTTAACAGACAGGAAGTCCACTTTTTAAGCTTTGTTCGTATTCAATATTTCGCTTTGTAGAGGTCTGAATTTAATGGTTAATAAAATCGTTTTTATTCAAGAAGAGTTTACTCCACGCCTTTTGCTTGAATCAGGAAGCCCTGCCGCCCGACGTTCATATAATAAGTATTCCAAAGTCAAAGGAAGTTTCTTGCGCAGCAGGAAAAATCTGTTCCATCCCTTCCATCTAGTTTCATCGATTTTATGGTACAAAATCCCTGCGCTTCCTACGCTTTCGCTTCATTGAAATTTGCTGTTTCGATATCATTGTATGCATTCCCCGCCTTGTGTTTTGGATATGATTGTTAATTGTCACTTACGATTCCAAACAAATGTAAAATATATCTTACAACGTCAACAGAGTATTTCATTTAGAAACTGTTAATAAAATACACCGTAGTAATAATTGTTTAAGAAGTTTTGAGAAAAGTTTTGACAGACACTATAAATTGAAAATGAGTAGTTGAAGTCAGTCGTGGAAGCTCATCTCATAATAACAAGAGAAAGTAAGAAAGATCTGAACTTTAGCCATTCTGTGGTATTTAAAGAAATTAGTGAAGTGAACAAGCTCAATAAACACCAATCAAAAGTATTAACCTGACAGTCAGAGAGTTGCATTTTAAGTTCAAAAATGGTTAATCTTTATTCTCTTATACGTCCCTTCAAAATGTATATGACCCTCCCCATTTCTTGGCTGGATTGTGATAAGTAACAGAAAATGAACTCCATAGCACATCACAATGCAGTCAAAAAATTGGTTGGATAAAGGGCAGTAACCGTTCCAGTGGTTGAGGAGAAGTATAGCTCGACTCATTTCCTAAATCTTGAATTCCACAAAGAGAGAGTTACAATTATTGCTTGCTGTCTCATGCCAGTTTGATCTAGTACAACTTTCTGAATTAAGATGAAATCGTTGCAAACTGAGGTATGGATCAGTTGAATGCGTGTGAAAACTACAATCAGACAGTGTTGGTCAGTAGAAAGATTCCAGTCTTTGTCAGCGATGACGGCCAAAACATTAAAAATGATTGAATTGGGCTAAAAAGCTATTAATTTCATCCATCTATTTGACTTATCTCTCGCCAACCGGCACTACAGAAAATTTTCCACAGTCAGCAGGATGCAAGAATTACTTTTCGAGAGTTCTCCAAATCTTCCCGAATGTTTGTCCAAATAAACTAACGACCAATAAATTGATCATTATGCCATAGGTTCAGTGTCCTCAATTTTCCTTTAATCAATTTAATTCACCACAAATAACTTACTGAGAGAAATATTAAATTAGGCACAGCATCTGCTTCACATACTGTTTCGTTTGGAATATTTAAAAGAAAACTTTTCAGCACCCTGCTCAGTAACTAAATCAAATCTTCGAGAAATACCAAACATACTGAGAAACCGGCAGCATAATCAAATTGATGCAGTGCTGTAACAGATAAAACAGGTTCAACAGCGATTGAATGTGAAGTTGCTGAAGTACTGGAAAGTAGGGAGTATATTTGAGAAGAGAAGCGGAAATCAAAAAACTGCAATGTTTTGGATAATGAATAATGTGTGGAGTGGAAAGAAAAAGGAAGACGATAATAGTGTATAGAACAAGATTAAAGATAGGAGCACTTGTGAGAATAATTCAGTTATGTAATGACGAAAAGAAAGGAAAGAAGGAAGAGAACATCAAAATGAGGAGAGTGCGAGAAGGTTAGGAGCAAAAGAATCGGAAAGGAAAGGGCGTTTAACATTTGGGAGTTGGGGTTGACGTAATTGCATCGTATGGAAAGTATTCCTCGGGCCAACTGGATCTGTCTCTACAAACAATTGCTGCGGTCTGCCTCGCAGGTACGCTCAATCTCATACATTACTCTCTTCAAGGTGACGTCTTTGCTAGCTGGGACTTATATATCCCATCTCTTACAGGCGGCTCTTGGAAAGAATTTAGCTAGAAGATTATCCCTAAATTGAAACCTCATTTTCGGAGCTTTTATAACGATTATTTTTCTGCCTACCCGTAATTTTTTGCTCTCTTGTTTTTTTTTCAGTTTCCACAGTATAATTATCGAGAATTTTTCAAACGAAGAATACGCGACCATTTTAGGGCAGCTGTGAAAAACGACGACATTTCACAAGCTGAATTTCATGCGGTCTCGTCATCTTCATAATTTCGAATTTTATGGGTTGTTCTGACAAGTAGTTTATCAAATTGTAATTCGAGACATTTATTGTGATCATTTTGAAACTTCCTTCATTACTGATTTTGAATAACTGTCTTCATCAGGTATGATTGTGTCCCCAAGATTTTCACTTAGAAACAGGTCACTTAATGACATTGGTAGAAGTTCAGACTTTGAATTATGTACTTTTTCAGAAGTGTCAAGAACTGCTGCAAGTAATTCGTCGTCAATCCACTTTATATCAGAGTTATCCTATTTCGAAACTTGTAGTGGAGGAGAAAAGTGGTAATAAAAAATCCAACATAACAAAGACATCATCGTGAAGCTGCAAAATGCGCGAATGTCCGAAATGTAAGGCTAAAGAATACAATAATCGAACGATGCTGATGATGATTAATGAATGTGGTCATCCGCTGTGCAGGTAGGTCATTGGTTCAGGTGATTTAATCAATTAGCGTGAGAAACATTTCACAGTATTATCATGTATATAAAGGTCAGTGCAGTATTTTTTCTCATCTGGCAATTTTAGAAATTGTGTGGAAAATCTATTTGCTCGCAACAGCGGTCCTTGTCCACAGTGTGGGAAGATTTTATGGAAGAAAGGATTTTGGGAACAAATTTTCGATGACCCTATGGTCGAAAAAGAAAATCATATTCGTAAAAAACTTAAAAAAGTGATGTTTTCTTCCTCAGTTTTATGTACAATCCATCATATGTGGTTGTTTAGTGGAGTTTCGTGCAGATCATACTTGTCATTTATGGACTTTTTGTCAAGTTCATTTTTTCTTGCTGTAATAACTATCTTTAGATTTACAATTTAAAACGGGTGGATTTTCCAACTTTACACGATTTCAATAATTATTTGGAACGGGTTGAAACAATTGTCATGAATTTGACCTACAATATTGATGTTGAGGAAACGGAAACTGAAGTTAGTCGTTTTAAAATGGAGAACAGCGAACTCATCGAAAAAAATAAGCGCAAGGTTAGATTGGTAATGTTGTGTTTACATTCGGTAGTTTATTGGTTGATCCGCCGTTTTTAGAATCAGGCCTCCAAAAAATTGTTTTTTTAGCTTGACGAAGATCAAATATGGATTCTTCAAGTATTGGAAGAAGAGCAGAAAAGAAAAAAATTTGCTGTAGAGGGTGCCGAAGATGAAGTTAGTACTTTTCTTTGATTAGTACTTTATCGTTCGAAACTCTCAGCAGGTGTTTAATAACTGAAAAATTTTCAGGAGTTGTCTGGAAAAGTGACCAGTTCAAACAAATCTAAGGCAATAATTGATGAACTTCGTGAGTCCGATTTACCTGCAGAAGTAATTTTGGATCGCCAGAGAAAGCGACAGATTGAAGCAGAACTTGCGGAAAAAGAAGAAGCTTCAAGACGAAAGAAATTTAAAATGGGTAAGAAATGAAATATCAGTTTAATTGATTATTTGAGACTATGCCTTATATATATAGAGAGTCTTGTATTTTTTAAACGATCTTTTAGCTGTAAATAATTTACCATCGATCTCCTTTTGCAAGTTTTTAATCAAGGTTGAATTCACTTTATTAATTCCAACCCAATTCAACTCATTTTTTCTACAGAAGCTCAACAGAAACGTCTCGACACGGCATCTTTTGCAGCAGTTCGTATTAGTGGTGCACCGTTTGTATATCGTGCTCCAGAACTTTCTCTCAATGGGCCATCACTTCCAAAGCCTGAGGATTTGTCTAGGATTGGATATTTGCAGCATGTCTTACAAATTAGTGGGAGTAGATATGCGGGTGGATTTACACCAGAAACATGCTGCATGCGTGCTTTATTTGACTCCAGGATTGATTTGTTTTTATTTTGAAGCTCTAACTTGTGTGAACTATTGCATATACTGAACAATAAACTGATTTAACTCGAAATCTTTTAGATGTTCTAAACGAGAGTACATAGCTCGTGAATTGTTTCCATATGATCTTAATTTATGCAGACTAGCTGAATAGAGGGATGAAAAGATTTTCACTTATTAATTTAACGAAATTCTTCTGTTTGCAGTATCTCCTACTTTTATGATTTCTTTAGAGTTCTTTGTACATGGTGAATCTGCTTGGATTGTTTTATTCCATGATTTTCGGATATTTAGCGGTCTTATTTCGGATAATTGATTTTTGTGTTGATAAAACAACTTTACGGTTAGAAATAAGGGGTTTCGAAAACACAGGTCATTATTAATTATTGTTGTTATTAATCTCATCATTAGTTTATTTCATTGAATTTGGTGCCCAGTCTACTACACTTGTATTTTCTGCTTTGAAGCTGGTAATAATCTGTTGTTGTATCTTGTTTACTCGGTACAAACAATTAATTTCCTTCCATGAATTGCTTCTGAAATACTTTTGCTGTATGCTTTTCTTATATCAGTTCAGATTTTGATATTTAAGTAATTTTTGCAGATCTCGATGCTTTCGGGAAATTTCAGTTTTTTTTAAGCTTTGAGCGTGAACTAGCTAGTTTATGCCTCACCATATTAGGTCGTTATTTCAGCAGCTATGCAAAATTGATACCCTCAATTACGGTGTTTTCTAGATTTTCAAATGTTTAATGTACTGATTTCATTTTGTTCGTTTTTCATTTCCTCTGAAAATAAAGTATCAACGTAACAATGTTTTAATTGCTTTTTAGACTGGTCAGTCTTCTTCCCCACACTGTTATTGGCAGTAACATGGTGCTTTGTTAGCTGGCATTGATTTTCATTTTTATGTGTTATATCGCGAGAAATAGGGAAAGCGTTCCTAATTTCCTAAGACTAATTTTTGGAATGTGAAATCATAAATATGAATTTGTATCGTTAGAGGTGCTGATCGGTTGCTCGTTATGGAGAATAGCAACGCCGGTGATCAGTCTTAAATTTGTATTTATGTGACAATTTATGCATGGTCAAAAATTGAGGGGATTTTGTTTTAAATCTACATCTGTTCATTTCTACTGGTTTAAATTTCTGGGTTAAAACCTAAATTTCTGGGGGGGGACAAACGTCTGGCGTAAAATGCTTCGTTAAAACTTTTGGAATATTTGTTTCCTCCCTCTTATGATTCGTTGTATAAAAACTGTTAGGTAGTTTAGAGTTCATTTTTTGCGAGAAATCTTTGAGTAGTTCGTCCAAAAAATGCAATTCAAATTAAAATACGGCTTCGCTGATGTTATTTAATGCATGGACTATGTCATCATCGTTATTGTAATGTTTTATTATCGCTCAATCGGTCATCACATCATTTTTCTAGTAGTTTACTTACCAACATTAAAAGCTCGAATAAATCATTTTTAGCTCTCTTATTACTTGATTTTGTTCAGCTTAGGTTTGTCTATGCTTCTGCATTACTTTCTTTCGAAGTTAGTATGTTATAAAGAAATAAGGATAATAAGGATGAAATCTCTCCATTCTGTATAAAAAAGTTCTATTTTCGAAGAGGATTGTCACTGCGTGTCTACTCTGAGAGACCGGATTCAGTCTGGATTCTTAAATCACAAATTGTTATTCTTAGTTGAACTTGAAGGATGGATAATATCGAGATGGTATATCATGCAATTGCGGTACTAAATGGGTCTGACAGTGCTGCATGTAGCAAAGCTAGCGTATGGCTTGGCGAATTTCAAAAATCTGTAAGTTTTTATTTTTAAAAAGAATTCTCGTACACAGATTTTTACGAAATATGAAATGAATTTAATCTTGAATTTATGGTGAATGCGAATTGTTTCAGATATATTCATGGTCGATTTGTGATCATATATTATCTGAACATCGAGATTCGACGGCCAGTTATTTTGCTGCTCAAACAATGAGGCAGAAATTGTTGCATTCTATGAAGGAATTGCCATCTTCTTCACACTTGTCTTTGAGGAATTCGCTAATCAACCACTTAAGGTGCTTATTTCTCTAGTATATTTGTTTAAGCTAAATTTAAGTTGGTTAGTTGTCTCACACAAGGGACAGACTTGTTTGTTTTATAATTTCCACTTTTTTACCAGTGGTTTTGAATGGATTTTAGTTAAATCAGTTTTACTATAATGACTTGATCAATCATCGCGTTACAAAGTTGCACTTGAAGCTGAATCATTTTCCATTACAATTTGAAGTTTTTTCATTTGCAATTGTTTTGATAATCTTTCAAAACTAAATACTGTTTTACCTGACAAGTTCTTACATTTTCGATAAGTGATGAAGTGTATCTATTTCAGAAACTACGAATCTTATCCACTTGAAAGGAATTCGGTGATCATAACCCAGCTTTGCTTGGCGCTCTCTGATCTTTATTTACAAGTGCCGGAATGGACCAATTTTGTCTCGGAAATTCTAGAAATGTGCGTTTTGTTACATCCCTTATGCAGGAAAATGGCTGCAATTTTTTCAAAATTTAGTACTTTTTTGCTGATACCGTAATAGCGCTTGTCTGAACCAGTTATAATGATCTTGCCGAATGAGTTCAAAAGGCAGTTCTGCAAGGTCGTTTTTTTCATTGGTTTTGAATGTTACCGCTTCCACGTAAATACACTCTTTTTGTCCATTTTTCCATGTTGCTTGTAGATTTGGAATGCCTGACAAAACTCCTGTTTTACTTACTTTTTTGAAAACTCTGCCGGAAGAAGTGCAAAGCTCACATCTGAGGATTGGTGAGAATCGACGCCGTACAGTTAATACAGAACTGGCGCAAAAGACACAAGCAGTTATTCAATTTTTAGTGAGTTCTTCTAGCGTAATCCCTGCAAGCCTGGTAAAATCGTTGTTAATTCTTTTAAAAAAATGTCACATGAATTTTTTTTGGTTATGCATTGTTCCATAACTCAAAATGCATTTACACACACTGATGTATAGTATTACCTGATTAAATTTTCTTCCAGAGTCAAGTTTGTGTTTTTAATGGTAATGACGATGCGATACTGAAAAGAGTTCTGAGCTGCTTCAGCTCCTGGTTGCTCAATCCTCTAATTCCAACTGACGATATCGCAACAAGCGATCTTCTCAAATATGTTTTCTCACTTCTGGTTTGAGTTTTGTACTTTTGGAGAATTTCAAAGTCCTTATTTAAAAAATAGGTTTTGACCGGAACTATTGATTATATTTTTTAAGCAGAAAAAAAGGAGGGAAGTGGAAGAAAAGAGAAGGAAAGAGTTTTTTTTGGTCATACTTACTTTTAAACTTCTTTTGTAGCAGAATCCAAATTCACCCAATTCACTACACGATTCAGCCTGTGAATGTATTGTGTCAGCGTTATATCGTGCTGAGGATACCAATGTTAATCGTGCTCTAGCTGTGGCTCTGCAAACTGCATGCTATGAGATGGCAGATAGCTTTTCAATGGCTGTCGCTAACGATGATTTTGATAGGTTGTTTTTATGTAATCTCTTAAAATTTGAAGAAATTCTATTAGTCTAATTTTATATATTATATAATGATATTTAGTGATTATATGAACTAAATGAAGTTCTTTACTGCATTAATGCATTAGATCGTGCCATTAGCTAAATATCGAAATATGTAAAAGTTGAATCTCCAGGTTACAAGGATATGCACGAGTATTTTGTGAATTAAGCGAATCACTCCTAGAATGTATGATCCAGGAGCCAGGACAGGGCCTTGGTGATTTTCGAAGTATCGAAATGCTGCTTCTTCTGGCGGGCTATCATGATTATAATGTTAGTTATGACTTTTTATTTTACTTCAGAAGGTTTAGAATCGAGTTTCTATATTTTGCAGTCAGTTTTAAAAAAGTGTTTAGCTAGTGGAAATGACATTCAATATCTGGTACCGGCTTTCTGAATATCTCTATGAAAGGAATGACGATGAGTTGAATGCTCAGTTCAAACCATACATCGAAAGGTTGGTTAGTTTATGTTATCGTTCTTGTTCCTGAACGAAATGGGTGAGTTTATATGAAATATGTATTGCAGAATGTATCTTAAATCAAGAAAAGTAATGAGCACGGTCAATGAATTCTATCAGATTGAGATATTTTTGTTCACACCTTTTCATATTATTTCTTCCGTTAAATAGAATATTCGTACCTTTGTATGTTCGATTAAGGTATATCATGGCACTCTACAAGCATTGTCGCTTTGATACTGATCAGGAAGACATTCCTGATGAAAATGATGATTTCGTTGAATTTCGAGGTCAAGTGTCCGACACACTCAAGGATGTTGTATTCATCGTTGGAACTGATCGGTGCATTCAAAGCGTATGTGTTTTAAAAAGAATTCCATGTTAAGATGTGAGCATACATTGTAATTCTCTGTTCTATAGATGGTGGATGAGTTTTAACAGTGATTTCAGAAAGATTTCGAGAATAGGGAAAAGAGGAAGATTTGAATTTGATTCAGTTATTTCTACAAATATAATAAGGAAAACCTGACATAATTGCTAACTTAATTCGTTAGTTTAGGAGTAATCGAGGGATTTTTTCGAAAGAAACTGAAGATTATTGATTTGGTTTAATTTTGACTATGAATTCGCCGCAGTATTTTGTAGATGTTCTCAATACTGCAGTCGGTTTCATCAGGCTCTTGGGACGAATCGGAAGCTGCTTTATATATCATTTCAGTGATCGTACATAACGTTCTTCCGTAAGTTTCTTTTTCGTTACGTAATTGTACTTGATCTTGTATAATCTGTTTTGAATGGGGGAAAGGCTTTCAGATCTCTCATGAAACAAGTTTTTCCTCATAAATAACTGGTAACCTCAAATAAACTAGAAGAAATGACTTTGAATCAGAAATCTTTGTAGTAATATCAAAATAACAATGTCTGATTCGTGCTGTTTGTCTCAGTGATTTTTTTGTTTTTTATTACGCAGTCATAAGATGTTTATTTCCATGATATTTTTGTTTTATTTTTTACTACTATATGGATTTTAGCACGGAAGAAACAGTGGTTCCTCTTTTGGTTCATGCTGTACTGGTTATGCCCGTTATTTCCCACCCCATACTGACTAATACCTCTATTAAATTGCTTGGAAATTTGATTGATTGGTTGCAAGAAAATAAACAATATCAAGGTTTGTCGTTTATTTCATTATAGTGTTTAGACGACAACTTCATGTGGCTCTGTTGATGTTTTAAAATTTTCATTGATTCAAACACTTGCTGATCTTGAACTTTTAGGAAGATTTAATTTAGAGCCATGCGTTACTTGGTTACTGGATAAGGTGCAGAAACCGTGCTTTGTTCGGGCTGCTTCCGAGTCTCTTTATGGTATCTGTGAAAAATGCGAAAATAATTGTTTGGAACACTTTGATTCTATATTTGCTATCATTCCACTGCTAGAAAGTGGCGAGAACAAAGGACAGCAGCTAGAAAATTCCATTCTCTTACTTCTGCAAGGTTCAATTTCTATTTATTGGTAGCTTTTGCTTTATTAATGTTTTAGTATCATATGAAATATTTTTACTCTTCTCAGGTTATCCTTTGTCTTCCTTTACTTTTCCTCCTAAAAGTTATAGTTTTTTAGCTTGAAAAATATAAGTTGTTGAGCATTTTTTCGTCTGACATACTTTGGATTATGTCATTTCTCATTCCATTTTAAATACTCTTATTTCGAAAGAGAAGACTTCTAAAAATTACCATAAATCGTCACATAATTAGAATAAATTCCGTGTTGTCAAAGTTATTTGTAAGTCAATTAGAATAAATGCCACATTACTAAAAATCATTTGTAAATGACTTTAGCGTGGCATTGTTCTAAATATAACTATCCTTTTAGCTTGCTCTTCAATGCTGAACGGTTTGCCAGGGGAGGAAACTGCAACTCGATTAAAGCGCTTAATTGAACCACAAATGACACGTTTGGCTGCAGTAAATTTCATTTTCAAAATTTTGTATTTCTATTTCTTGTACAAAGTGCTTTTTTGAAAATTTTCTTTCCTTAAATTTTTTTAAAATATCTTACTATTTTATTTCGTAGACTGTTATTTTGAATTTGTTTAGCTACTTAAATCAAAGACGAATATATCACCTAGCGAACCACAAGACAGCAACGAAAATGCGTCAGATTCATGGTATCTTCTGAGCCGTGATCCAGTTTTATGGGTGGATAGAATAGCTGCAATCTTTCGGCATGTTCAGCCCTGGACGCATCAGGCATGCAATCCAAAAAATAATGTCCAAAATGGTATTAAATTTTTTTTTCACAAATCATATGTATTACGAATTCACTGCTTGGTATTTTACCTGGTTAATTTGATCCGGTCTAATTTATTCCACTCAGGAAGTTTTACAAATACAAACGATGATGTTCCGGCATTGTGGATTGCAACGGTGAAAGAAGTCTGGCCATTTGTTTTGGAAACTTGCAGAAAATATGAAAAGAATACTCGAGTCGTTGAGCATTGTTGTCGTGCAATACGATTCATGATACGCTTTCTTGAAGTCCATTCGATTACCTTTATTGAATCCCTCGTCGAGCAGGTAATTCTTCAAATATCTGAAGAACAAATTTTTCCTTTATTGGCAGACATGCACTAGAATCTTATTAGATATTTGTTATTTAGCTACGTCTTAATTTCATTCACAGTTTTGCGAAATTTAAGTGTTTCTGTTATAGCTTGCAGTGTAATTTTCAGATGATTGATATATATAATCGCCACCCTCATTCATGCTTCCTGTATTTGGCCAGTATTTTGGTTGACGAGTACGGTCATTTGGATAACTGTCGTTCTGGATTAGTTCATATGCTCAATGTAAACTTTATTTTTATTAAAGAACTATGTTATTTGGGATGTTAGGTATATACAGTAAAGAATGCTAATTCGTAAAGTGAAGCATTAAAAAGATGGAATATATAACACATGATTTAGAAATGCTGTTTAGAACCAAATAACATTTCCTCATACTTCTCTGCTTATGTTTACAGATTTTATGCAATGATTCGTTCAAACTGCTGCAAGAACAAAATGGTTTCCGCAATCACCCGGATACAATCGATGATATGTTTAGATTGGCTATTAGGTGATTTATTTAGAAATTCTTTAGCCTCAACCACTAACTGGAAAATCTCAGTTTGGTCAATGCAGTTAACAACAAGAAATTCGATATTCTTCACTCCTTTGTTTTAGGTTCGTACAGCGTGCGCCGTCAGTATTTTTCCAAGAACCAATGAGTGCGCAGTTATTTGAATGTGGACTTGTTGGTTTAGACGTTGATCATGTTGATGCGAACAGATCAGTTACCAAATTTTTTTCGGAATGTGTTACATCGTTACTTATTGCAAGAAAAGTAAGAGAAACTCTGAGTTTTCCAAAATTCGAAAATCGAAAAGTTATGTGTTTATTTGTTATGTGCAGAAGAAAACTTCATCTAAATTGATTTATCAATTTGATGTAATTTGTAAACAAATTGGAGAAAATATTAAATGAAGAAGGATTTCATGAATGCTAATTTTGCAGTCCAATTATCGAGATGCAGGTGTAGAAGGAGCTGAACAACTGTTTGTAAAATACGGCGAAAGATTGATTAGCGGTTCTCTTCAAGCGGCAGTATTTAGCGTGTCGGGTACTTTAAAGCGTGATATGGCCGAAATTATTTATTTAATTGGTAAACTGTCGGAAGAGGTGCATATTATCAAATAATTCAAGAAGATAATTAACATTAAAATTTAAGATTTTTATTATTATAATAGGTGAGTGTTAAAAAATCTCAGTGTTTTGGAAATACATGGCTTTGTAAAATTGGCTGTAGAATGTAAAAATTTTTCAGCAATTATCTGTCTGGTTGAAAGCAACACTGGAAAAATTTCCTCATAATGAGGGTCTTTGTGCGACAGGAGAACAACTAGAATGGTTCCACAAAAATGTGCTGGAGTATGTTGTGAAAATTTTATTTGAATTAATGTTAAGATAAATTGGGTCTCATAATTTTTCGGTTTAACTTCCGACGACTCTTTCCTAGTAATTTCATGCCGAAAAATCCTTTCTTATTACATTGTACCTCAAATCATTAGTTTCAAATTTTCGCTCTTTTCAGATCAACTGACTTGCGACAAGTATATGCTCAGATTCGCGATTTAATTCGGCTCTATGTATGACAAATTTAGTTGATTTACTGCTTTTATCACTTATTCTGTATATTTAAACCTGCAAGCCACGTATATTGCGATATCCTTCTGAATAACTTTGTGGAGAAGGATGGAAGAAAATAACAATTTAACGAAAACCATGTGGAAGAAGTGCTCTACAGAATTGAAATAAAAAATTACATCCGAAAAGCATTGAAGCTCTTTGAGGAGCTCATAATGAGTTAAAATTGTTTAAAAATGTCGCAATTAGTTTCCGAATTATTGTTTCTTATTTTTTTCCTTTTATCTAGGTTGTGTATTACTTCTAGGTCATTTTACAAGTTTTAGGTCCATGTTTTCCTTGTTATTCTTTTTACTGCTTTGCACTAGTTCTAATATATACATATGGAATTTTAAGATTCCGTTTGTTTTTCAAACATTTTTTGAAATTTCAAATCTGGGTTCTTGCTCCGTTCTTGTTTTTTTGTACCTTTGAATTTTATTCCGTCTTATCAAATTTTCATACATTTGCTCTCTTCTCTATTATTACAAATTTGAGATTTTTTTTCTCATTTAATTACTTTCTGATTTTAGGAAATTTCCTTTTATGATGAATTCATGATTTTTTCTGCATTTACCAATTTTTTCAATGAATTGTAGATTTATAAGAACCTATACTGCGGGTGCTCCTTCGTTTCTTTCTCAGCTTTATTGCTTATTTTCTTCGAAATTTAGTGAGGGAAAGATAAGTACGATATTTGCTCTTTTAAATTTAAGTTTCCTCTGCGAACTAAGGAGGATTGAAATGTAATCAAGGGAATTTCAGGTCCTATTTTCATTACATCTTTCGTTTGCTATTTTTACGAATTTCTAAGTCCTAGTGACATACTGGTGAATAATTGTTAGGATCTCGAGGTGAAATTCTTGCTGGCTAACAGTTTAGCGCAGACACTTTTCTTTGCCTCTTTCTTACGGCGCCATCAGTGTTTGTCTTTCTTTAATTTGCTTCAAGCTTCCCTCTTTATGATGGGATAGAGACCAAGATTTCGACAAACTACTAGGGCCTCTGCCTTCTCATTTTTTCGTAATTTTACAGTAATATATTATTCAGAGGGAGAGTGGATACATGGCCCAAATAATAATGCAGTACTTAATGTTACTGCTCATCGTCTCGAATAATATAAATGAATTTGATGTGAAACTTTTCTGTATATTCCGTAATCGAAGTGTCTCAAAGCAGTTTCCTTGAGTTCAATTTTTTAAATGTTGTGAGCTTCTTCTGGTTAACTGTGAACATATGTTTTCGTGCTGAATAGCTTCCTCAAAGTCAAGGACGGCTTTGTAGCTATCATTTTTCACAATTATTTCTTGTTCGAATAAAAGTAACTGCATTCTAAATGAACTCATTTTCTACATTCCACCAATACATGAGTTACAGCTTCGCATTACTTACAGCGAAGGTTTGAAGCAGGTGGGTTTTTGCAGATCTGAATTCAATATTTGCTCTGAAAGCCCGACACACCATTGAGATTTAAATTGAATTATTTCGGAAATCTTACTGCCAAAAGATGTGGTTACTTGTTGCCTAGACGTGCTTCTGGGATGCTGAATTTTGAAATAATCTACTTTGTGAATATATGCTTCCAGTTTCACTTCCAGAATGCTGGGTTTTGAAAAAGAGTTGGAATTTTATGGCCCGAACATCCCTTATTGCTCATTTTACTCTATCCCTATACTTCTTTTTTGTAAAAGAATCTTTTTAATAAAATTTTACGATGTTTCATGATTTATTTTAGTGTTAAGTTATATTTGGTATTAATCGTGAAACACCGTAGAATTTTACTAACACCTTAAAGTTATGGACAAGTTGCTAACAGAAAAAAAATGATTAAAAGATGTTTTCGCTTTCAGAATCTATATCGGCTCTTCTGCTCTCTCTACTCTTTGAAAATATGCTTTCTAAACAGATGAATACTGTTGGATAATCTTTGATGTACGTTACATTTGAGTGAATGCATTACATTTATACAATATACATCATATATACTATGAACTGAGATATTCTCCTTGCATGCAACTATTGCAATACGGAAAATATTTATGGATCTTGTGAATCGTGTATCCGAGTCACCGAAGGTTGTCATTTTTCTTATTGCTAATTATCAATTGTTTCAACAGTTTGAGTTATGTTATGAATAAAATTGTTTGTTTCAATGTTTCTTAATTTTAATTATATAGGATAATATCCATAAATCCATAAAATGTAGAAATTATTGATATATCTGTTCCCTCGATTTCCATATTCCTTTTTATTCCGTTTCTGTTTATTTCGATGTTCTCTGAGATTTTGCTTATAGCTATCTTATGATATACCACCAGCTATAATTACTGAGATCTGTAACTTTTCCCTTCCTATTATAGTAAAATCTGCTTTAAAGTATAAACGATATTTTCTTCTCTTTACATTTTTTGCATTTGTTTCATAACTCATACAACACTTTTCGATCTTTTATTAAACTTTTTTTATATGGATATGAGTGATAAATAATTTATTTCATTCTGATGAAAGTATCACTGAACGAATTGAAAGAGTGGAAAACTATTTCATGTTTCGTTGTATTACGCGGAATGCAGTCCTGTCAGAATTATACTTTTAATACTGAATGCTCTTAAATATAAAAGTCTATGATTTATAAATCATAGCACATACCTTTAATTAAATTTGATTTTATATGAATTAAGCGAAATGACTGATATACTTGTTGCTGATATGTTGATACGTTGCTGATATGCTGATATACTATGTTTGTTACTGATATGCTTTACAAATTTTCACATTTTTTGTAAATTTCTATTTTATGGTAAAAAAAAAAAAACTGCTTCATTGGATTGAATTCACCAAAAGAATGATTTGTTGGTGTCTTGAGGAAATTTCCCAATCTACAGATAAATAGTTCAAGAAATTTTTGCTGCTAACATTTCTAAATCTACTTCAAGAAAGCCTGTTCACGGTAATATCTTGACTTCATCAACATTAATACTGCATGAGATGCATTGTGCTAGATGATCGGACTGCTTTTTTTAATATTATCCTTTCATTACTTTAAGAACATTATTACAATTCAAGCGCGATCGTTTGTTGGTACGACTTGTCGTCGTCTATTCTATTCTTTCTCAATTGCAATCATTTGTTAAAAAAATTTACCTTAGAAAAAATGTAGATTTCACTTCCCATAGCAACGAAGTGGTTGTTAATTTCGTCCAAAGGCCTGTGTAGAATACGAAATTTTATTTCATCTTTTATTTTTTAATGATGTACTACATTTATCAATGGAATATTTACCTGTGTGATGAAAGGTATATGTGATAAAAAGGGAAAGTGGTATCGAAGAATAGAAAATTTTCGTAGTAACATAGAGTAAACAAGTAAAATTTATTTCGTTTCTATGACAATAGATGAATGACATTTCCACCCATTTTTCCTACATTTGAAACTTCAGATAATTTTCTGCTACTATTCTACATAACTTCAGTAGTGTAAAATCGATCCTATTTGGATTTTCAATTATTTGTAAAAATTATTTCTTTCTTTCTTTCTTCTTCTTCCATAAATAAAGTATAAGATTTACGTTGGAATCTTCTGCTTCAGAAATTCAAATTGATTTAATCATTTAAAGTTGAATTTATATTCATCCATTGGTTATTTGAAAATTTTGTCTGAACCATTTCAGAAAAGAGAAAAGTATTTCCTACAATAATAAATTTGTCTATCAAAGTAAAACAGTTTTATTTATTTCTAAGGTTTTTGTACTAAATTGCAGTTTAATTTTTCTATTCAGAAAATTCGAGATCTGTCGTAATACGTAGAAAAATGAGAAGTGTAGGATTCACGTTTAAATTCATATAATTACAGCTAAAGATCAGAGCTAAAATAAAATTCAATAACCCCAAATTCTTTATCATTTAACTATAATAATTATAGATTTTAATGAAATTTTATTAGATCAAAAGATAAATTAGAAGGCTTATTCATTTTCTGATTATTTACTTATCTGAAATTAAAATTTTAGACTTAGAACTTTCAAATAGTTGTTGGGATGGAAAAAGTTTAACTCTGAAAAGCAATTACGATATGTCATCCTGATTGAATGGCTTAGGGACTGCTTTAAAATAATATCTATTTGGAAAGTATTATAGCAGAAGATGAATAATAGATAAAAGGAAGATTGGAAATTTCTAAATTTCTGATAGGAAAAATGAATTGAGACTTATCGATTGAGGGAGTAAGTGAGGGGGAAAGTAATAGAGAAATGAAGAAGCAGATTTTTAAGAATTGCATTTCGTTTCAAGCAAACCCCTATAAAAGATGCTGGAAGGATTTTCAACATTTGCATTGGATTGTGAAGCAAGAGGAAGTAGTGCAAGCTTTGGCTTTTAATGGTAGAATATGACCATTCTACGACGCCTGAGCCTATCGATCGTAGCTTCTTCCAAGCTAATTCCATTTTGAGTAAAGTAGCAAATTGATTGATACTCTAAGTGACTGTGTGTGATGAGCCGGATGAACAACTCCGCATGCTTTCAGTTAATTACAGGTATTATTATCATTATTTTAAAATTTTATGATTCATAAGAGTATTTGATTTTCAATTCAAAAATTTCTATGTTATTCGATGCCTACTTCTTTCTCTATCAATTAAAAAGGTTGAATGAGAACATTAATGTGGAATAGATCAAACATATGACTTCTTGTATATGGCGATCTTGAATATAAAGAGTTCATTTATTCTTTTGTTTGTTGTAAATCGGCACGCTGTTCACAAAAACAATTCTACTATTCGTTGTGCTTCTTAATTTTTTCGTTTTAAATACATTCAAAATTTGAAATCCTAAGATACCTTCGTTCAACTTATTGGCTATCTAATATCTAATGCGTCAAATTAATTTAGTAGTATCAGTATTACGTCCTTCAAGAAAATTAAGATGACTAGTAATAAAATAAATTTGAACTAATTTGACCTTAGCATATAATTTTTTGTTGATAGTTCGCTTCATTATAATCGACTTAGAGATGTTAATCTCATTTTATATCCATCGAGAAAGTGTTATCTATGTAGCTATGATACTGATGTTGACCAGAAAGTTAATTCAAAGGCTTAATAATCAATGTATAAATAATTAATAATAATAAATGAATAATTAATAATAATCAATGCATGAATATGAAATTATTATAGCCATCGTTGCATTTCTTACCATTGTCTGGCAATCTTCTTGTTGATCTTTTAGTGATTTTTAGATAATCGTTTTTTAAATTTCATTTTTCTCATTTATTTATTTCTCGTAGCATTGAATTAAATATTGGAAAACGTTGATCTTCTTGGATGAATTCACATTTTGCAGTGCAAATTAATTCTTCATTCAAATTATCATGAATGAAAAGAAATTGAATAATTCAGGTAATTCAGTGGTAAACATTCGCGACGGAACAATGAGTGAGGAAGAGCTTAAAATGAAAGCTTTAAAAGATTTGCAAAAAGCCAAAGATCCTGTGGAACGATTGCGCCTTCAATGTTTAATACGTGGAAATGCTGGAATAAAATCTTTGGGAAGGTTTGTTTATTGGATGTTTGCGTTGCATAAGTTTTTTGAACTTTAGTTCAGAAAAAGTAAAATTTAAAATTAATTTTATTGAAATATACAAGTAGGACTTCTATCTGAATTAAAATTCATTTTGTACTTAACTTTCATTGTATCCAAAATATGCATAACACGCTGGTTATGGTTTTTACTGCAATTATCATCACTCACTTATAAAACAATCCATCTCTATCAGACAATATTTCCTTTTAAAATTGTTAAATGGAAAGAAAATCATATATTAATTTTATGCTTGATATTTAGAAAGAATACAAAATTCTTTAGAGAGAGAGAGACTTTTCCTTTTCTTCAATTCCTTCAGGATTTTAATGACTCCTACATTTACCCCTATCATTAACTTTTCATCAATGATATGTTCGCCTCACTTATTAAGAGAAGAAATCTAATTATTGAGTTATGTTGAGGAAATGCAAAAATTTCAATTATGTTTTTTATAACAGAAGTTGATAATACATTGAAAAAAAGAAACAAAATTTATTAAAGTGATGGCAATGATGAAATTTCAGATTAAACATGCATGGACATGACAAAATTCAAAGATAAAATATGTGCCCAATTTTCCTTATTCAGTGCTTTTTCCATATATGAAATAATTTAATAGATGATGCATTGTGGTATCTTCTTGTAAGGTCTGTATAGATCTAGGCACCCAACTATGTGTAATTTGGCATCTACTGGACATCGAGCCGTGACTAACTGATTAGCCAGTGAAATGTTAAAGTACTTTCAAATACGTATGATTTTTGATTAATTTTTTGAAAAAATTTTTAGATCATTTCGTATTATGGATGATAATGGCAGTCGTACGTTAGATTTTGAAGAATTCCAGAAAGGTTTACATGATTTTGATGTGAAATCAACTAGTGAAGAAATTCAGGAGGTATTCAAAAAATTTGATAAAGACAATTCCGGTACTATCGATTTCGATGAATTTCTCTTGTCACTTAGAGTACGTTAAGTTTATTTGTCAAGGTGTTTGGAAATTTCTATGGATTCTTATAACTGTTACGAAATTACAACATTTGTTTGGCAAACAAATGTTGTAATTTATTCTTTAATAATTAATGAAAGCGAGGAGATCGCTTGAATTCATTGCGTTGCTGTGAGAAAAAAATCGTTCACTATAATCAAATTCTTTTTTCTGCCAGCTCAAGAGTAGCAATAATTATTGTCTTATATTCTCCTTTGGGAGTTACAGTACGTATCAAAGGTATCTCTATAACTATAAAAGTCTTATTGTGTGCCTAGTTTATTTTTTTACTCAGATTTATTTCGGGATCAATTTAAAAGCATGTTAAAGAAAAATCTTTGCCAGTTCAAGGACAGCAATGATTTATTGTCCTATGTTCTCTTTTTGCATTGTTTCAAAATAAAAGACAATTTAATTAGAAACGTGTTTGTGGAAAAGAGGTTCGAAAGGAAAAAGTTGATATAGTATGTCATTAAATATCTATTTTAAAGAAATTAAAATCTAAATTAAAAGTGGCGTAAATTTGCAGCCACCATTGTCGAAAACTCGTCTAGCACTTATAGATGCAGCATTCAATAAATTGGACAAAACCGGAGATGGCGTAATTACAGTAGACGACATGAAAGGAGTTTACTATGCCGAACGACATCCAAAGTACATATCCGGTGAGAAGACTCGTGAGGATATCTTCAATCAATTTCTCAGCAATTTCGAAATGAAAGGACATGTTGATGGGAAGGTATGAAATTCACACTTTTGTGTTGTTGTTCATAATTCTATATTACTTTTGCATCCTATCATCAGTGAAGATGTTATTACCTGAGGCAGGTTCTGTCCTTACGGATCTGTAGTATCTTGGGATCGTAAATTTACTTCCTACATATCTGTTCTAGAAAAATCAAACAAGCAATGTAACACATTTTTCGAATCTCAATGATTCATTCAAATATTAACATTTTAAATGAAGTTCTTTGATATTAAAACATTGTTAAATCATAAATTAAATTAATGTATCTAAAATACTGCAGAATTCTTATTGCATGCAGTAGTATAAACTCGTTCCAAAAGTGTTTTTAATGGGTTTAGTATGTTTGTGTTATGTTATCAAATTAAAGGAAGTTCAACACAAAGTATCCACTTCCTTAAATTAAAGGAGATCCATCACAAAGTATCCACTACGCTAAACCCATTAAGTATCTACAATGTAATCGTGATGAGGCTTTATTTATACTTGTTTCAACAAGGAATTTATAGCCACAATATTGAATGAGACTGATAATTTACAACTTTGATTTTAATTTTTTTTTTTTACTAAAACAAAGAGGGAAATCAATTTGAACTATTTTTAGACAATTTGTAATTTAGGTTTTAATTCAGATGAAAATATCGAATGCTTTTTAAATTTTTAGAAATTTATTGGGATTTTTGAGTAACTGTCTAATCAGCAACTATCTAATCGTTTCAAAATATTCTAAAATTTTTTCCGTAATTCACTTTTTTGATACTCTCAAATACACCGTGTCATTCATACTTTTAACAACGCTTGTAGCAATTCGATCCTATGAGTATGACAAACACTGGTTGAACTTCTTAAAATTATTTAAAATATTTTGTAACAATCTATCATTTCTGCAATCAACGTTACACTCTTTTTTTGAATCACGGCGAAATTAAATTATTATCGCTAATATTAAGCCTTCGAACCTTTTGAAAACGAAAAATGAAAAAAGCAATTTAGCATGTCAAATAAATCTTTAACTATAAATTTTATACGATAAGCTAAATCTGAATGAAATATAGTTTAATAAATGCTATTTCATCTCAACTATTATATATGAATCTTTTATCTGGATTAGTGCTATTTCGATAGTTTTTTTACAAATTGAAATATATCTTTCCTTTAGCAAAGGATTTATAATCTTTCTCACTGATAACGATTCTTAAATGCATTTACTTCATGGCAGCTGATAGGGTATCTGTCAGTATGATTTAAAATTAAGAAATGGTTTTAATTTAGCTTGCAACTGCTACTAAAATATTCAGAGACTTGTAGAGACATTAAATAGAGATTGTCATTTGAATTTAACCCTTTTTAAAATAAAATACGGCTATATTTATATCAGACAATGTTGAAAAAGATTAATGCTAAGGTGAAAAAAAAATATTCATTCCGATTCTTATTAATTCGAAAAGTTTGATTTTCAGGTGACAAAAGAAGAATTTTTGAATTACTATTGTGGTGTATCAGCTTCTATTGATAATGATGCTTATTTTGATTTGATGATGCGAAATGCTTGGAAACTTTGATAAATTATTATCATTATGATGATCCTCAATATTTCTTGCAGTAGTATTTTACTTCTTTTTTTTTTACATTCGCTATCACAAATATTATTCGATATATTAATCCCGAAGGACTCTTTGATGATAACAAAATTGTTCTCCTTCAGAAACCATATGCTATAATTTATCCGAATCAATTTTCATTCTTTGTTCTATAAAACAAACATATAAAAGATAGAATGGCAGATTTATAGTTTATAATTTAGGATACCGAATTCAAAGTATTTCTTTTATAAAAATTTAAAAAAATTTCATTTAATATGTTGTAACAATCACATTTATCCGTCATCTGATGGATAATTATAATTAAACTGACATAATGAATTTTCATTTTTCCTACATTTCCAAATAAAAAAATGTAAATGTCGTGGTGTCAACGAAATATACATATTCTAAGACGATAGAGAACTAATTACTCAAGTCATCTCAAATTTTTTAAAAATAAGCTTATGAGAATGGAAGAAAAACAGAATGTTAAAGTTTTGATCTGACATATCTATAGCAGATGGAAGACAATAATGACCATGTATCTTAATCACTACTCCTTCGTTCCATAGTTTCCACTTTTAAAATTAGCGACCAATCAGATTCTGTCGCAATTGCATGAAGTAGTATCTGTAAAATTGTTATTAAATTTTTAAAATTGTTATTAAATTTATTTCAAATATCTTTACATTGGAATGATACGGTTTTAGTTCATTTCCTTTAATATGAAACATGCTAAAATAACTAACCTTCGGTTTGACAAATTTCAACGGTATTTGCCGAAGTTCTATTAATTCTTTAACCAATACATTTTTCGAATTTCCATAGCGAAGATTCATAGCATAAGGTAATTTCTGCAAAATAACAATAGCTTTTGTCAACTTTTTTCTTACCAAAAAATATCACAAATTTAATACTTTCTAACAAGAAGGTTAAAATTTGAAAAAAATTTTCTTATTTTGCCGTTTTTTATTGTGAGCAGATTTTAGAAGGAGGAAGATGATCGAAGACAGCTGTAGAAAACTTTATGATTTTCTTTAAAATCTCATTCTTTAAGCAAATTGGGAAATATACAAACCATTGGACCAGCTATACCAACTGCAAAATAATCACATTTCCAAATACGCACATCAATATCATCGCAAACCTCTCGGCCATTCCTCCAGAAATAATCAGCTAACGCTTCACTTTCATTCATCATCGGTTCACGTAACTCTACATGTTTCATATAAACAATCGATTCGGAAAAGATTGTAAATGAACACGGACAATTCTGCAATACTTAATTTTATTTTAACTTGCGGTATAAAAATTTTTGCAACCGTAGTTTTTTAAAAAAAGGAGGGATTAAAATTACTCCAGAACAAATATCATTGATGATGACTGATGAAAACCGATAATGATTTTCCTGAGAAAAGTTAGGTATATTATGAAGACATATGTCGGACTGAAGACTATAACTAAGTAGCCTTACAGAAAAGACGGTTTGACGTAGATCTCAATCCAACGTGATAACGTGATTGGATGACATGATGGCGTCATTAGTCATATCGTTTCGTTAGATTTGATATGTTTTAATTTTAATGAAAATTTTGATAAAATATGACAAAATAAAATTATAACATTAATCAGATCCAATTGTTCGTTATACCCAACAAAATGCAATGTCATCCAGGTATCCTCCAATGATGGATTATTATTTGCCTCTATCTGAAGAACGTTAAAATCTTTTCTGCAATTGTATTTGTTAAAATATTGGCAACTATCAATACTTCTTGAATCTATGAAGGGAGTTTTCAAGTACCTGATGAAGTGCCACAAAAGAATGTAGCAGTAATTCACCGTCTTTAGCTCCAAAATTTTGGCAGAGTATTTCCCATTCCTGAAAATTAAACAAATTTATTACCAGCTAAGAAAGAAATTAAAATTAAGAAGCAACTACTGCTTAGTAAAGAATAATAGTTATTTCTTCTGAAGTCCTGGGAAATCAACAAATTAACAATTGGATGAATAATTAAACTGTACAGGAAAAATGGTCAAGAATTAAACAAGAAATACCTGATTGTATCGATTCTTATTTCTTACCTAAACTTAAACCATCTAAAATGAGTACGGTAGTGAGAATTATTGACAAGGATATAAAATTCTTGAGAAAATATTTTTACTCTGTTTTACCTGGTTTCTTAATTATTGTCAGATGCAGAGATTATAGTTTAAAATTTGCATCATTAATTAGAATTTTGCAGCAGCTTGCAATTTTATATCTAATTTTTGCTTATCTATTAAATAAATGTTATGCATGCATACATATATCAAATTATACACGCTTCATGAATGTCTAACTTAAATTTTGCAAAATGTATCATGAGAAATGCTTCTAAGAAAGATAGTATGATAGATCTTCAACGTGATCTATCTCAATCAATCAAACTATTCTTATAATTTTAATTAGAGAAAAATCTACCATACTATCTCATTTCAAATCGAATAAGATTTCAAATGTCAATTTAATTTATTGTAATCTTCAATCTTAAAGGGAATTTTAATAGAATACTAATAAGGTAGCTGTTTTTATTTGTAAAACTTAGTGTTAGAAATTGTTAGAAATTAAATCAATAAATATGAATATAGCTTAAATATCGTATATGTAAGAAAACTGATAAATAAACTGTGGAAAAAATTATGAAATTATTCGTACATGATCCAAAACATGTTCATCACTAGCCAATTTATTGTATATGTCGAATTCCTCTCGACTTAATTTACCGTTTTCATCGAAATCGAATAGATCAAATATATTCATCAATGTCATCCTTAAATATCAAATTTTATTACAATTTTTCAATTCTATCTTTTCTCCCATGAGAATTTTTAAGCGGAAAAACTTTGCAAAAAATGATTCAAATTATACTTGCAATTATTGGAAAAATCTATAAATCATAGATTAAATGTAATAAAGATGCAAATCATCAAAAGTAAAAAGAATAAGTGATTTCTTTTTCAATTAAAAAAATAAATTAGGCCCATAAATATTCGAACATTTATAATTCTATTTAAAATGCCTAATAACATTAATTTAATAATGAGCAAATTTCTATCAAGTTTCTTTTCTTTTCTCTTTCTTTAATCAAATAGATAATTTAACTTACTTGAAATGCTTTGTTAATTTTCCATCTGAATCCACTAACTTCATTTCATCGTCTGCTGATGTGATAACAAACTCCGAACAATGTGCTGTTTGAACGCTAACGATATATTCTCCTGCTTTCAACAAGCATTTCTCGCTTACATATTTCTTGAAATTAGAAGCAAATTAAAAATTAATTAAATTGAAGCATTTATTTTATCACTGATATCTAATCAATTCTATGGGCGATAATTGTTTATGCTTTTAAAGAGATTTCTTTTTGCATTTTAATGACACTATAAAATTTCAACATTTAAATTCAACAAGTTTTATGTCGCTTTGAAATTATCATTGTACCACACTATAAACAGAATTATTCATTTGGTCAAAATATTTTTATGCATTTTATTTTATAGTTTACTCATTTGGCTTATTTGTTGCATTATTGTTATAAATCAATATGAAATAAAAATCAATATATTATATAAATCAATATAAAAATCAATATAAATCAATATGTTATAAATCAATATTATTGTTATCAATATGAAATAGTTAGGCGAAATATTTTATAATACAAAAATATTTCGTATGTTAAAGCATAGCTCATTTTTTGCTTCCAAAAATTTAATTAATCAATGATATATTTATATTACAACTTTAAAAGTTCGCTTGACGCAAAAGTCTTGTCATATATAAATTTCAATAAGACAAAAACTTTTGTCATATTGTCGCTCCTTTCAATTTTTAATCCATGTGGAAAAAAATTTAGTCCAACAAATGGATAAATTAATTTCTTACTCTTTTTCCGAAAGTCTTACAATTTGCAGAAAGATCAGTTTGAGATAGAGGTCAATTACATTAAGAGATAGCTATCATATTAAATGCAACACCACAAAGTTAAATTTATTACCTTTTTATTTGTTTCGCATACTGAAGTTATCATATGCTGATAAAGTAACTTTTGTATAGTTGAACTTCATTGCCGAAAATACGACGCAACAATTTTATTATCAATGTTTATGTCATTTGAACCATTTGTCTATCCTTTTTTTAAAACTATTCCTATCTATTAACAATTTAGCCTTATAGCATTATCACTAAATTAAAATTTTGGTTTGGTTAAATAAAACCTTTTTTTTTTTTAAATAGAAAAGATTACATCTTCCATAATATTCATTGTAACTGTAATCACTTGCTCCTCGATTGTATCATAGAGTATAACGTATATGTCATTTTTATAGTTTTGATCCGTTGGTTGATCATCTAAACGAAATAAAATTCATTTCAGGGAATATCGAACTAATTCAAGGTTACAACCAAGCAAACACAAATATAAAATAAAGAAATCGATGCTTCTAAATATATGAGAGTTTAAAATTTTCAGGATACATAAATTTCAACAGTTAACAACTTCTGTCATATTTATGCTCCTTAATTTTTAACTTATATGGAAAGGAATTTAATATAAAAAATGGATGAATTAATCTTTTCCTATTTCTCGATGCTTTTGCAATTGCGGAAAGATTTTCCGAAATGTTGCTATATCTTCCATCATTACGAAATTGAAGCTTCTTAAAGTTAATTGTAAAAATTGTGAAAGTAATGTAATCTAATGAAATTTATCCAAATCATAAAGTAATATGATGCGGTCGGAGAGAGCTGAAATATTATATTTAACTTCCAAAACTATCTGTACGTGCTTAGTGACTTCTCACAAAAATACAACTCAACTTACTGCTTGTCAATAATTCACACATAATACAAATAATCTGCGAATGATTCAGAATGAAATGATAGTTCAAAATGCGATCATCATTATTCATTACACGAAATGCTCGACGAGTAACCTATTAATGTAAATGATAAGTGAACAAAATGAAACAGCATAAAAATAAAATAGCTTAGTAATTAAAACTCATATCATTACACTAATTAATATTTGTTAATCAAAATCATATGTAAAAAGAAAACCTGCGAAGTGAACATTGGTATGGAACCATTTAAATATTGAAATGAATTTCTCGTTCCTGCAATAATATGAAAAGATTTGTCGCAAAATGCAAAACTTTTGGAAATATTTAGAAATCTTAAATTATATCTGAAAATCTCATCATTGAATAATACTTTCAGGTAATTTGCGTTGTAAATTTTCAGATCCGATGAAATTTTTCGATATTGCAATTTGTTTGTTGGTGAATTCCTGCGCGATAACATCAAGCAGTTTGCTTCGACTCTTTTCAAATTCATTGAAAAGCTGCAAATATAATTGTTTCAATGATTTTCAACATATCAACCCCTTCCTTTATCTCTCACCTTTTTTTGAACAAATATATAAATATTGTGGAGAAAATTTTTCATCACTAACATTTTCGCCTTGGCGTTACTAAGTCCCTAATTTCAGAATTACTAATTTAGGTATCTTCATTTTAGAGAATTCATTTAATTATTCCCAAATCGAATAATAATATCACTTTGAAATACATTGGCAACATTCAATGTAGGTTTTTGAATTTTTAAAAGTTAAAATAGAATTTTATCATCGTTGTAATCTAATTTCAGAAATAAGCTCCTGTACCATTTTGCAATCAATCTTCCCATATCTTGCAGATGACTTCAAAAAATCCAACGCTGCCTTAATTTCATTCACATTCAACTCTTCATCCTTAAAATTTTCATTCATAATTTTAGAGAGATAAAAGAACTATTATAAATTTCCCAATTACAATATACAGTTAGCAACACTTCCTTTGAATTTTTCATCAATTTGATAATGATTCCTGAATTTCAATATAACTTTTTTGGTTCCTTAACTAAGTTTTCATCGTTTTAATCATATCAGAAAAAAATTTAATTAAAAAACAAAATTGGATACTTTATGTTAGAAAAGGTTTAATTAAAAGACAAAGAATTAAATGAATTTCAGTTTAATTTCCAAACCTCATTCAAGGATTCAAAGAATTCTTTCAATTCAACAAATTGTTCATTCTGATCAGTTTCATTGATGCGACTGCTATTTTGTTTTACTAATTCCAAAAAATTTGTCACAGGTAACTGCTCAAAAACTTCATATGCTTTATCGAACTGATAACAGTCTGAAAATGGAGAAAGTTTGTTTAAATTAATTTATTACATCAAAAATGCTTAGTGACAAATAAATTAGTGACAAATACAATTAGTGACAAATAAAACTGATAAGTTCATCTGAATGCACTTTTGAAAATCTTAACTTCATCATTTATAATGAATGATCGTCAATGATTTCATTTAGCTGTTTCAATAAGTATTCCAGAGGTAAAGAAATAATTTTAATTAGTTTTTGACGATATTATTTTGTACATTTTACTCATTCCATCATTTATTGCTTCCGTAGTATTTCATAATTTCAAATTTTGCTAAAATATCGAATATTAATTAATAAACAAAATAACTAATTCCAAGGCTTAATAGAATGAATTTCAAGCGAATCTCCAATTTTTAAATATTACGTAGCAGTAAGTTATAAGAAGATCTTCTAGAAATAGAATATTCTTAGAAGAATTCTAGATCTTAATCTTCTTGGTAAAATACAAGAATACTGGTGAAGTAATTCATTTTCAGAACTATTTCAAAGCTTCTTAAGCTAAATTATATTGCTTCATAATTGAAACATTTACTTCTCAAATTTTTATTCAAAAAGCTTTGAGGATTCTAAAATTAGTAAAATTTCCATTTTGAATATTTCGAGCTGATTTATTTAAAAATAAATTACCTGTATCTCCTAGATCAGACATCAATAAATCTTTGCCAGCAGAGATTATAATTTCATACAATTGTAAACGATTTACCGTATTTCGCATATCTCCCACTTCATTCAAATATGCATCCACGAATCGACGTTTTGCATTAGATTGCATTATATTAATTTCAATTAGATATTATCAGAAATTATTCTGAGAACAAAATTCACAATTACGGTCACTTGTAGAAGAATGATAATTAATGAAATAATTTCAAGTTTTAAACATGATAATCTTAGAGAGAATATATGTTGGCTCACACATATTTTCCAAGTGTGGAAAATTAAATTTTGTTGAAGTAATCCTCCGATCGATAAATAATCAATTTCTGATTCGGCGTATTTCGTGACTTATCGAAGATTTTTCAATTTAAATAGGATCTAAACAGTGCATAAATGTTGAAGTCAAATAATTATTAGAGCAATCAATCAATCAATTTGAAAGAATTTTTGAAATTAATGAAAAAGTGAATATTAGGAATAAAAAGCGAAGTGTTGATTACATTTAGAAATAAACAGCAATTTACCGAACAATAATACAAATGCATGAAGACGATGATAGTTCGAAACTATGGCAACTGATTTATTTATTATATGCGGATTTAATGTTGTCGCATTAGCATTTTGGAAACAACTTACCTCCATAGAAACGGAAATGTAATGATGATATGATATATTGATTCGTGGTGTAATTCTTTCGAAGATATAATAAAACTTCACCACCATCTTAGAGAATAGAAGTTAATAATTAGATTTACTTTTGAGAATAATATATTCTTTTTTTCATTGAGAAAAAGTAATATAATAAGAAATGATATTATATGAATTGTAATATTCTAACTAGAAATATTCTAAGTAACATTCTAACTAGAAAGAGAATACTATCCATATTAATATATTTATTAGTATCACTCAGATATTAAAGATTTAGAAAAAATTAACTTTTTGAAGTTATTCGGTTTCCTTCTGAAATTGAACTACAAAATATAATGTTATAATAATAATGAATAAATTATAATAAATTGCCCTTTAAAGATCAAAGAATGAATGCAACAATATATATATACGTAATGATTTAGTGTTCTCTTATATATTTTCATCTGTTTACACTCATTCAACATTTTTCCCTTATTTCATTTTCATTTCAATTTTACTACAAATTTCAATTTTTTGTTTTACTTTAATTTTCAATTAAACTTTATTAATGAATAAGTTATTAAATTCTGCTTGTTTTATGTATACAAGAACATCAAATTAATTACGCTATTATCACCTTTATCAAATAAACATGCAACATTTTCTATTCCATTTGTTCATTAATTCATTTCATTTAAATAAATTTAAATTTCCCCAAATCTTTCTATATTTCAATAGTAATAGCAATCTGTTTCACATGTTCTACAATTATCGATCATAATTGGTAATATCATTTTCACTATGATTGTAGTTTCTGAATTCGAAGGATTGTCAAGAAGCGATCATAATCATTTTGATATGAAATTTATTCATTCTACATGCATTTATAGTTCTAGGAATATATTTCCAGAAATATATACTTTTAAATTTTAAAGAATACTTTGCAAACAAAACGATTTCAATGGTAGTTTTATTTCAACGTAATATTAGGGGAAAAAAATTTCCCTACCTCTACATGACATGCCTTTCTAAACCAGTAAAGCATGAAAAGAATATGAACGAAACACAAAAACCACAGAACTTTTTGGCTGTGAAAGCAAAATCTGTACTTAAAACTTGCTACTATACCTATTTTTTTGGTGGTTCGTAACTCTCCCGAAATAATTTAATTCTTGTAACCAGTATTATTAATAATATTAAAATTGAGAGAATTCAGGGAGGAATCACATTTCTGGGAAATGAGAACTTTGTTCACGCAACATGCACCGTCGAAATCATAAGATTGATACAATCTCCACACTCCATTTCAATTGGACCACGAAACGATGTACAAGGTGCTACCAGTCTGCCTCATCGCTTCAAGATTAAACTCAGAGAGTTTTCGCAGAGTTCATCTCCGACTGCTTGCAACTATCATGCCAACACAATGCGATATCGTCCACGCTTCCTCACACCAACGGAAAACCGCAATTCACATGCCTGATTATAATAATAAAACATTTTGAATGAAGTTCCCACACTTCTTTTTTATGAATTTGCAACCTGATTTGAACATACCAATTTATTTTATGCAGTTAATTTCAAAACATAAATTCAATCTGAAATCAGGGAAATTTCACATGAAAACAAAACATTTCTTAAACATACAATCAAAGCATCCCACTAAAGAAAATTACTGAAAGTTGACTATGAATATAAAAGATAATATCAATCATACACGGCCACGTCCCTAAAGGTCATTTATTCAGTATTTGAGAATCTTCAACTTCTAAGAGTTGCAAATACTGCAGAGAAATAATATTTCCAAAAAGTTTGTTAATTGTTTTAGAACATGCCTGCAGAGACGAAAGCAAATTGTTTACAAAAATAGAAACTTAATACAAACATTTCGAACAGCCAAGAATAGAAACTCAACAAAATCCTATTATATTTTTTGTTTGCTTGCAACAATATTAAGTTTCAAAAACGCGCTACTGTCGAAATGTCCATCGAAGAAATTTCAATTGAAAAAAACATCAAGAAAATGTCACTAAAACATCGAAAATTACTCCATTTTTAAACGATTCCGACCCAAACCTAAAAATCGACTAAGATTCTCTCCAGCTCAGAGATTATCAATGACAACATGTACAATCTGAAATGAAAAAAGATAAGAACAGAAAAATCACCAAAACGCTATGCAAAAGCTATACAACTGAAGACTTTGTACAAACACATACAAGAATTCATTATTAATTAAACAAACTAATAAAACTCCACCCTACTGAAGACTGAAAGCATGAAAAGCATTAAAAGTTTAAAAAATTGGATACTTTCCTCGCAAAAAAGCCATTCCAATTAAGAGCAGTGCTCATTTATGAGAAATAGAACAGATTTCATCTAGACCTTTCATTGCTGCATTGCCTCCAAGTTATTATGAACCCGGATTAATTAACAATGTTGAAGGCTAGTCGTTGCTGATTTTATATTTAGTCTCCAACAGTCTATAACTAATAGAATGTAGCTATAACGCTAACGAGTTGCACTCTATTCCGAAAACACTAAGCCGGCATATAACCTCACTCAGTCATCGATCCATTGTAACTTCTAGAGACATGTAACAAAATCCCACAATTATAGCCAAAGAATGGAAACTTTACACTCGAGCATTTCCTGCCGCGGCTTTACTGCAACTGGTGGTAACAATTAATTTTCAATCAGATATAGTTAAAAACATCAAATCTCATTTTACATTCAAATGTGATGTTACCTTGTCTTTGTCGTACCCATATAGAAGATGAGGCGATAAACGAAATAGTCATTACTTATGAAAGTGAAACTTGTCTGAGTCAGGAAGTGAAGAAACACTTATTACTCCCAGCATTTAGTTTACTTCTTTCACTATTTTTTGAAAATAAATTTTCCGAAAAGAAGAATCTGCTAAACTTAAAAAAACTGCTACTAAAATATATCTTATCAACTTTGATTCAGCGCTACACATCAATTTGCTAAATTAGGAGATAGCCGAAAACTGTTATAGATCCAAAGACAGAAAGTTTAGTGACATTAAAGTGACACCGATATCAGGGGGAAGACATACATTTGGAAAATTTTAACATCCTTGTGCTACAAGGCAATAATGAAACCAGAAATGCAAAACAACCCCGACATTTTGAAAAAATCAGATTTACAAGACTGAGTAAGCTGATAACTGAATGCACGGCAAAAGAAATTATCAATATTATGTAAAATTCTTCCAAAACACATACCATTTTTGAATTTTTTAGTGTAACTTGTACAAAAATTATTTAGGTATCAGAATATAATTTTTGTTAAATTAAAGAAAAAATTCAGCGGCATAAAAAAGAGAGATCTGCAATATCACAATGCAGTATAGTAGTACACTACCAAGTACTAAGCAGTGGATTTTCAATTAAAATAAAAATAAATTGAACTCGCAACTTCAGCATCCACTGACTCAGAAGAGACCTACAAACTACTGAACCGATAAAATGGAAAATTTAACGTGAATTAGCGGCAGCATTCGAATTGGAATTTTCTCTCTGTTCCACTTTTACTATTATCATTTTGTTACCAAAAGACATCACGGGATGCAACCGTTGCTGCTGTTCGACAGTATCCTATAAAATAAGAAATTTTTCATGATTATACGAAGACACATAATAAAAGAAAATTGAAACTGATCCTCTTTATGAAGCAAACGATTAAAACTAAATGGCGAAGTACAATCCAAACGGAACGAGTTTCCGTGATGATCTAGAATTTAACAAGTTGTGCAGACTTGAAATTCTACCAGAAAAAAGCAAAGCATCATGAGAATGTATGTGCACGTGATGAAGCAAAAGTAAACCACTCGGAGTTATGCTCATAATTGTTTATCGCATGTAAAGGCTTGCGACGTAAATCATTATTATCAGTGACAAACCAATTCCTAACTAATTCGAGAACAGCTTACGCATTCAGACTCCGATGTTACTGGAACTGACACCAAGAAAACACTTTCATCTTTGTCACTCACAGTTTTAACAGCCTGCATACTTGTGTTAGGATCCGGGTTCAACTGTACCTCATCATCTGGTAATTCGTTTGCTAACAATTCGTCTGCCGTAGCAATTTGCCTCGAATCTATTGAAAAAGAGTGATCATTTGATAACCGGATCATCTGGAATTAGATGTGTGGTCAGCAAAATTGATATTTGTTTCGGCAATGTAAAAACGATGATATATAATTGAACTAGAAAGCTACAAGAGACGGCAAATTACAAGTGCACTGTCAGTCACTGACACTCATTGTAAGAGATTTCAGTAAAGAGTCACATAAAATTTTTCCAGTTAAACAACTTAAGAATTAAAAAATTTATTTTTTGAAAGTGACTGCAAACGATCGAATACTTTCTATTGTCTTTAGCACAATAATAAATACTCTGTTTTGTGAAGGAATTCGTTCATACAAATGAACATTATTTTCAAAGATCTAAGACAAAATCAAAATAAAATAAATTTAGAAAACATTAAAGTAAATGCAGAAAGGCTAATAATACCTTATATTCCGGTGCCTGATCTTCGTAATCAATCCTCGAGTTATTATCCCCCATTCCAACACTATTGTCCATTTCACCAATACGAAATTTCAAATTTTTTTCGTCAGAATAAGTGCCCTTTAATATATTTTTTAAATTCCACGATTACCAGTTCCACAAAATAGTACGAGAAAGCTTATTGCATAAACAACTCAATAAAAAAAAACCTCATCATAGCGTCGTGCATACTCAGCTGCTTCTTCAACAACCTGCGCGACTGTAGTTTCGATTCGTGAGCTGCTTGTAACAGATGAATTCTCGCCATCACTGCGTGAAGTATGGCGATTACCGCGTGCTTTATTCGGATTTCGATGTTGCGGCGGTGATTCAGGAGGTGGTGTGATTGGCCGTACCTGTTATGAATTTATAACTGATTTTTGCATTTTGGCAAAAAATTATTCACATGAGGTTGCTTAGATCAAAATGCGATATTTCAGAAAAATTCAATAAATATACTTGTTGATAGGGCGCTGGAGCATCACCCATTAATGGACCACTTCTGGATCTTCGTCGAGCATTCATGAAAAAGTTCGCTACTGTTGAGAGGTCTAACTGCAAATGTTCAGCAATTGTTTGCTGCATTTCACGGCTTGGCCGTTGTGTTTCTTTAAAGATAGCCTGCAAAATTTATGCATCTCTCATTACATTCATTAAAAGCTTCGCCAAACTGTAAACCAACAGAGATTTCACTTTCTTAGAACAACTTAAAAACTAGTCACTAATGCATACATTACCTGCAGAGTCCTTTTTTGGATATCGGTGAAAACTAATCGAGGCCTTTTGGTACTACTTAAGCCTGAAATTTAGAATATCATATCACATAAGAAAATAATTTGAATTTTGGAGTAAAACCATGACTTCATAAAAACAATGAGGGATTGATAAAAAAAGAAAATCCTACGACAAATCTAAAATTTAACAACTACTAAAAAAATTCACCATCACCGTCTCGACCTTTATGTCGTGAACCTTGTCGAGCATTCTGTGCTGGAGTAGGTGGACTCATTGAAGATGGTAACATACCTCCTGAAAAAATTGGCCAACTATTGAATTTTATAATGGAAGCAATTAAAAGATAAACCACAGCCTTGATCAGTATACTGAGAAATGAAATAAAAAGTCATGAATCATCAAATTTTTTTACCTTTTCCTTTGTACATATCAAGAATACCCAGCCGCAGTTCAAGTGGCTGTTGCACCCAGTTGAACATTCGTCTAAATGTTTCTCTTCCTGACTTCAATTTGTTCCATGGCTTTGGATTTCTTAGCAAATCGGAAAGTGTCCCTTGACTCCTGAACAGAGAATTTTGTTGCAAATCAAAAATTCATACTGATAATCAAAATAAATTCTTAGTTATGCAGGAAATGTAGGTCTACTCAAAATTGCCATCTGTAAGATTTAACTCTTAAATTGCATTTAATGTCATTCATGCAAAGAAACGAGCACAAAATTACACAAACGTAATAATATTATCATAATAGGAAAACAGTCTCTAAAATATCTAGCAATGGATTCAAAAAAAATAGCATTGGTTAAATCTTTTCACACCTATTAAAAGTTGTACTCCATTAACATTTCTTTTTTTCAACTACAAATTGATGGAAAAAGTTAATACCGACAAAGAATCCTTTCAGCAAAGATAGCCTGAGGTATAGAGTGCTGCTTGAGTTCCCACGCAATTCGCTTACACAGATCAGTCGTATCGATATAAATGTCATCGTCTATTTCTGCATTCAAAGGATCTGTAGTGTCCTTAGTAGAATAACTAGCACGTGGTGCACCTGAAAAAATATTTGATTACCAGTGAAATTCAATTTTTAATCCTAGAAAATTTCCAAATATTTTCTTCGTCTCTTTCAAGGAATCTACAGAACAGGCACAAACACTGCAATCTATATGCATGCGCAACGATGAACAATATTTCGGAACTGCGAAATTAAATTCTTTAGTTCAGAATTGGACTGTAACACAGTTCAACAGTCATCACCATGACAATGGCAATGACGTTATTAGGCCATTCATTATGAATTTTTTAAATTATCATTAGTTTCAACTACTATTCAGATAATTATGAAATATCAGCTAGAAAATCATGAATAAATTACTGAAGCTGCGATACTAAAACTAACCAACAGTAGAAGTAAGTCTAGTTGTACTTGTCGGTTCACCATTATCGTCAGCAAATGTCAAATCATCATCACTTGTTTCTGCCGCATTTACTTCAAGATCATCGCTGCCACGCAAATCAGCCGTATCCATGGAAGAAAAATTACGTCGACTTTGTCGAAATATAGTATGCTGTGGTGCCGGTGAACTGGGTGGCTAAAATACTATTTGCTAAACAAACGTCTGGAGTTAAAAATGCATAAAAGGAATGTTGGAGAAAAAATTGCATGGAAAAACAAAACAGGATCTGTAGTGAATCAAAAAGTTTAACTTCAGAATCGCTTAACCGAATATTGAATAAGCAAGGGGTAAAGTCCCGATCTTCAGTTTGTGGAACTTTAAGTATATGAGATATATTAGAAACAACTAAATTCAAACAAGTTGCTTGAAAGACATTGAATCCACAAAGCCATATGTGTTACTGTGTAAAAAAGGACATGATATCTTCCATTAATGGATTTTTTTTACGAAGTTAAAGGCTATATTATGATTTATAAACATGAAATAAAATTCACCTGTTCGCCTATCATTGTTGCAATGAAGGAACTTGCAAGCTCAACATTACTCACTGCTGGTGGAGTTTCAGCATTCGCCAAACGATGATCGAGTTCTTGCTGATGATCATCTTGACTTAGTAAACTAGCCTGAAACATCTCCCAAGATAAAATACATGACTGTTGAGCAGCGACCAAATATAACTTAAATTCTATTACAAGCTGCCTTTTTTCAGTAAAGCATACCGACTGCTGAGATATAAAGGGCGAATCCATCGTTTTGAAATCTTGTCCCAAATCGACCTGAAAACACGGAGCATCTATCTTTATGGAAGTACATAAAGGTACTCTGCCACCATACTTCGTGGGAGAAAATTTTCTGATTTTTAAGGGAAGCTTTAAACAGTTCCCAACGATTCACTTGAAGTAAACAAATGGTAGAGTAGTACTATTCAAATCCTCTCTTCGCTTTCTCCTATTTTTTTTTTTATCATCAAAATTTAATTTATAGATAAGATAGGTACTTCTTCTTTGATATATGGATGATGTCTTCGCAAACCGGCTAGCATTTCACTTGCACGTCCACCATTTTGATGGGCACCCAACAAACTTGAGCAAACAAGATTATCTGATCGCGTCGTTGTTTGCAATGGAGATAGAAGACCAGCCGGACTGGAGCTAAAACTGAAATGATTCCTTAAATCGTGCATCTAAGGAATTCAATATAAGCAATGAATTCATATCGCCAATCTGAGAATGGGCATTAACGTGAGCGGAATGAAAATTCCAATGTAAGCGGTGCTACATTGTATTTAAATATCAACAGGTCAACCTGACACTTCCATTTATCGAAAATGCATGTAATTCATTTCAATATTAAAAAAAAAAAATGCTCGCCTGAAGCAGTGGCTTAACCTACAACTATGACGGCTCCCATATTTTTATAAAAATTAAAAATACCTCAGTTTATCCAAACCAGAGGAGTGACTGCTGTGCTGCATGGACGCGCTATGAAGCTGATCTTGCAACGGTTCAATTTTCATTGCACCCACATACGACGGTGTTGCTGACATAGGTGCCAGGGTTGCATAAGCATTGAAATCAGATGATTTTCCGAAGCTAAAATGCACTACTTTAATTTTTTTTCCAGTGTTAGAAAGTAACAATCTACGTCATGATACTTACATTCTTCGTTTTTTTTCCCACTAGCATGTGTCGGATATTCAATGGAAAACTTTAATTGTTAAACACTGAAACTGAAATATTAACTTAACTATATCATCTCTTAACTATATACCACTTATATAATTTCGCTTTGACTGAAAACTGAAAAAATTCAGAAGACATCAAATGTGAAAATTCAGACCAAAACGAGTTCGATTCAAGTCAAAAAAATCGAAATTTAAAGTGATTTTCGCCAAAATTAAAACCCGAAAACTTACTTGTCATTCGAACCAAGACTCATAGGTGCCAATGGTGCAAGCTGTGGACTTTCCTGAGGCGCAGAACCTTGGTTTTGCTGCGGACTTATACTTTCCAAGAAATTCTCTGGTAATTCTTCGAATGGACGGTTGACCGAATTAAATGTAATGTTAGGATCAATTTGAAGTTGGTAGGTAGTCGGTGGAGCTGCCGATGCACCTCGTTCCATCGTATGTCTTACTTTCTCGTCCAAACTGAAATCTTATGGAAACCGTGGTTTTTACTCTGATAAATTATACTTGATTTTGATCTGAAGTCAATTTTCGTCCTCTCTATAATCTTAAAAGAAATGTAAAAAAAGGATTGTGAAACTAATACTCATGATGTCCAATTTTTGGTGACTGTTGGCTTCTTCCTAGAGAAAAAACAACAGTGTAAAACATTATTTTCCCTATATATAAACTGTGACACTGCATACTCTCGAAGAGTTCCCAAAAATTCCAGGTTACGGCATTTGACATGAACAAATCCGTGCAAATATATCCTCGTAGGAATTGCTTGAAATTTCATATTACCTGTTAACATCATTATTAGTATTAATTGATGAAAGCTGTTGAGAGCAAGATGTCTCCGCAGGTGGTTCCATACACACATGCGCCAATTGTAAATCTATCAATAACCAAACGACAAGCGTAATATCTTGCTGTCACCTCTACTATATCGATGTTGCGCTATTTCCAGTAGCATTCAAAAACCTGCAAACGATATAACGCTCAGTCTTCCAGCATTATTTCCGGAATTAACATTTCACTGAATCTTTAATGCCATTGGATTAACTGGCTGAGTAATTAAAAATATGACTTCAAAACCATCTGCAAAAGAACATCATTGTGAGAATACCTTAACAAAATGAGATCACTAGCGACACAACAAACTACTTCGCCTAAATCAGTAAGCACACTACCTTTCAAATCTTATTCACTCTCTTAAACATGAGATAATCGCGATTTATCTGCGATGAAAGTAAGTAGCGTGAATCACTTAACAACAGCTCAAATTAAGCAAATAGAAAAGTACCACTACAAACGGAGTAATGCTGCTGTGTGCGCTGGGTGAAAAATTAACGTCTCTTATTAAGCTGACGTAAAATCTACCCTTAAATGAAATATTTTATCACTAAATGGGCATAGTAACGGTAGAGGTAACAGCGCTTTATCACCACCATATTAAAATGATAATGGTAAAGGTGTTCGAACTTCAACCAAGATTAAGATTTATCATTACACTATGATAACAACAGGTTGCCATTATACTAAATGGTAAAAGTTGGAATGAATTCGGCATAGCGATAAATCACTAAAAGCAAGTGGATAAAACTAAGCAGCCGCTCATAGCTTATTGGACTATCATTTAGTTACAAGTTACGTGTCGCGTATCCATGCAAAACGTAAACATCGCATAAACATCCTCAACAAGGCAATTTTATTGCAACATTAACAAAATCAAATTCAAACTCAAACTAAACGATCATCCACAGTCCCCAACATGTATATCGCTCTTCCGCGCATATTTCATACCGTCAGACTATTTGGTCACTTTTTTCACGTGTGTGAAGAGATGAAAGATTTCAGGTACTAATATAACGTCTGTAAGTTCAACTCACCTCTCAAGCAACAAACCAACAAAATAACCTACGAAAATGCCCACCAATGCACTGAATGCACTCTGACCCTACCTTGACGACGTCATGCAGTCCAGATGCTTGCAACTGCACTTAGTGCACTCTAACAACCTCGCGCTCTCTCTTGTTGCGGCCACTCTCAGCCGTTGAAAACTCTTTTCGTAAAGGAAGACACAAAGAGGACGGTGCTGAATGCTTGCCAGGCACTTAAGCAATCGCACGATAGATGAAATCGCTATAAGCATCAAATGGGCACTACGGTAGCGTGACTTGTTTAGGCGCGGAAATAGGCGGGTAATGTGATCTGAGATATTTATCCGTTTGATGACTTAGCAACGAAGGAGGATCTATACTGGTGTTCATGTGCTTCCATGATGAAGGAATCATTTGAAAATACATAGATAATCTTATTTCACCTACTTCTTACAAAATATGCGAGTTGAATTGCGGCCATCGCCAAATATCGATTCTGTTCATCGAAAACTGGAATTGCGACAGGTATCGCAACATCACTTTGAAAAAAGCTAACGAGTTAAATTTCTCTAAGTTCTCCAGGACTCCCAATAACATTTATTTCAACTCACATAACCTCATATTATTTTAATGTACTCCCTGAAGGCATAAATGACGCCTAAGATGAAGGTTTTCACTTTGCGTCAGCCAGGGTGACACAAACTTGTGGGTAAGTCAAAGTGAGAGAACAGGTTCCAACAGCGGCGCCATATGCAACTTCTCGTCCTTATGTTTGTTACTCAGTTGTACTGTATCTCGTATTTAATTATAAGGTTGTACTACCATGAAATTATATATAAGGAAGCCGCAATGTCAGCGATATTATTTATTTGACTAACTTAGATATTAATGTTTATTAAATACTAATTGCCAAAAATTTGATCTAAATTACTAAATCCATTTATTTACCTGTTGAATTTACTCCTTTAACTTTGTTATATAAGGTTAGGGTTTCTTTTGCTTGCGAAAGATTTTTCAAAAAAAAACTAAGTAAACAGAAATTGGATTCTGACTTTGCCATTTGTGTTTGAACTTCAAGAGCTTCAACCATTTTGTTGAGAAGGCCTATTTTCTTTTCCATATTTTATTGAAATTGCTTAGGAATTTAAATGTCCTGTGAGATGTGTAACTAAAAATATCGAACTACTGAGTTAGGTGAGTGGAGCAACTAAAAAAATGAATTGATATGGACTGTTTAAAAGATAGCTTGAAAACCATCAGATAGGCATCCTTGATTGATTAAATGATATGAAAGGCGACTTTCCATAAATTCGTGTATGTCATCATGAAATTTGAACTTTGATATTATTCACTGAAGCTGTCATTTGATGAAGCTAGTGCTTCAGCTAAGTACGATTTGTTGATTTGTGGTTTATAATCTGCAGGCTAAAATTTCTTGTGAAGCACGCAGCGCTGAACGCAATACTATGTCACCAGCAGCATCTGAACGCGGATATGAATTATCAACTAATCTAGCTGAACTACCAAGCGATTTGCATTTTCGTCTTGCCAGTTCCTTGAATTTTCAAACTGTATGGATGAAAGTAATCGGCGACTCGGCTAGCAGTCCATTCAGTTTAAAGTAAATTTTTGCCTTTATAAGATTTCTCATTACTTTTTTCCAAATATATGAAATAAGTTGTGTTCAAATCCATTTGAATTTATTACTTAACTTTCATAAAATCTATCTCATGTGTCCATTGTGACTCGCTGATCATCTGCGATGCATAACAGTTATTCGTACTGACTTGATAACCTAATTAGGAAATTATAGATGGCGCATGCTATTATTGCATATTTAGCTGTTTAGCTGTTTTGGATTCCGTGAGAAGCTTGCTTGTTCACTTTGCTCAAAAAAGAGAAAGAAACAAAAGCAAAAACAAAGTCAACTAATAGTTTTACTTGGTCAGCAAATAAATGTGAGCAAATATTTGACACAAAGTGGCAAATGACGAGAAACGAAGCATCTCGAGGAATTCATCTTCCCTTTCTTCCATTTAACATGCTGAAGAGTTTAATTACAGTCGTTTGAAATTTTCAAGAGTTACTTTGTTTATACTGCAATTGCCTGATTATAATGAATCTGAACACTACGGACATCCCCTCGATAAAATGATGAATCTCATTTGAAACGACTAAGGGATGAACAGACTTCACATCATTAACGGGTCTAAGGGATCTTTCTGTACCAGAACTAAAGTTGAGGGTATAAGAATTGTAGGGTATAACAGTTTTGTTTTTTTTTTTTACTTGTCTAAAGTTGATGTTACTATTGAATAGCTTTTATTTGGGATCACATTTCATTACAAAAAAGAAATGTTATTTTCTCAAGATTTCTAAAATATTATATCAGTGGGAAAAATTTTCATTGCATCAAACAGTTGATATTATTATCATATTTTGGATTCCTTTCGAAAAAGTTCAATACTGAAAGGAATGATTTATGAAAGCGAAACTTACGCGCTAACAAATATAGAATAAATGCGATCAAGATATGATTGAGGGGGAAAAAATCGGGCAGGTCAAGACCACTATTGAGGAAGCAAAATCTTCTGGACGGCATTTGCAAATATCGAGAAAGGAAGAAAGGTCAAATGCATTAGGAAAGGAACGCAGCGCGTTTCGTCCAGAAGAGAAGGGAGAAGGGAGTGCGTCAGCCATTACTTGGCAATGTTTGAAGGAAAGAAAGCGACTGCTTCACGGAAGAGTACTCGTTTCTGATGAGAATAGAAAATTAAACTGAAGGTAGTTGAAAAGAAATATGGGCCCAATGGGAATAATGTTGTATGATTTAGTCTGATTGTACTAAAAATGGTTTTCGTAATAGCTTGAATGATGGCGCATTATGCATACGGAAAACTCTTATGTCGATTCCAGTCGATCACTGATTCTTTTCCATAAAATTGAAGCAATTAGTAACATTATTTGTCGGTAGTATAGCAAAGTGAGGGCGCAAAAATCTCTGACATGTTCAGTTAATCTGAAACATTATGAATAATCTAATTTGGCACTTTTTAGTGTTTCGGAATATGATCGTATTTTACGAACTAAGAATCAAGGATCATCGCTTTTATACTTGTGGGGCAATCGTGGACAGACTATAAAACTTTTGCTGCAAAGGCTTCAGTCATTTTCTAAAATGCATGGGACATGTATGGATGGACCTCAGTTAGCAATGAGACGCAAATTCGGTAAGTTTATCATTTAGATTGTGGTAGAAATAAAGAGAAAGATGGCGTATAGGTTTCATTGATATCTAAAAGATCATAAAACGTCACCACTCTGTTGCAATGTAATAAATACATAATGCGGCGTTAGAATAAAAAGGTTTCAAATGTTTAGAATTTTACTAAGAACCTCCAGAGTTTTCGATTCTAAGTTATAGCGGACAAAATTAAAATTCCAATTTGTTTCAGTGCCGGTAGTATGGTCAGCTGCAGAGCAGATCACGATTAGAGTGATGGGTGATGATGACTGTATGCTGCAACTTCTTTGTCATGCTCGTGGTTTTCCTTGGCCTCATTTTCAATGGATAGAAGGTGATGAGGATATAGACGGTTCGAACGGTAAAGCACTTGTTATTTCCAGGTTTCTTATCACTTGTATGTACCAAAATATTACAGAAATCTTAAGCGTGAAAATTTGGAAGCTCTTTCAGTAGGAAAGAACATTCAGAAATAAAAAATGAGGCTATAATGGCTTTAAAGCAAACGCGTTTATCAAATGTGGAGAAAGAGTGAAAGAAAAAAATTATTCCTAATTACGAATTGATAAAATTCAGATGCAGTTGTCGAAGAGAACTGAGGTATAGATGTAGAATATGGAATGAAATTGCGGATGGCTTCGAATATTCGGCATTTTATCGGAAATCGGGAAAGTCATTTCACTCAAAACTAACAACGGATCCAGTGGACTTGTCATTATTCATAACTGCCGATATGAGAGGTGGCAGTTCAAGTATAATTGTGGTAAAAGACTTTTTATACATCACAAAATTCTACGCTGCTCATTTGAATCTGTTTTGCCCTCTAAACAGTAACTTTTAGATCAAAATTTAAAATGTGCATTATCTGCATGTGTTATCTTACATGATTTGGTATGGTTTTTCTGTTACAGTAGACTCTTGCGAGCGATGTGCCAAATACAAGAATTTGACTTTGTCGACTGATTTCTGTAGAACTATGCGGAACGAGGACACTATAGGTTTTTTTAATCTATCTTTTTTTTTCAATCGTTCAAATTTACGATTTGTTTACCGAGCAAATCTTATTAAATTTTGGTTACATGAAGGACTTTTATTCATCATTTACTATTTCCAGGTGGTTGGAACGCAGAATTAGTCGCTACGGATAAGGTTGCATTAATTATAAGCAATTGCAACTATATCGATCTACCGAGCTTAGGTACACCTCACTGTGATGCCGAAATGTTTGCAGAGTCTTTGCAAAATCTTGGGTAAGTACATCAACAGCTGTCCTTATCACTGATTCGAAAATTGCAGCAACTAGGAGTTTGGTGTTGAAAATTTAAGTCTAATTTTTAAGCAAAAAAGCAGTAGTTTATAAATGATGAAGAGAAAAAAATTACTTGTTAAATGTTTCTTTCTAGATTTTAAGTTGTTCCATTGGCATAAGATTAATATTTGCAGTTTCAAAACTGTTGTTCTTGGAGATTTAAATCTTGTTGAAATGCACTTCTTTATCAAGGAATACCGCAAACTTCTTGGTGATGGAGTATATGGTGAGATTTCATTTTTTTTTCTTTATTTCTATGGACCCTCTCTGCACATAATTTGTAACGTATAATTTCTTTAGCTGTATTTTACTTCGTTGGTCATGGTTTTGAAAGAAATGGGAAAAATTATCTGTTGGCAGTAGATGCACCAGGTGTTGACTGCAAAATGGCTGACTGTGTTTCGGTTGAATGGATTCTATCGATCTTCGAAGATTCACATCCAGCTTTAAATCTGATGCTCCTCGATATCTGTCGAAAAAATGTGAAGTATGGTTGCTTTGTTCATTTTTCAACTTCCAAAGCTGACCTGAAATGCACATAAATTATTTATAATTTAAGAAAAGTAAGTGTTCATTTATTTATAAAAACTTGTTTGGTAGAGAGAAATAAAACAAATTGATTTATTTATGGGAAAAACTTTTCAGTCAAGTAAATTTTAGGGCTATTTAAACATGGATTGAAGGAGAAGAGAAAACTTTCCAGTTCTTTAGATGTATTGACACTTTGGGATGGGTCGATGAAGCAGATACCAAGGAAGTACCAAAGATAGCGCGCAATACTGTCTGTGGATATGCAACGTAATTTTTACACCTGAAAATAAAACAACAAACTTCTGAACAAGTTTTTGAGAAATTATTTCACTTTTGCAGGAAGTTTAACACATTAATTTTTAGTAGCAGTGGGGTTAGTGCTTTTGAAGTTCGTGGAGAAAAGAATGGCGTCTTCATGAAGCATTTGTTACAGCATATAGCTGACGAGGCAACAGTTCTTGAAATGTTAACGAAGACATTCCAGGGTAATTTCCATTATGTAGTAATACGTATACCACCACATTAAGTTCATTTGGCTTTCACTCGGTTTTTTTATTTTTAATTTTTATAAAGTTCTTTTTTTCTTTCCACATCTCAGTCCTGCTGTTTTAGTTTTATATCAATAATTAAAACATACCATGGGATTTTTTATGTTTGTTATCATGTTCTTATTTTTTTGACTGATAGCCTAAAGCAGTTCGTATCAGTAATGGAGGAAGTATGCTGCTGATGAAAACAAGAACTTAGTGTAAAGATGTAATATCACTCTGAAATCAATGTCATAATTCTATTAATATTCTGCACAATTTTTTTACGAATGCCACTAGTCAGAATTAATTTTATCATTTTAGGTTGACCATTTTAATAATAACCATTTTAATTTGGTTATTTTTTTAAGAAGTTGCAAATGATACCAGAATTTGTGACATACAGATTCCGGAACTTAAATCAAATTTGGTCTTACCCCGTGGATTACGGGATCCACTTGTTTGTTATGGCCATACGACATCTTTCAATTGTCATACTCTGTACTGGCGTTACATGCATGGTATAACTTTATACTTTTTTCATATGTTCAGTGTTGCTGTTTGCATCTTTCAGAATACCCAAAACTTAATTTCCTTTCTTCCACTTTCTGAAGAAAAAGTAACACGTAATTAAAAGACAGTAGGACTTATTCTACTCCACTGTTTATTTACAAATGCTTGTTTTCAGTTTGTTGTGTGCAGAGTCTTTCTTTTAAGCAATTTGAGAGATCAGTTACTTAATTATTTAGTCAAAAAATAGTTTAGAAAAAAATAAAAATTATCAAAGCATTTATTGCAGAGTTGCCAAGTCCGATAAATATACGATTTACGGATCAAAATATGCTTGTTATCATTTGGTACGACTATGTTGGACATTTCACAAACAAAGTGTATATATTCAGTAGTGTCAGTGATCTATCTGCTGAAAGCAATACAGAAAGTTTAAAACCATTGCCCACCAAATTTTCGCATATTGCACATTTACGTTTTTCCAAGGTTATTAACCAGTTTTTCAAGCATGAAGTTTTTAGCAAGACTAAAAGTTTAAGTGATTTTTAGCCCGTTTTCAGTGTTATTTCTTTTTAAGAATAGTAGCAAAAGCTCAGAAATGATTGGCGTTTTTTAGGATCCAAATCTTAAAAAATAAATGCAGATTTCTAAAAATTAAGCTCCTCTAACATCATTGCTTTGCATATTGCTTTTTTGTCTTTGTATCTTTTTTGCCTTCCACACAATCCCCTGAAGTAGAGAATTTCAGCATATCGATGTGTCAGCAGAGAGAATAATAGAAGATGGTGACGATGGTGTTTCAATATCAGTAATGTTATCAAATTTGCAGCGCTTTAAAGTAATTGTTATTGCATATATGTTATTTCCTTCAAAAAATTATTTCCATCCTTCAAATATGATTAAGGTATGTCAGGGTGGTTAAGAGTTTAATGAAAGTAGATTTTACTTTCCTAGTTTCGATGCTGTGCTGTGGAAAATCTTAATGGTATCAATTAATATGATAATATGCATTTGTTGGTAAACTATCAAAAGGTTCACATTTATTTTTCATAGATTTTATTCCAAGATGTTTTTTCAGGGAGCTATATCGTGCTCGGTGGATCTTGCAAATCGCAAAGATGATGTAGTGATAGCATCAAAAGATAATTTATCACTTGGTGATGTATTAGTTACAAGGATTTATAGGGTTGAGTGAAAGAATTTTAACTTTTATTAGAAACTAATGATAGAAACGCCCAACACAACACTTGATGCGTAGTGTTGTTTCTATCGGAAAATTTCGTTTTAACTTTCAGTTTTTTGTTAACCTGCATTTTACATAATAAAAATTCAATTATATTTGACATATAAGCGCAGAACAAAAATTCTGCAGTGAAAAAAGATGCAGGTTTAATACATAACAAGTTTAATCTGTGTTGTTTGAAAGTGTTACCGTCTCAGTTTTGATGCTTTGCTTTGGAAGATCTTAATTCAAAATAAGAATTGAAGCATAACATTAAAATATATGCTCGGGAAACTAACTGGAGAATTTAGTCATTTTTATACGATAATGTAGTACAACTGTCAAAGTACCTTTAGAAACTTGTGAGACTTCTGAAAACGTAAAACCTATAAAGCTTCTTTCCTCTCTTCATTTAAATATAAACACTGCTTGCGAAAAATTTTTGTTCAAAAAACATTTTTTTAAAATTTGTTTCAAATATATGAAACCAGAAGAATTCACAATACACTTTGCAAAATGAGTATTAATTCCAAGAGGAAATAGGAAAAGCGCAGTTTACATACTCATTTCCTTATAAATATATTATAGCACGAAAATTTGAAATTGAAACACATTACTAATCCACGAACAGAATTACTAGATTGAGATACCTTCTGTTACTTTTTCCATCATCGTATATTATTGATCCTCGTGAAATATGATGGAAATAAGTAACTAGTACAATTACTACTGTTAAAATATTGGAATGAGAAGGAGATGTGAAGTTTGAGGATGAAAAATTTTGACAAAAATTAAAATTAAGAGAAAAGCGAAATAACAGGTGCCTTCAGAGAATCTTAATTTGCAGGCAATTTACTAAATATCATACGTGGAATGTCATGTAAATGATAAAAAATTATATAGTTATAAAACAATTCTTTATATGAATAGAGTATTAAATAGCAAGTAGAGTGAAATTATTTTTCAAAATGACTTAGTTATATTCCCATCGAAGATCACGTGTTTTCAATAATTGATCAAAGAATGTAAGGAGGAATGAATTTTGAATTTAATTCAATAAATGTATTGTCGAAATTAAGTTTAGTTCTCGAATATGGAAAGTAATTGGTTGATATGAAAAGGATAATTTTTAATTCAATCATCATTTGTATCATTCAGAAGATCCATCGGTGGTTGATTGCTTCTGGTGATTTGCGAGTGATTTTACTGCACCTCGAAGCAAATGTCTTCCCAGCGAGATTTATCGAGCTATTTTAGAGGCTCTAATCAATTTTCTGTAAAAAATTATTATCTTCTTATCTAATCATTTATTTTAAAAATGTTGAAGTGGGATTTTATGATGCTATGTTAGAAACATCATCATTGTAATTATTAATTTTTTAAATTATAACCTAAATTAGAAGCATTTTTAAATTCTGTGATTTAAATCTATTCAAAAATAATTAACAAGAATCAGAGTGATAGCGGTTCTCAAAGTGGATTATCAGATGATCTGGAAACAGCACGAGCAATTATCGAAAGTTTAACACGACAGTTAAAGGTAATGATAAGAAGTTTTCGGTATGCTCATTTCATACTTTTGTAGTATTATCACAATGCGATCTTCCATCCAGATCAGTGAGATCGTAGTGATCAAAACTTTTCGAATATTTCCTCATTATTCTTTTTTCCCCAACACTTTTTCTATATTGTAAAGCAGAAGATTACAGATTCATGATGATGTAACTTCGAATTTACTACTTCTCCAGAAACGAATCCAACATACTCATCAGAGGACACAGGATGCCATGCGCATGGTTTAAATCAAATTTAAATTCTTCACTTTTAAAACGAATTAGGAAATAGCTAAATTAACAGAGTTGCAATTACAGAGAATTAACAGAGAATTATTCTTTGTGATCTTTGTAATCAATGACATTTAACATTTAACCTGTATTATTCCAGCATGTTTTTTGACCTTTATGTTACTTTACACTATTTAACATAATTATATAATGTTAATTGATATAATCATGATCTGATGATTATATGATAGGATGATATAACAATATAACAAAAATTATTCAAATAAATCTCTACGTTCACATGACTAAGATAGTTTGAAACCGTAAAAATTACTTAGTATTTTTGAAGCTTGAAGATCGGCTAGACAATATTGAAGTAACATGGACCAAAGAATTAGAGAATCAGCACAAACGCTGGCTCGATAAATATAATCGTTTAATGAGAGAGGCGGAAAATATTCATCCTTTGTGAGTTTATTAGTCCATCATGTTTGGTTGATAATTGTTTAAGTTAACTTAAATATAAAGTACATTGTTACTCCATGTGATAATATCATTATGAACTATAAAAGTGAAAATTATCTGAGTTAAAACAATAGAAATGAAGGAGAATAATGTAGAAAATAAATGTACTCATTACTTCAAAAATTGATAATTTTTTCAAAAAACTTAATGAATTATGAAAAATTTAAAAGTTTCAAAATAAACGTATAATTTACTTCCATTCATTTTATTAATAGCAGTAAGATTAAAGCTCTTTTTTTTACTTTTAATTATTGAGAATGATAATTTTTTTTGTTTTGTAGATAATTAAATGAATCATTTTATTATATTACTATAAGAGTAAATTTAACATTGAATGATTTTATATCATTGAAGGGTGGCTTACGATTAATTCATAATAATTTTGTTTTATAGATAATTAATGAATCATCACTAGATGAAATAGATTTAACATTGAATGATTTTATAACATTGAGGGATAATTTATGATTAACTCATAATAATTGTAGATAATTAATGAATCATTTTATTAAAATTATATTATTATAAGAATAAATTTAACATTGAATGATTTTATATCATTAAAGGATAGCTTATGATTAATTCAAATAAGAAATTATACTCAAACGATTTAATTATATTTTTTTTATCAATAGAAAAGATAGGATCGTTGCTGAAAAGTTATCTTTTAAAATTTGCAGAAATAAAGTATCATCCAAAACTTCAGCAACACATAGTAATGAGAATGTGAAAATTTCACAGCAAAAACTTGAAAGTCTAAATCGTCGTACGAAAAAAATCGATGAAGGAATTGATGAATTGAAAAAAGTCGCAAGTTGCACCAAAAACTTTGATGAAAAGCTTCGTTTCGATAAACAAAAAATCAGGGATATCGATGCTCGAGTAATAATTTAACACTTACAAAAATAACCAACCAAAATATTTAGTGTTTTAAAGGGAACTCTTTTTGAATTCATAAATGATGCATTTATGCGCATGCGGATTTGTCACAAATTATATATGCATATCAGTAATTCATTGATGATCTGTCACGAATTATATATGCATACCACTCACCAATTTACTGATGATCGATCGACTTTTTTTCTCTTTCAATCAAAACTAATCAGTTTTGTGTTATATATATATTTTTAATTATAATAGCTAAAAATGCTAACAAAAAAAGAGCAAAAGTTGAATGCTGAACTCACCAAACAAATGAATATTCATTTTCACAAACCTTTCCTTCAAATGACAGAAGAACGATCGGAGAAAAGTTTTCGTGGTGTTTGTAAAGTAATCGATGGCTACAAAAAAGTATCTTCTCGAATTTTAATTTTTAAATGAAAAAAATTAATGATTTAATTAAATTAATCATATCCATACATATTTTTTCTCATTTTTCATTCTATCTCACGTAGAAATATTCTATTTCAATTAATTATAGACAGTTGAAAATTTGAACAAAGCATTACAAACATTGGAAGTAATTAAAAATTCATCAGAAGCGAAAAACATTAAAAGTACAATTCAAAGTACACCATCAATAAATGAAATTGATGAAATTATCATTCTTATGAAACGTTTCCTTGCCAAACTTTGCAATCAGGTTTGACTTCTTCTTTTCAGATGTTTCTTAGTTTACATAGAATTCAACCATAGAATCTCTCCAAAGTTAGATGCCATATGATCTTATGCATCCATGGAATGAAATTTAAAATGCATTTGAAAATAAATTATTTCAGTTGGAATCAGTTTATTTATATGGTAATTCAACACCAAATTCTGAATTGGATACCAGCAAGGTGTGTTTACTTTTAACTGAATAAATTTACTCGGTCAGAATGTCCAAAAATGTCCGTATATTTGCATAATAATGTAGCCCTTTATGATTCATAGAAGTATATTATATCTTTTGTTTTTTGCTCAACTTAATCCATTGGTACCTAAGTACGATAGCAATATCTTCATAAGAAGGCATGTACCAGTACAATTCTAGTCAAAATCTGCTTTAAACGAAACATAGGAATCAATTAAAAACAGAAAGTCTTTTATGGAGAGGCTTTTAAATGTGCCTTCTTCACTTCATGAAATCTTTATCAACAGCAAAGGTGGGCAGATTATTTTATTGATATTATTTCATGTTTCACTAGGTGAAAATTTAAAATGTACCGGTGATGAGCCATAACAATGATTTTAAGTCGGGAAACTCGACAGGGACAACAGGTAGCTTCGGATCATCAAATCCTGATACCAATTCTGGTTTTAACACAACTCCACTCAACACTTCACAATCTTTACCGACTGGTTAGTCTTTTTGTTGCGCAAATTGCAAAGCTGAGGAAAATTCAACTAAATACATCGTTGAAACGACTTTTTAAAATTATAACTGATCATTGCTATCACCATACTTACTAATAGGATCATCAACTTCGTCTACATATTCGCAGTTTATGGTTTTGAAATCAGAAACTGGAAATGAAGGAATGATTACAGCTAAAGAAAAATCCGAGCAAATCATAAGTGATAAAAAGTAATAGAAAATCACACAATCCTTCACTTTTAGCAATTTTAATTCTGCACCTTATCACACTGATAAAATCATTGTATTCTTCTCTTTTTGCTTCAATACTAATTTTTATTTTTGTTAAATTGGTTGCTAACTTATTTTTGATGGATATTATTGCAAAATTGCTATTATTTTCACTTGGTTGAAGAAGGCATGACTATATGTTTCTTCTTAGCAAATATTAGCCATTACATGCCCAACATGCCATCTTATCCTATCGAAGTTTTAAAATTGAGTAAATAGTTTGTATTGGACGTATTGTAATGTTAATAATTATTATTAATATAATAGTAATAATTAATAATAATTTAAGAATAATTTGATAATAATAATAGTAATAATAATAATAATAATAATAATAATAGTTTAAGAATAATAATAGTAATAATAATTAGTAATAATAATGATCAATAGCAATAATAATTAATAATAGCAATAGTTAATAGTAATAATAATAATAAATAATATATAAAAGGATAATAACAAAAATAAAATAATGATACGGAAACATCCGACTACTTATTATTATACGATAAAACGAAGAAAATTGCAAATCTTTTAATAACATTATTTCATTTGCTGAATGTAAAAAGAATCGGTAATCGATCAAATCGATATTACTAATTTACTATTTCCATGTTAATATCAAACATTTGATTGTTCAGTATCTGATACATTCGAAATCTGCAAGGATTAATAGTCACAAATGATTATTGTAATTTTCAAAATTTAATAAATAAAAAAAAAAATGGTTACTATCCTTCTTTTCTGCACACCCGTGATGATAATATGGGATATATTGGAAAAATGTTTTTGGAAAATACAGATGAATGAATAGTAATGGGAAGTAACGATCTAAATCAAATAGCAGTCAGATAAAAACAATAAACTTTGAATTTTGCTGTCAATTAACAGACATACAAATAGTTGAAATTTGTGCTATATGATGAATGGAATATGTTTCTTCCATTCGGAATACTTTTTGATTTTATTCTTTTCGCAAGGTATCCATCCAGTGATATGTATCGTTCATTTAAACTTCATTTAAAAACCAAACTTCAATAAAAATAATTTTCTTCGTCATGAAACAACATTGAATATGATAAATGGAAGGCAGGAACATTGATGAGAATGTGAAGTTTGCTATGCTTTAAATATTTTTATAGTTTTTATAAATTATGCGAAACATCGGACACATTCCAATAATACCGGTTCATCACCATTCACTGTTATTGGCATCTCTTGAGTGCAATTCTTTTGACCATTCACCGATGTTAATGAACACTAAAAAATATTGATAATTAGCAATCAATAAGTTGTTTATATAATCTTTATCGATGAATAAAATATTATGAGTGATAAAAATTGCAGGAAAATTTCAGTCGAGCTATTAAGATTCCTATCAAACTTTAATTAAAAATAGATTTAAATTTGAAAAGTAAGTTAAAAAATGCTTACGAGATTGGATTTATGATCGTATTGAGCAGCGGTGCAGTTATGTTTCCAACATATCTCGCTACACTGTTCAACGGAAAGTGCTGGCAAAACTGTTTCCGCTTTATGTATCCTCGTCAGCTCGGTTACTGCACTAATAGTATAATCGCATTCTGAAAGAATTTCAAAATTTCATTAGGCCAATATGTACGCTACAAAACGAGCACCGAATCATCGAAGATCTGAAATGGTCATAAACTATCATAGATTAAATTATTTTAAAAGCAATAAAGAAAAATAATGCATACTGGTGCATTTCAAGCAACTGATAGCAAATGGTGACAGATCGGATTTATGTTGTGGTATAAATTTCTCTTCTGTTGTGCAAACTGCAGGATTACTTGTTAGCATGCATACTGCACCTGTTGATTCATCATTTTGGCTTGGTTTATATGCTGCGAGAAAACAATTTGCCTTCAAATAATTTAAAGAAATAAATTTACTATAAAGAAATTTGTTAACAAATAAAACAGTAATGATAACAAATCATTTATATCATAAAGTGATATATAACGCTGATATCCATTTGAGGTAAAAGATCAGTGTTGCAATTTCGTTGGATAAATAAGATAATTATATCATCAATAAATAAAAGATTTTATAGAAATGATAAAATTTTTACCATTTTGTAACATTTCGTGGCGCATGCAGCTGGTGATTCGATGATAATTTCATTGGTGATGTTCAGTTGTGAAAAATCTACTTCTACTATTTCGAATTCAATTCGACCAAGGCATTCAGTAGTTGCTTCTGCAATAATTAATTAAATCCTTGAATTTTTCTGAAATTCGGAATCCTTAGATTTTAGGTTTCATCAATTATATATATCTTAATCCAATAAATAACCAAACATTCTTATTTTCTTATAATTACAACTCAAAAAAAACAATAATGTTATTTTGCTGATGAATATTTTCAATTTTCCTTCAACATACTTTTCACATTGACTTTACAGTAGGCATAAATCAAAGACGAAAGATTTCTGATTATTTTTTGATTTCAGTAAAAGTTGTCAATTTTTGAACTCTGATAAAATTAAAAGTGAAAAAAGTGATTTAAAGAGTTTGTAGTAAATTTCTTATAAGAGCATTCCTAAAATAGTTAAAATCCCTCAATATGATTATTAGCAAATGGTATTTAAGAATTGATATGTAAATTTACCCTCAAAAGGTTTTATCTTTGCAAGATTCTGAAGAGAATTTTTGGTGAAGCTTTCCTGAAGTTGACTGATTGCAATGCCAGTCATTGTTTCATCATCTGCCTTCTTTGTTACGGACATTTCATTAACAACAAATGCATCTTCAAGGATATATGAAATTTCAGTTCTCTATGGGTTCATTTTATGTTAATGTCAACTTCATATAAATTTTAATTCGCCATAATATTCCGCTACAATAATTTGTTGTCTATTTGCTTTCTGTGAATGATTACAGAAACGTTTATCAAAATCAGAAGGGGGCATTTCTGTATTAACATTCTTCATGAATTCAAATATGAGTTTTGCTATAAGAATTATTTTCTGCAAATTATGAACTAAGATTTAGCAAATAGCTATAGCTATTTATCATCCTAAATTTTAAACAAATGATTTTAAGTTAAAAATTTTAATTAAAAATTCATTCATATAAAAAAGCTGAATACCATTTTCATTTTCCGTGCGTCCGATCACTTCTTCAGTTTTCATATTTCGACTTAAAAAACTGATGAGATCTGAAACCGCTTGCACAGGTGGTTCTGTTGTCATATCTTCATCTAGAAAATAGGCTATTATTTGAATTATAATTAATCTCTAGAATATTAGATCAAAATCATTTGCAGATTCTAAGAGAATAAAAAAACTTCTATGATTGCGCTAGATAAAACAACATGAATAAATACTAACCTCCATTTGCTAATGTATTGGCGATATTCTTATCAGTTATACCTTCATCTTTTTCTATCAATTTCTTAATTACTTCTTCCTCAACTGCTGCATCTGCCACCAGTGGCTTGATACCAGTTACCAAGATATCTTTTGATTGAGCAATCTTTTTGATGATATCATCGACATACTCATGCACAAATGGCTGCTCAGTTATTGCATTTGGAATTGATTCAGAGGACAAAGTTTCATCAGATACCTTCTCCACAATTTCGGATGTTTCTTTGGTATTTTCTACAGTACTCATGGATGTGCTTATTTCGTTTTCAATAGATGTTATTTCGCTGACTGCTTCAACGGTTGCTACGTTGGATGTTCCTACTTCCTCAAACGTTGATTCAGTTTCTTCTGTAATCGATGGAGTCTCAGATGCAAGGGATGACGCTATTTCGTGACTTTCCGTATTCGATTCTTCTGACATATCAGTTGTTTTTATTTCAGGTTCTAGTATATTTTTTGAGATGTTTGCAACAATGTCCGCTACAGCTTCAACAATATCATCAGTTATCTCATTAGAAGCTGGCATAAGAGTGATATCCGATGAAATCGTTGTCGGTTCAAATTCTTCTTGAAATTCAACATCAGTACCTTCTTTTTCATCTTTCCGTTTACCAGACTCTATCGTGCTTGTTTGAGTTGACTCCTCAGTCGTAGAAGAAGTGCTGCTACTTCTAGAAACTCCGCCATCAATATTGGAAACTTCCGAATTGTCAGTGGGAACGTTTAATGGTGTCTGTAAAGTCAATGAAATCAAATCGGGTTGAATTGTAGTGTCTAATTCGTCATTACCGCTTGTTCCTTCAGATTTTTCCGTAATGCCAGATGTGGTTGAAATTGTTTCGATCTCCGATGCCATTGATAATTGTGATGTTGGTGAACTTGAAGTCTCTTCGCCTTCTGCAGCAGGAGGAGCAGTACCGATGCTTACCGATGATTCAGGTACCACATCTGTATCAGTTGGAAATTGCGATGCAATCTTTCCTTTCGATTCTAAATCCTGACTTACACTCGTAAGTAACTTTCCTTCAATTTCTGGAGATTCCAAAGTTGAAGAACTCTTATCTGCTGCTGCTGAATGGTCTTCTTCTTTTAATTTCTCCACTGTCACTAAAATAAGATATTAAAACAAACGTGAGCTGATTTTCTACTCAACAATTTCCAGTAGTCTTTTAAATTGAGAAGAATCTTAAGCAACCTGGTAAAGTAGTTGTTTCTTCTGCCAAGCCTAAAGTGCTCTCAGCGAATTCTTTCTCTGAAACAGTTTAATTTTAATTAAATGAAAAATCAATAGTAAAGAAAGATAACTGGAAAAGAACTGCTAAAGGAAAGAGAAGATATGAAATAACTTACTGCAACTGATACAATAAATCCATATCGGTTCGGTAGCCTCCAATGAATGATGTTGTTGTTCATTTTCGTCACATTGATGATGATCTTCAAATATTAATAAACATTCTCCATTTATCGGATTAAATTTTGCACCACTGCATCCATCCTAAAATTTATTCTGATCTTATCCATCATAAACATTTTTTTTAATTCCTAATTTTTAAGCTCAATATTTTCAAAATTTTAAAGAAAGAGATATAATGCAAATTTTCTTCGACTAAAATTTTTGATACTCAAAGGCAACGTCGAAATTTTCTATGCATGGTTGCATAAAATAAGTTACAAACCATATAACAACGTCTAGCGCAATCTTTTACTGTAGATGTTGTAATGGTAGGCTCTTTGGAATGAGCGTCGATAGGCCTAACTTGGAATGAAAGAGTGCAATCTGAAAAGAAGTATGAAAATTGACTAGAAATGAGAGATGATGAATGATAAATAATGGTATTCGGGATATATACAAGCGGACCGATGATAGATATCATTGAGTTTCCTAATTTTTTGTCAATTCATAAAAACAGAAAAAGTCAACGAGTTCATACGTTATATGATTCGCTTGTTTACTAAAACAAAAACTTACCTTGTCCAAAAGGTGTTGTTTGGAAAGGTTCAACGGTAATGGATGTTTCTTTCGTACTCGCTGATTCGTCAACCTTTTCAGTAATAACTGATGTCGGACTGGCAACACTGCTTAGCTCTTGTTCTGATATTTCCGTTTTCTTTTCCCCAGTACTCGTAATAGTTACTTCTTCTGTTATTGGTGAAACTTTTACTGTCTCTTCTATTGCTGATGATGATGATGATAATGATGATGATAATGGTGGTGGTGGTGATGATGTTAAAGTTTTATCAGCATCTGCAATATGTTCCGTGCTTTTTTCAACTTCTGGTGCACTCTTGTCTGAGGCTATTCTTAAATTCGTCTCCGGAATTTCATTCGATATGGTTGATTCTACTTTTTGTGTTTCTGCAAAAGGAAATATCTACAGTATTATTTACCTTATCACTCACTACAATATCATTAATTGCAGCTTCCTTCACCGCTAAAAATTATGATATTTTTATACTTTGCATAGTTCTTTCAGAAAGGAAATATTATGATAAAATATTGATTGTATTTAATATCGGTATGAAAAAAGAAAAAGCAAAATTCCTTTCATTTTTTTATTAGAGAGAATTTATGAAACTTTATGAGATTCTATTCTAAAAAAAAAGTTTTCAAAAAATACTGAGCAGCGAACCTTTTGTTTCAGGTAAATGGACTACTATGTTGATACCTTCATCACCTGGCTTATGCGATCCTGAAAGTTGTGTAATTCTGAAAGTTTCAAATTTGAAATCTTAGTAAATTGCACGATTATAAAATCAGAACTGAATTTCAATTTCAAGGTTTTAAAATTTAGCACAAATCTTTTTTATAGAACTTAAACATGAACATACTACATGTGGTACAGTGAATCCAAATAGTTTCATTGGCTTCATAAAAAAAGTGTTGTGGTCCGTTGTTGCAAATTTGTTTGCCGCTATAGCCTAGGGCACATTCTTTGCTGAATGGGTCGTATCTAGCACCAGTGCAACCATCCTGAAATTGGAGAGTGATTTCTTCAATTTCATTATTGTAACATCTGTATTTGCAAAGCGTTTCCTTTTTAATTAAAAATTTAATTAAAAATTGAAATTGAAGTAAACCTGATAGCATCGTCCGGCACAAACTTCTGCAGTTTGAGCAATTGTTGAGGCTTGGAAGTCAGCGAACGATTCCGCAGGACGTTTATTGTATGAGTCTGCTTGGAAAGTTACAATGCATCCTATAACTATTGCTAAAATTAGCAAGAACAAATATTTCTAATTGATTTTATTAGAAGTGGAACTAATATTAATGATTCATTGGATGATGCGAAAATTAAGGCATTGTATCCCAAAAAAGTAATATCGATCATAAAAATGAATCACAACGCAAGATGAAAGAAAAAGCAAACCTTGCAAATATGTATAAAATGCTCCACTTTTCGATGATAATTGATTTTTCTTCTTTTGTTTGGGGGGAGTAAGTGTTGAATTGTTTGAAGCAACGGATAAATTAGAAGATGATACTGCTTCATTTCGTCTTTCTGTATTTGATGCTGTTGTGATTTCATTAGTATGAATTGTGTTGATGTGACCTTCGGTATGTGCATTCTGCTCTACGCTTGATTTTGCTTCCATCGTGCTTCTTTTATCTATTATTTCTGTATTTTCCCCAAATTCAGTAATTCCTGCATTTGTAGAACTTGGCATTATTGTGCTGCTTTGTTCTCTTTTATTTACATTTTCTGTTGTTGACCTGTCCAAAGAATTTAATTCTTCACTTTCTGTAGTGGATTGGTGTATGAATTCACGTGCTTGTATTTTTGATCCCGTTTCATCTGTTGATACAGGTTCTTGAGTAGGTTCTGTTTCATGCTCAACAGAAAGACTATTAGGTGACATAGATTCGAGCATTTCCGTTCCAGGCTCAGTTTCAACAACTTTATTTTCAAATGCTGCGTCGCTGATCGATGAACCGATCATAGGTGTTGTTTGGGTAGTTTCAATCGAACTAGTATCTGCTTCGTCCTCAGTTTTTTTTACACCAGCACTTATTTCCATGTTTCCATTGGTAACATCAAATGCAGTAGTTGCCACATTTTTTTCAATTTCTTCCGATTCCGTTTTAACCGTATTCAATTCTACATCAGGTACCAATGTGGTTTTGATCAACTCTTCATTTGCTTCAGTTTGATGATTTACAGCGGTCATTTCAGATGAAGGCTTCTTCGATGTGATAAGCGATGTTTCCGGTTGTAGTGTAATTGATTCAAGTGATGATTTCGTTATTGGTTTCTGAGGAACTGAAATATTTCTGTGTCAATTTGATATCTTTAAAATGTTAGGAGACAAAATTTGTCATTGCTTTTGAAATTTTTAAAGGAATTGATGGAAATTATTACTCATTTTGAATTTAAATTTTGTTATAGAACAAATGATGAAAGATTTTGAAGCTTACGACATCTGAAACATTGCAAGTAAATAGGCTTAGTAGTTTTGTAGTAGTAATCTCTTTGCAGCGTAGAGTTACACTTCTCCGTAATATCGAATTGTCTTTCGCAGGTACCTTTGTTACCAGAAGCAGTTGCTGGTGTAAAGATAGCTGCGCTACAGGCATCTCGATAGCAAAGGTACGCGCAATGATCGGCTCTGAAATCTCATTTTGCCATATTAGTTTTAAAATTCTAAAATTTGCTTCCAACATTTCAATATTATGTTGAAAACTTTGAAAAGGTTAAAATTTGCTTGAAATGCAATTTTTCAAAAATTCTCCCTAACAAACTATTTGTAGATCATTAAAGTTTCCATAAACTTTTTTTATTATGCTGCAATTCTCGCAAGAGATTTGTCGCACATCAATGAATAATAGCTAATACGGTCTAAATTTCTAAGTGTCACCTGTTAGCTTTCACACTATCTTGTGCTTTGAAATTAGCCATATCGGCTTCCAGATTAACTTCAAATGTAACAACGCAAGCTGAAATCAGTCTTTTCTTAGAATGAAACATAATCTATATATAAGTTCATAAGTTTTTGTATCCTTAAAAAATTTCCCATGCATAATTCAAAAATTAACAAAAAGCAAGAAGATGAAATAAACATACCTCTATTCATAAATTCTGAATCAAGTCGAGACTGTAATTTATCTGGTAAGGAATCAAATGTATTAAGTGCTGAAGGTATTATGGGTTCTTTAGAATTATTAGACTGCGATACTTCCGCAGATTCTGACACTTTTTCAACGTTTCCACTTTTGCTTTTTTCTTTTAACCGTATTGACTTTTCTGAAAGATAATATTTTCCTAACTATTAGTATAAATCTTTTTATATACATCTCTAAACTCATTGAGTTTTTTTTTGATAAAGCTTATTATTAATAGCTGTCACGATAATCATTAAATAATTTTATAATAATTATATTTAAACAATTAAAGATGATAATTTGTGTTACTGAAAATGTTAACCTAATGAATATCACATGTAATGAATTAATTTAGCTAATTCTTATCTTTCCTTTCGATTACCACACTTACTTTTAATAGGTAAATTATTGAAAACTAATTCATATGCAAATATTTTCGATTTAATAATTAATCTTAAAAACAAATTAAAACATAGCAACTTTCTAATAATAATGCCATCAAAACTGTCTAATTAATATTTAATATTTATAGCGTTGAATTTCTTCAACAATTTCAAATCGTTTTTCTACGCAAAACTTCCAAATAGCAATTAGTCAAAATGATTTGAAAACGAAATATATTTCAAAAATAGTTTTAAAAAAATGGCAAAAATTACTCAATGAATAATTTATCAAAAAGAAAGAAACGATTAATCTTAAAAATTGTAAAAGAATCGAAATGTTAATAAAAATTTTGCATTCTTCAATTTTCTTCGTCGTAATATTTTGTTGCAACCATTTTACAGTGTATGGTAAGTCATGCATGCATGCTGCATAACTGATACATGCATAGCATACTTTCCACATCTCACAAGTATTTCTTTAATTTTTTCATAACATTTCATTTCTACATCTTTTTTTTCAATTATATAAATTACTCACTGATATTATTTTCTTAGTTCAATTTTTAATTTATATTAAAACTTGTTACCTACCTGTATCCGCAAAATCTCCCGCAGATGTTGTTAGCATATGTTGATCGTTTTTTATTGATGATAAACCACATGTTACGCATGTTATTTTGATCCAATTCGATCCTTAATAGTAATATTTAAAGAATAATTAAATTATGTTTGCTAATATACTTTTATTTCTTTTATAGTTTTATGAAAGGTAATTATGCCATGTAAGAACAATCAAATTAATCATCTTTTCAAGCAAATGTCATAGTTTGGGGATAATTTGAGTAGAAATGATTATCAGTTAAAGTAATTTGTAACCAGCCATTTATCATCTCCTCTAACAATTTCATTGAGTAAAATGATTCTATTTCAATTTGTAACCAGCCATTTATTATCCTCTAATAATTTCATTTAACAAAATGATTCTATTGCAATTTGTAACCAGTCATTTATTATCCTCTAATAATTTCATCTAGTAAAATGATTCTATTTTAATGTTACCAGCTATTTATCATCCTCTAATAATTTCATTTAGCAAAATGATTCTATTATCATTCTTAGTTTCACTCTATTGTTAAAATATATCACAAATTATGGAAATACAATAACAAAATATTTAAGTGAGGATAATTAGAATAGAAAGTTATGAATCAGAAATATGAATGAATTCAGTTTGTTCTTTTCCTTTCGTATGAAATTTGAAAATATCAACAAAAACGAAAAAGAAGGAAAAATGAATAAAGAAATAACCATTATATTGATTGACATAAGAAGAGAAAGGTTTCATATCACAGCTGTCAACATCTTCACTTTTATTTTCCTTTGTTAATTGACATTTTTTTTCAATTTCTGAATAGCCAGCAATCTGTAAAACTTATAATTTCATTGTTTCCTTGTTCATTTTATTCTCATTTATTGAATGAAATTTTATGGAAGGAATTTTGCTGCCACCGCTATATAATTTAATTTATCCTTTTGTTGAAAAAAAATATCAGGGAAACATTTTTGTGATCAGTAGAAAAAGCATAAGCATTATTAAGCTTATATTAGTTAAGAATTTCAAATCTGAAATTAACCGAATTTAAAACCGGTTTTAAATTGAAATTTCTTTTGGTGGAATAATTTAATGATATGATCAGTGAAATTAATCTATAAATTTAATCATTGAAATCATATTTAATCTCTTTTAAAATAAAATATTTTAAATTTGCTTTTCTTACAAAAATATTTTAAGCACAAAAAATTTTAAGAACAAACCTTACAACAATCGTCGAAACATTTTTCAGCACATTCTCCTACTGAATTTGCCGTGACTGTTTTTTCAAAGAAATCAGAACTTGCTCCATTAATCTGCTCTTCGGCAATAAACCATATATCCTTCTGACATCTCATCGCTAAATACATGCAATACTTTTTTGTCCATAAGCTGTCAACATTTATCAAAAAAAAAAAAATGAAATATTTTTAAATTTCAGTAAAATCAAGCTAAGCTGTATTGATTGCATCTTTTTTTAAAATTCATATCATCTGAGTAATTAATTAGAAAAGATAATAGCATAAAAAGTGAAGATATGATATAAGTTTATTAAGAATGATCGTGTTAGTATTAAATTAATTAGGGATCGATCAATTATTATAATTATGATTTATGATCATCTTAATATTATTAATAGTCAAAGGACTTCTAATTCCATACGGTCAAATTTTCATCATTAACAAAACGATAGATAAAAGAGTAATAAAATTTAATACTATAGCATTGATCATATATTATCCATATAAATCTTTAACTTTGTTATAATAGTAAAGATTCGTATTCTTAATATTATCCATCTTACTAGGTCTAACTTATCTATGAGTAATTTTCAACATTTGTCTAATTAGACATAATTGCATAACGCTTCAACAATCGATTTAGCTCATAATTGGAATTGAAAATGTCAAATAATTAAAAAGCGCTTTAATAACAAAAATGTTAATTTATGAGAAACAATATGCTTAACAAAGAGAAACATTAATAATTGATTGACATTAATTAATTATTTTGCTAATGAAATGTTTTTTGAAATTTCATTCTAAATTTACAACCAAAAAAAGTTTTACAAAATCGATGACACATTTCATTTACAATCAATCAGTTGTTAGTTAAGTTAGTACAAATGAATGAAAATTAAAATCTTACGTGAAGGTTCGCATACATTAATCTCAGAATTAGAAACAATTGTATTTTGCAATACCGGTAATGATTGCAGTGGTTTATCATTATTATTATCATCATCATTATCATCATCAACATCATCAGTGAATGAAATATCTGCAAAAGAAATCGATCATTTTGTTTATTCACATAATTTGAATTGTTGAAAAATAAAATTTCATCGATCATAAATTTTGTTAATTGTTGAAATTTCTTTTTTTCAAATTTTAAATTTGCTTTTTTTTTTCCTTCAAAAGTAATACTAACATATTTAAAACTAACAAAGTCTCAAGAATGATAACCTGAGAACAATGATGATTCATCGTTATCAGATGATTTTAGCAACTCTTCTGCAATTTTATCATTTTGATTATTGCTTTGATAATGCAAATAATATATGAGAAAATTCTTTCCGATTAATTTTAGAACAATTTCAAAAATAGAAATACACAAAAATAACTGAATGATTTGAAAGAAAAATTATTATTTAAAATGATATGATAGCAATTACCACAATTACTTACTTCCATTAGGCTGTTTTATTAATTTGCATTTTATGCAATCAATAGTAATAATCGTGTTAGCATCATATTTGATTTTATCAGCTGGTACAGAAATAATTTTCAGGCATGATTCAGGAGTAAAACCGGTTAGAATACAACCTAATGGATCTACTTCATGATATTTCAACGAGAAACAATGCGGATCATTATAACATTTTTGTGTGCAATCAAGAAGAGTGATTGCTTCAGTCCTATTGATGTAATATTCTTCACGATCTGATTCCGTTACATTTACATATACTCTCAGTTGATTATTCGGACATTCTGAAAAAAAAGAAAAAGGAAAACAATACAAAAAATCTAAACCTGTTAATTTGGTAATACTAATATTCTCCGGAATTTTGAAACTTTTCATTATTGATTTAAAAAATTCTCTTAGATTTAATATATAGCAAAATGGAATATATTAAGTTGTAAAATACAGCAAGCGATACTCTAACGTGTTAAGCATAATAAGCATAATAAGCATAATTTATTCCGATAAATGTCTATTAATTTGAAATCAGTCATTGTTCTTTTCTTACTTCGAAATCATTTTGATCTTAAAATTCTCTATCAAAACTGCTTATTGTAAGTTCAGTAAATTTATGAAGTTAAATTTCAAGATAAAATCTAAAACACTCAATTGGATAGATGGATGGATGGATGGATGAATGGATGGATGGATGGATGGACAGGTTTAAAAAAAGCAACTGAGGAAATTAGAAATAAATGAAAAACCGGAATTGCACAGCTTTTACCAAAATCTCACATTTGCTATTTGTTAAACCGGAATTGCATAACTTTCACCAAATCTCACATTTGCTATTTGTTAAACCGGAATTGCATAACTTTTATCAAATCTCACGTTTGCTATTTATTATAGAAATTTTTAATTTTCTTCAAACAATGTGAAAATTGTTGAAATGAAGAAAATGAAGGAAGGAAAAAAAAAACGGATTTCAACAATGTCGTATAATGTAATAAAGTTGTGCCTAAAAACAGGTCAAAAATAGGAATGAAAATAAAATGAGAAAATTTTTATTTATTACCATAATTTTACTGAAATTAATTTTTTTCCTTATTTTACAAAAAAATTATTTGAAGTGTTTACATTGAAGAAATAATACATATGGTTTCATTCACTTTCAAAGTATTTCTTTTTCCAGGTATATTTTTATTGTTCAATACAGGTAACCTCAGATAACCTGTTTTCAAAGTTCAAACGTTGAAAATTATTATTACTGCTATAAATAATAAATGTTTTCTGTGTAAAATGAAAATGTAATGCTATCATAATGAGAAATTTATTTGTAAGCAAAATTTTGAAAAGAAAGAAAGATGTCGGAAGAATGATTGAAAAACGAAGTTCATAATTATCATTAGTTGAAATTAAAATTTTTAGTTAAATTTTGAAATGATACTTATCTGTCATCAATTATAATAAACTTTCTTCACATTATTACTCAACTTGTTTAATTGCTTTCTTTATTAAAATAAATTAGAAATCATTCAAAAAAGAAATTATACAAATTGAGCTATGTGTCACGTAGAAAACAAGAAGTTGACGAAGATATTACGACAGCATTTTTAATTTCTTTCTTGTGAAATTTATGTTCTTTTTAACTTTTAACACTTTTATGTTTATTCTCTTATCATATCATCCAGATGACCTTTAGGATTTATAACTAATTGTCCCTTCTCTCTCTTTCTCTCTCTATATATAGGTCAATTTCTTATTTATTGAAAGCATCGATTTCCATCTTCAAAAAATTGTAATATTTTCAAAAATAAGAAAGAGTGACTAACTACTGTTTGATGAATAAAAGTTGCAGTTCATGATTTATTTGTTGGAGATGGATGAAATGACTAATACGATACATATATGTTTTGGCTATTTAATTGATAAAAGTAGTAAAAAAAAGGGCATACCTGGTCTTTGGGATCGGTTTGGTGCACCACTGATAGCAGTAATGAGATAAAATATGATAGCACTATACAATACTGTCCAAGTCATTAATATTCTTGACTATTTTTGACAGCCACTTTCGTGAACTCTATGAATGTGATGATTAAAGAATGAATATCGAACAGGTATATTTGAAGCAATCCTCTATTCCCTCACAGAGTATATGAAAGCGCAATTTGTCTTACACATCATCGATATGCAAAATTATGAATTAAAAATTGATATTGATAAATATGAATTGATAAATACTATATAAAATTGTGAAAGTTCGAATTACAAATTTAGTTTGAAATGAAATTTATCAATGATGAAAATATCACTTTGTGATAATGAAAATTTAATTCAAAAATATAGATCACTTCGTGATATAGAACACTTTTTTGGGATGATAAAAAAAATAGATCACTTTGTGATATTATAACCAAAACTATTGCTATTAACTTATTTCCACTTTTGAAAATTTCAATATTACTATCACTAACTTATAACTTAATCAAAGCCATAGTTTTAGGGTCTTAAATCTCTTAATTTCAATACAATAAAAGTTAATCATATCACTAATTATTACTTATTTTATCATTACTTATTTAATTATTACTTGTTTTACTTATTTTATAATTATTATTTATTTTTATAGCAATAACTATAATAAGAATATTTGATATTAAATATAAATGAAAAGAGAAATTGATATCATTGATAAAAGATATTACAAAAAGCAGCTGTCAATTCTAAATATTCAGGAAAGGTAAGGAATTGACTTAAGTATTTGGCTTAATTTTAATTCATATAAATGATTAAATTGAAATTTTTCACTTGTATAAAAGTTATCGAAATGAAGAAACATAATTAACTGATAGTAAACACATTATCAATTTATTTATCAGCTCATAAATTCTAATCATATCATCATTATTGAACTCATTTCAACACAATATTACAATCTCAATTATTTCATTAAAAAACGAAAACAAATTATGAAAATTGCTTGCTTTTTATAATATATCTGAGAATAGGAAAAAAAAAAATTCTCATTTATTCAAATAAACAACAACAACAACAACAACAACAACACACTGTTGACAGATTGTTTAGAAATGGTCAGATAAAGGCTGGCTACTACTCGTTTATCAGAAAAAGAAACAAACATTATTTTAGAAGTGATCGACATTTATTAAACTGCCATTTTCTTTCGTTTCTCAGCAAATTAGAAAATTTGACATTTAATATTTTTATGACCACTTGTTGAAATTATTCATTTTCTCCTTCAACATATTTTTCTATAATATATTCTGTTTTTAAGTGTACAGTTATTGACAGACAGCAAAATTACATCGAAATCTTTCAATGCAATTTCGTTAATAGTTTATTTGGAAATTTTAAAAGTTTATAATTTATTGTAATTACTTTAAAAAACAAAAGTTTATAATTACATTTATAATTTTATTGTAATTACTTAAAAACAATGTAATCTAAGATAGTTATCACTAATTGCAATGATTTTTCACAGTGAAGAAGATGCTTTATTTTATAGCTAGCTATAAATTAATGGATCAGGTCTATATGATTGAATAAGAAGAAATGGATATTATATTTTATAAGACATTCAATCGGCTGTACCCAAAAATGCGATCTATTTCTTTTTAAAATAATATTTAACAACGAAGGATACTAATAGTAATAGTTTTTGAAATGGTTAATTTTTAAAATTTAAATTCATACATTATAAGCTTTTGAAAAATGAAAATTTTGTTAACATTAGGTTGAATTTTGAAATCAACAAAGTCTTTTTCAATGACTCAATTATAACTCACTTATGAATGATATGAATTGAAGGAATGAATGGAATATTTTATTGCTTTCGATCAACGTATCTATCTGAAATGGATAAAATATTGAGGTAACGCATCTACCTGACCTTTATCTATTTGAAATAGGTAAAAATATTGAGGTACGTATCTGTATGACCTTTATCTATTTGAAAATAGGCAAAAATATTGAGGTAACGTGTCTATCTAACCTTTATCTACCCGAAATGAATAAAAATATTGAGTAACGTATTTATCTGACCTTTATCTACCTGAAATGGATAAAAATATTGAGTAACGTATTTATCTGACCTTTATCTACCCGAAATGAATAAAAATATTGAGTAACGTATTTATCTGACCTTTATCTACCTGAAATGAATAAAAATACCGATGTAAATTATTTGATTTTAAATAAATTATCTAAAATGATCCCAAAAATATACGTATAGAGAAGCAAAAATGCTATGATAGTTTTTTTAAATCAAAAATATTGTTGTAATAATTTTTTGAATTATTACAGATTAAATGTATTCAGAAAATTTTGTAAAATTCAAAGGGAAAAATGATTTCAGAAAAATATATGAAAGATATTTCATTTCAAATATTTGTTGAAATGGAAATTGAAAGTTTGTAGTAAATGAGGTTTAGAAATGAAAAGTAGCAAAAAGGTTGTGAAATGGAAAATGGCGCATTATACTATAAAATGGTAAGTGGCGCATTATGTTCAATTCAAAGAGCATTAGGCGGAAGTGTTGCTATGTATTTTTGAATATTCTATGACTTTATTATAATTATACCTACCTGCTAATAGATGATAATGAGAAGTAGTGATACGGGTCAGTATAGAGAATATTCTACCTATTAGCTTATTTCAATCATAAATGTTTGAATGTTTGTATGGCTACAAAAGTCAAACATGTACGACAATCTTTCTTATAAATGAAATGCAAATGTCGCAATAGAAAAGTTCAACTTCTACGATCACTAACTAGCTTATATCATGTCAATTACTTCAACTTCTACGATCATTAATTAATTTACATCTTATTAGTTATCTAATATTTGCAGAAATAAACTTTCCTCCTTCAACATTTGCATTTATCTTACTAATGCTTGCTACTTTAAAAAATAAATTCAGTAATAATTCAACAAATTCGATGAATGGAGCAGAATTATAAGAATTACATAATAAGTACTGTATTTGTTTTATTTCAATAGATTAGTTCATAAATTCTACTGGCGCAATAGTGCTACTCTTATGAATTAAAACTATCGAACATTGTTTTTTCATTAATATCTTGGAAATCTTAGTATGATTATTGCTTGATGAAAAAACAATTAGCAAGGATTACACATTATATCGTATCATATCAGTAGATGCATGATTCAGAAAGGATAGACAGAACAAATAAAAAGAATGAAATATGAATTTAAAAAATTTGCACTACCGTATGTTTTCATAAATTCGCTATTAGTAAGGTATATTGAATAATTTAATTACTAATTTAACTTCTAGATTCTACCTTTCCAAAGTTTGAATTGAAAACTAAGATTATCAAAATTTGAATTGAAGAAGTGATAAGATAATAATTAGTTTATTAGAACAATTACAGTTCACGGAGATATTCATTCAACATTAATTTTGCATCTGAGGATTTGTCATACGAAATTTGATGCCATATAAACTCTTAATTTGCTTAATTAATGAATTTATGAATTAATGAATAAACATTCCTACCACTAATCGAAATATCATTAAACATTTCTATCACTAATCCAATTATCACTAAACATTCTTATCACTGATCCAAATATATCATTTAAAATTAAAAATGTAGAAAAATTGATTCGAAAAAAAAGGAAGAAAATCCCCGGATTTTATTGAAATAGTTTGAAAACCTGAAAAACTTAGAAGATGCAGATTATATGATAGTGTTTTTCTCTCTCAGCTATGTAATTAGAAGAAGCTATCTTTTAAAGAATTAATGCTAGCAATTTTTCAAGCAATTATATAATGTTGCTCTTTCATCAAGAATGATCGAAGAAGAAACTCGTTTGAATCAACTTCATACATCGTATTATGTTTGCCAATATCTATTCTGAACGATGAATATTCTGCAAAGTAAACTATACCATCGAATCTCTCTTTTAGCAGATTGCATTAAGCATTTGAGTAAATTTAAAATTATTAAGCTATTTCTTTGTTTCAAAAAATTGCTAGAAGCTAATTGAAATTGAAATTAATTTCAACTATACAAAATATAAAATTAGAAATTGAATGGATGATTGTGATAGATTAACGATTTTATCATGATATTCCATATCATAATTTTTTTTTTGGGATTTTAGAGTATTTTTGAAGAGAGAGAGAAAAACAATTATATAATTTGTGCCTTCGTAGTTTTACAAATTAAGCAGTTTCAATAAAATCCGGAAATTTTCCTGTTTTTTCCGAAACAATTTTTCTACATTTTAATTTTAAATGATATATTTTGGATTAGTGGTGGAAATTTTAAATGATAAACAGATTTTTTTAGGAAATATAATATAATTAAATTTAGATGACTAAAATTTTAAAATTAAATTCTCAGCTCTTCCGCTTATTTATTCATATCTTCTAGACTTCTGATTATTTATTCATATCTTCAATATCATTTGGAAATAAAATATAAAAAGAAATTTTCAAACACTTCCACATCGTTGTCGTATGAGAGAAGCAAGCAATTAAACAAACGATACTTCGAACAATAATAGTTCATTTTAGCGCTAATAATTTTGAATTTTCTCCGATAGTTATTAAAACTTATCATATGGAAATTATCATATCATATAAAACTTATCATATCTTAACAGAACAAAACTTATCATATAAGTGCTAAGACACAAAACAATTTAAATATCAAATTAGTTTTAATTGTATAGAAAGCTTATCGTATACTACGCAAAACGATCATTTAAAAACAAAAATATTCTTGTCTGTTAAAATATCATTTATTTTGATCAGGAATGTTTAATATTCAAAAGAAAGGAAAGGATTGAATGAAAACGAAAATTATTCTTTCTGAATGGAAAAAAAAAACGGTTTCCGTAGGAAGTAGAAATAAACCGGATATTTATCCAAACAAATAGATACACGATATCAATCAAACATGACCTATGTTTTGCCTTTGAAAAAGAAAAAGGATAAACAACAATTGCTATCCTTAATTCTACGTTTTCGTATTTTGGATAGTGCAA